CCAGCCCCCAGTGTTACAACATTTTACAACTCTTACGTCATTCAGGGATATTTGCAGTGGAATTTTCCTGGTAGCAAAAGCATCCTGCGGTCCTGGGATGAAGCTGGGCAGTAGGGTCAAGCGACATGTGTGCAGCCTGCAGGAGTCCTTGGTCTGTGTAGCCCTGCTGGTCCAGTGATATTCCTCTGGATGGGTAGCTACTGGGACCTCAATATGGCAGGCCTCACCAGCAACTACAGACCACGGCTGAGCTCCCCCACCGCTGAAGCAAAGCCACGACCTCGCTGATTACAACGAGTGGTTATTTCCATAAGGAAGACCTGTTCTCGCCTTGTGCCTAGGCCCTGGGGAAACTCAAGCTGTGGTGCCCATGCTACCTACCCTCTCAGCAGTGAAGCTGCCTACCAGACTAGCCATTCCTGAAAACACAGCAGGTCGTAGGAATGAGTTACTCATACCCCCTCCATTCCAGCCCAACAGCTGGCCTCAGAGCACTGCAGAAAGTCCTAGTGAGGAGAGCCGGCCTTCCGACCGGGCGGCTCGGGACAACACCTGTGAGGCTGGTGTGCTGGTATTCAGGGTACATTAAGTGCTCTGAGTCACAAAGCAATGACTGCATGGTGGCAGCTGCTTCTGTAATTAGAGCAGATAGGTATGGAGACAAAGGGACGGCAGAGGGACATCACCTTTCATGATTAAGCCTAATGACTTACTCACCCATGAGCGCCCTCATCTCCATCACTTGGGGCTCACCAGCTTGGGATGCAGGGAGGACTGCCTGCCTCTAGGAAAAGATAGTGTTGTTAATTGTTTACGAGGGTTTTTTGTTTGTTTTTGTTTTTTTGAGACAGGGTTTCTCTGTTTTTCTGTGTGGCTTTGACTGTCCTAGAACTCGCTCTGTAGACCAGGCTGGCCTCAGACTCACAGAGATCCGCCTGCCTCTGCCTCCTGAGTGCTGGGATTAAAGATGTCGCCACCACCAACCAGCTGTTATTTTTATTTACATGTATGTGAAGGTATGTGCAACACGTGCACAGAGTATCTAGATGGGGCATTCGATTCCACTCCCTCCTGGAACCGGAGTTTCAGGCAGTTTTGAAGCATCCAACATGGGTGGTAGGACTGAACTCCGGTCCTCTGGAAGAGCAGTCCTTGCTCCTAACTGTTGAACCTTCTCTCCAGCCCCAACATTGAATCCTGTATCACATGATAAGGGTGAGAAAGTAGGGTGCCCATGTTGACTAGGATGACAGATACAGGCTAATCTTGTGCATTAGGAAGAAGGTTGCTGCTTCAGTGTGTGTGTGTGTGGGTCTTAGCGGACTGGGCTGTTGCTGGCTCTAGTCATACTCTATGATGTCCATTTACAAAAGCTAATGGAACACTCCTGTACCCTGAAAGGACAGGGTTACCCAAAGCTAATACTAATATATGTATAAATATTTACTACATCCAATATCACGTGGCCTTGTCTTTATTATTATTATTATTGTAGACAGGGTTTCTCTGTATTGTTTTGGAGGATGTCCTGGAACTCTCTCAGTAGACCAAGCTGACCTTGAACTCACAGAGATCCACCTGCCTTTGCCTTCCCAGTGCTGGTGTTAAAGGCACTGCCACTGCTTGGCCTGCTTTGATTCTTTTTTTAGTAATTTATTTAATTTTGTTGTATTTGCATTGGTATGGAGGTGTCAGATCCCTTGAAACTAGAATTACAGACAGTTGTGAGCTGCCATGTGGATGCTGGGAATTGATCCTGGGTCCTCTGGAAGAGCAGCTTTTAACCTCTGAGCCATCTCTCCAGACCCTGCTTTGACTCTTAAAAGCAAGCAAAGGTGGGGTGCTGGGACGGCTCAGTGAGCAAAGGAACTTGCCACCAAGGCCTGAAGAGTTAAACCCTTTGAAATCACACCGTAGGAGATAACCAACTCCTACATGCTGCCCCCCCACCTCTACTCTGGGCACCTTGGTATGAGTGTGCTAAATAAATAAATACAACTAAAGAAAAAAATCCCAAACATGCAGTAAAACTGCAGAATGGAAGGACTTAGAATATATATTAGGGGAGCTCAACGCAGTCTCAGAAAGAAAAGAAGCATCTGTTTCCCCTGATAGTCTGACCGTAGCCTTTAACATCTATGTTCGTATGTAAACAAGGATGACATGTAGAAAGGAGGACAAAACGTTAGGTGACAAGGACAGGCGTCACAAGGCGACCACAGAGAATGTTTTTCTAGTTTCGGCTCTCGTGGATTTTTTTCCTCTTTCTTATGGGGATAAATGAATTAAATATAAACGTTTGATGGTGGAAGTGTCAATTCCACTGTGATGTACCACAGCTTCAGAACGACTATTCTAGCTTTAGAGACTTCCACCATCTCAGGGAACTTTGGGTCTGCTCGACCTTGGGGTGTGTGTATGTAATTACACATTCTTCAAAATTAGGGTTTTTTTGCTTTGTTTAGATGAGACAGGCTCTCTCACAGGGAAGCCCTGGCTGGCCTGGAACTTGCTATGGAGACCACGATGGCCTGAAACTCACAGAGATCTGCGTCCTGAGTGCTAGGCTTATAGGTGTGTGTGTAGGGCTCACAAGAGTTTTAATAAAAAAGAAGAAAAATTAAAACACAAATGCTTAGAGTCGAGGGCAGAGTCCTTGCTTGCTTTGTTGAACTTAATTGTAGCACTGTTTAATGAGCAGGCCAGGGACTGATGAATTCAAATTCTTTAAAATAGCTGAAGATTAAAGGGAATTAAATTTAGTGCCTCTGGGATGTCTGATTCAAATTTGTTTTAAATGACATAATTGTTGCATGTTACATCTGAGATTACATCCCAGAGAACTGGTTATGTGTGAGGTTATGCTACAGGAAACCAATTTCCCATGTCACAGGCAGATGAGGGTGGCTGTAATGTCACCACTCGGGGAAACATGAGTGAGGTGTCACGGAAATGAACGAGGGAAGGCTAGTTACGGCATGATTAGCCTGCCCTGTGTCTTCAACAGCACTTAAATCACTACAAGTGCAAACTGGGATAGCTTCTCAGGGTATTTATTTGTTCATTTTATTTAGTGGGGAACGATCCCTCCCAATCACACAAACGAGGTCATGCTAAATGACTTTAGGAACCTCATTCAAGAAAGAAGTGGGAGATGTACATAGGCATGAAACTGTCGAAGAGTAAAAGATAAAAAAGAAACACATATGTAAATGTTTATATTTCAGATTGTAAAAGAACAAGACATGAAATTCCTATTTCTGTTCCTTGCGATTTTTTTTAAACCTAATGTAATTGCAAAATTCTCTTCCCCCAGGGCTTTCCCCTCCACAATTAATCTTTCCACACACTCCCAATGACTATTTCCCCAAGCGTTAGAACACTTAATTCACAGTACTTCAGCTTCAGAGCTTCCCAAACACTGCCGGGCTCTTGCCCAGCGCCACAAGCCACGCCCTTTCCTTCTTAAAAATTGGTTATTTTTGTAGATCTATTCCCATCTATCGTGAAAGCACCCCTGCAACGAAAACTAACTTCCTTGGTCTACTGAGCTGGGAACCTCTGAATTATTTACTTAGGGTGCTGAACACCTATACTTCCATGTTTGGCCCCTAAGAGTTTATTCTCTATCCTTCCAAAGGTAGCACCCGTGTCCTGGGTTATCAGAGCCAAGCAAGCAACTGTGAAAGTCTCCACCGTGCGAGCGGAGGCAACGCTTTCAAAATACGTCATTCATCTTCATACTCGGTGGCAGCTCACCCATACATCCTTTATAAGCACCATTAAGTATTGGTGTTTAAGACCTCAGTCATGAGAGGTAAGCTTTCAAATTTATAGGCACAAGGGGGTTGGCAAAGGGACCTTTTCTCTTACGTACTTTTCTTTTATTAGAACAAAAGCCAGTTTGAGCACACCTCCAAGCCCGGAGTTGCTATTTGTCAGGCAGGCGCCTTTTAGAAAGCCGCGTAGTGCATTAAATTAACCGACTCCTGGACAAATCTGATTCGGGGAGAAAAGTATTTCCCACGCCTAGAGTGACAAACGCAACTACGAGGCATGCTTAAGCAGACTGTCAAACTTTTATGTTTACTTAAAAAACAAAACAAAAAAAAAAACAACCCGCATAGAAGGAAGAAGTCAGGTCTGTTGCAGCAGCCTTGTGTGGAACAGGAGGCTCACCTGGACACACAACAGACGCGGGTCTTCCCCGGGCTGCCCTCCCTGGGGAGGGGAGGGGTGGACACCGCTAGACCTTTGTCCTGGGGACCTGGGGAGGGGCGACTTTCTGGGACCCGCGGGGCCACCTGTGCCGGTGGAAACCACGCACCGCCGGGACCTCAGTGGTCGCCCGGCGACACCTTTTGTGGGTCGATACAGGGGGCGCCCCCTATGGGGGCGGCTGGCGACTCCACGCTGCAGCCGGGGTGGGGGAAGGCCATGGCTCCCTGGATTCCGAGTGCGAACCCCGACTAGAGCAGCTCTGGGGCAGGCCCCGGGGAGAAGAAGCGCGGCGGCGAGCCGGGCTGCCTGCGCTCGGCCCCGCCGCGTCCGCACCGCCACCGTGAGGCCGAGCCGGAGACGGTGGGGACGGTGGCGCCGCCGCTCCGCGCTCCGTCTCCCCGCCGCCGCCGCCGCCACCGCGCCGGGCTCGGGCGGGGGCATCCGCTCCGGTCTCCCCGCGCTTTCGCGCTCCCGCTTCGCGTGCGGCGGCTCGAGCCGGGGAGGGAGCGAGGGAAGGGGTGGAGGTGGCGGGGGGGAGGCCGAGGGGCGGATCCTGCCTGGGGGCTGATCCCTCCCTCCCCTCGGCCGGGCTCCGTGGCGGCAGCGGTGGCGGCGGCTGCTCCATTCCCCCTCCTCCCCCGGGAGCGGCGGCCGGGCCGGGGGAGACGGAGCCGAGGGCCGGCGCGGGAGGAGGAGGAGGAGGCGGCGGCGGCGGAGGCCGCGCTCCCTCAAGCCGGGCCGCGCGCGGACCTGCTCGGTGGCCCGGCCCGCCCGCCCGTCCGCCCGCCCGCCCGTCCGCCCGCCCGCTCGCCCGCGCCCAGGGGTCCCCCCGAAGCGAGGGGCCCGGCCGGCCGCTGAGGTAAAATGGGGGCGGCGGCGGCGGGGTCGGAGCGAGCGGGGGCGGCGGCGGGGGCCGACGGGGACCGAGCGCTGCGCGCAGGGGGGCAGCCGGGGCGCACAGGGGCGTCCCGGTGGGGCGCGGGGGCGACGCGCGGGCTCTCCCCTGGAGCGAGGGCGGCGGCGGAGCCGGGGAAGGCGCGCGAGGGGGAGCTGCAAAGCGAGGACCCCCTCCCGCACCCGCCATCTTGTTTCTCCCCGGTCCTGGCAGCCGAGCGGCTAAGCCCCGCCCTCCCCGTGCTCTCCTATTGGCCAGGCTAGACGAGAGTTCCGCCCTCGAGGGGGCCGCTCTTGGCGCCCGGGTTCCCCCTTGACGGACAGGCCGGGCGGCCAATGAGTGCTCGCATCCCTGCCCCCGCCCCCTCGTCGGCTGGCGCTCGCCTTCTCTGTAAGGGTCGGACTCGGCGTCAGTGGCTGTGGTGCGCTAACCCTGTGGTGTTTGGGGAGATGTTTCTCTCCTCTCTCGTTCAGGGGCCGGGGCCGTGAAGACTCTCCCGGAAGAGGCGCCCCTTCACAGGGGGCGGGGAGCTTGTCTGGGGTCTCCCCTGGTCGCCTGAGTCTCCCGAGTGGCGTGCAGGGCGGGTTCGGTCCAATTGTTGAAACTCCTCGTTCGGGGGGCCAGGGTGAGGTGGGCGAGTCGAGTTGGGGCTCAGGGGCAGCGAAGGACGTGTCTTGACGGGGTGTTGGGGATACTAGAGGTGTGAGTAAGATAAGACTAGTGTACGCGAGGAAACTCCCGCCAAAAGTAACCTGGTCTGGATGTTAGCTCCTTGTGGGCGACACTCTTGGCTTTCCTCAGCAGCAGCCCTGGCTCGCTGTTTGCTCCTGGTGACAGCGGGGAGCCCCGAGTGGGGATCAGGACTGGAACTTGGGGGTGGGTTGAGAGAGGACTTCTGAGGCTGCAGATGTGTAGAGAGGGCCACTGTAGACTCTTCAAAATTGACACTCAAGTGTGTGTTCCCTCCCCCAGAGGCTCCTTACCTTGGGAGGGCTGAGGAATACTTCGTGTTTGTTCAGGGCTGGAGCTGCTTCTGAGACCTTGACTTTTCTCCCTCTCCGGAGACAGGGTTTCTCTGTGGCTTTGGAGGCTGTCCTGGAACTCGCTCTGTAGACCAGGCTGGCCTCGAACTCACAGAGATCCGCCTGCCTCTGCCTCCTGAGTGCTGGCATTTGCCAGTCCTGCCCAGCAACCTTGACGTTTGTAAATGATCTAGTGCCTCCAGGGCTTCGGGAACCTGAACAGAGTTGCTATCTCGGTTCTGTCTCCTTTGGCTCGAAATGGGGTTGTATACCTGCTACATACTGCTCCTCAGTCGGGTTAGTTTAAGTCACACCTTGGAATTTAAAGGCCTTATCACTATGGTTGTCAACGATAATTTATTGATCCTTCTTAAGAAAATATTTGCCAGGACGGTGGTGGCAGACACCTTAATCCCAGCACTTATAGAGGCAGAGACAGGCAGATCTCTGAATTCAAGACCAGCCCATTCTATACAATGAGTTCCAGTACGTCGGAGCTACACAGAGAAACCTTGTCTCAAACAACAAACAGTAGTTATTTTTGTTCATTCTTTTATCTTTTTGTTTTCATTTTTATGTGTATGGGTATTTTGGCTGATATATTCCTGTTTTCCCTGGGAGTCCAGATACCAATACCCTGGAACTGGAGTTAAGAGTTGTGATCTATGCTGGGTGTTGGTGGCGCACAGCTTTAATCTCAGCATTGGGGAGGCAGAGGCAGGAGGATCTCTAAGTTCGAGGCAGCCTGGTTTACAGAGCGAGTGAGTTCCAGGACAGCCTCCAAAACAATGCAGAGAAATCCTGTCTCGAAAAACAAATAAACAAACAAAGTTGTGATCCACAATGTGGGTGCTGGGAATCAGACCTAACTCCTTTTAACTGCTGGGCCCTTATATATTTATTTTTTAAGGAAGAGTCTCGCGGTGTGCCGTAGCTGGTCTGAAAACCTGTGTAGACGTGACTGACCTCAAATTCCACAGAGACTAGCCTGCTTCTCCCTCCCAAGTGCTGGGATTAAAAGAACGCCACCGCTATACCCTGCACTGCCCTGGGTTTATCAATGAAGTGTGGAGACAGAGACAGGAAAAACTTTGTCCAGGTTACCTGGGACTAAGATTCAAACCTAGATTGGTGCGAAACACCTTTGTAGAGATCGAGGCATCTCACTGGTGTTCTTAACCTCCCATCTTGAACACAGGAGATCTGGAGTCACATCAGCTTTGGCTGAGTCACAGTTTTCTGAGCTTCTGTTTCTTCATGCCTGAGATGAAGATAATACCGTTCACACAACCTCCCGAGGTAGCAGTGAGACATGGTACAAAGAAAAGGCCATTGTAGTGTGCTGAACTATCACCATTGTATCTCAAAAGTCTTCCTGGAAATGATGGCCTTGGTAACTGCCAGAAACTGCTCCTTAGGGGCTGGCATAGATCCCTACATCCAGAGAATGCTGCAGGAAGCATAGGGCTTTCTCTGCTACCCAAGGGTGGATCAGAGATAAATACCATGGGATAGAGATTTCTGAGGCAATAGTACATTGAGAATTCATCTCAGATACCACCCCCAATCAACTTGTCCTTGAGCTCAATGAAAATCTCAGAAGGCTTCTTAAAATTTAAAAGGTTTCGAGCCGGCTGTTGGTGGTGCACTCCTTTAATCCCAGCACTTGGGAGTCAGAAACAGGCAAATCTCTGTGAGTTCAAGGGCAGCCTGGTCTACAAGAACTAGTTCCAGGACAGCCTCCAAAACAATACAGAGAAACCCTGTCTCAAAAAACCAAAAAAAAAAAAAAAAAAAAAAAAGATTTCCTAGAGACATTCCCAGACTTTGCACGACTTTGCAAGTTTTGTAGTTGGAAATGCCCTACACAGTTATCTTAGGTGCTGCCTTCTGCAGAAAGTACCCTGGGTATTATGATTTGAAGCATTTCAGACATCTTTACTCTTGACAGGGCCAAGAGACAGAGTTTCTAACTATGGTAAGATGTCTTGGGAGAGGCCTTAGACCTGTGATTTAATTTTAAATATTTATTTATTTAGAGACAGGGTCTCATATATAGCCCTGGCTGTCCTGGAACTCACTCTGTAGACCAGACTGGCCTTGAACTCACAGAGAGATCCACCTGCCTCTGCCTCCCCAGTGCTGGCACTAAAGGTGTGTGCCACCTCCGCCTGGCCTTTTCTTGTGTTTTGTTGTTGTTGTTAGAAAGTAGATGGCAGTCTCATTGTCACAACTATTGTTTTCCCTCCCCTTTTCAAAACAAAACACATACATGATCTTCGCTGGGCATAGCAGCCTACATCCTGAATTTCAGGACAGCCAGGGCTATGTGGAGAAATCCTGTCTCAAACAAACAAACAAACAAAGACATGGCCTTGCTTTGTTTCTGGCTTTGAGCTCCTGGGCTCAAGCAATCCTTCTAATTTACTATCTTGCTTTTGGAATCCTTTACCATCGTCTTTTTCCATAATTAACTGTCTCACAGCATTGCATGTATCATTACAATATTAGATCTCATCTTGTGTCATGTCATAAGGACCCGTCTATGTTCTTTTAGTTGGATAGGGCTCCTTGAGGACAGAGATCATAGTGTTGAATTTGAGGGCTGGGGCAGGGCTTACTGTGTAAGCATGAAGACCTGAGTTTGACCCCCAGGACCCACCTAAACATTATGCAGAGTAGGCCTGCAACTCCTCCAGTACAGAGGGACTCCTACCTCTGCCTCCTCAGTGCTGGGATTAAAGGTGTACCATGACTGCCTACCTGGGATTTGCAATTTTAAAGTAATCAGAAAAAAAAAAGTTTCAGCCGGGCGGTGGTGGCGCACGCCTTTAATCCCAGCACTCGGGAAGCAGAGGCAGGCGGATCTCTGTGAGTTCAAGGCCGGACTGGACAGATAGCCTCCAAAACAATACAGACAAACCCTGTCTCGTAAAAACCAAAAAAAAAAAAAAAAGTTTCACTGATAGAGTGATGTTTGTGAAAAGACTAAAAGAAGGCGATGCCTTTTGGGTGCTTTAGAGGGTTGTCGTGTGGAGGGAACAGCCAGATCTCGTGGTGTCCACTTAATAGAAGGGTGAATGAGTGCATATAGCAATGGATATCCAGTTTACGCTTTTGTGACTCTCTCTCTCTTTAGGCTCATCTTTGCGGTTTCCAGTTGCCATGAGGAAGCCTCGACGAAAGTCACGGCAGAGTGCCGAGGGCCGGAGGTCCCCACCCCCATACAGTGTTAAGTGTTCACCCGCACGAGAGACCCTGACTTATGCCCAAGCCCAGAGGATTGTCGAAGTGGACATCGACGGCCGCCTCCATCGGATCAGCATTTATGACCCTCTCAAGATCATCACCGAAGATGAGCTCACTGCTCAGGACATCACCGAATGCAACAGCAACAAGGAGAATAGTGAGCAGCCTCAGTTCCCTGCCAAGTCCAAGAAATCCTCATCTAAAGGCAAGAAGAAAGAGTCCTGTTCCAAGCATGCATCTGGCACCTCCTTCCACCTCCCACAGCCCAGCTTCCGTGTGGTGGATACAGGTAGCCAGCCGGAAGCACCCCCATTGCCTGCTGCTTATTACCGCTACATCGAGAAGCCTCCAGAAGACCTGGATGCGGAGGTAGAGTACGACATGGACGAGGAGGACCTTGCCTGGCTAGACATGGTGAACGAGAAGCGTCGAGCAGACGGGCACAGTTCGGTGTCGGCGGATACCTTCGAGCTGCTGGTGGACCGGCTTGAGAAGGAGTCATACTTGGAAAGTCGCAGCAGTGGGGTCCAGCAATCGCTCATTGATGAAGACGCCTTCTGCTGCGTGTGCCTGGATGACGAGTGCCACAATAGCAATGTCATCCTGTTCTGTGACATCTGCAACCTAGCTGTGCACCAGGAGTGCTACGGTGTCCCCTACATCCCGGAGGGACAGTGGTTATGCCGCTGCTGCCTGCAGTCTCCCTCTCGGCCGGTGGATTGTGTCCTTTGCCCCAATAAAGGTGGAGCCTTCAAACAGACCAGCGACGGCCACTGGGCCCATGTGGTCTGTGCCATCTGGATCCCTGAAGTCTGCTTTGCTAATACCGTGTTCCTGGAGCCTATTGAAGGCATTGACAACATCCCGCCTGCCCGCTGGAAGCTAACCTGTTACATCTGCAAGCAGAAAGGGCTGGGTGCAGCTATCCAGTGCCACAAGGTGAACTGCTACACCGCCTTCCATGTGACATGCGCACAGCGGGCTGGACTCTTCATGAAGATTGAGCCCATGAGGGAAACGAGCCTCCACGGCACCATCTTTACCGTCCGAAAGACTGCCTACTGTGAGGCCCACTCCCCGAGTGTTGCCCCTGCCCGGAGAAAGGGTGACTCACCCAAAAGCCTCACCGAGGCGGGGGATGAGGATGGGCTGAAAGAGGGTGGTGGGGAGGAGGAAGAGGAACCAGCAGAGGAGGAAGATCAGGAAGGCCAAGGTGGGGTGGGCAACCCCCCCAAGGGGGTGTCCAAGAAGAACAAGATGAGCTTAAAGCAGAAGATCAAGAAGGAGCCAGAGGAAGCTGGCCGAGAGACACCCTCCACCCCCATCCCCATGGTCACTGTCCCACAGATACCCTCTTACAGGTGAGCCTCGTTAGGAGGGCTCTTGAGGGTCTTCTCCAAATGCAGTTGGATATCTGACCTCCTCTGGGCTCCCAGATTCAATCTTGTCCTTTAGAACCAGGATCCGTCTTGTGCTTTTGTCCGTGCCCTCTGAGTAATGTGTTCCCTCTGGTTCACTATGGCATAAATCACTTACGTTGCTTAGAAACCTGGGTGACAGTGTATCAGCCGAGGTGGTAGTTCTCACAGTGACACCAAATGGCGTTGTGAACAGGGTAACCCTCCACTGCTAACCACGCCGTGGATTTCTAGATGGCTATCATCTCTGGTCTTTGTACATGCAGGCTGTGTCCCTTATGTCACCTCATCTTTGTGACAACCCCGAGGGCTCCCACACAGGCTCCCCAAAGCCCATGGGGGAACAGAACTCTTCCAAAATGGGGAGCAACTGTGTTAAGGGTTCGATACCTGCCTTCCAAAAAGCTCTGTCTTGGGAAAAATGGGGACTTTTTATGTACAAGGGACATGGAAGGGGCAGTCCTCCTCCAGAAGCTTTAGATTCAGGGGAAAGTTCAGCTTTATAACCAAACCACCTGGACCTCCCTGAGAGTCTGTCCGCAGAGACTTCTCTGTTCCTGTGTTAAACTGTCAGTTCGGTAGCTGAGTCTGCTGGAGGGTTGGGAGCTTAGCAGGGAAGATTTTCCAGCAGAGGCCACTTCCAGGTGATCCCTTTAAAACATCACGGTAGCTAGGTATGTTGATATACACCTTTAATCCCAGCACTTGGGAGGCAGAGTCAGGTGAATTTCTGGGAGTTCCAGTTCAACCTGTCCTACATAGCAAGTTCTAGGCCAGGGAGACCCTGTCCCCCCCACCCAAAAAAAAAGGAAAGAAAGAAAAGCATACAGTGTTAGAGAAAGAAGGAGGGAATCTTGGAAACTATTCATCTAATGTAGTCCTTGCACCTTCTCCCATATTCCCAGATGAAGAAACCACAGCCACAGGAGGTAACGTTGTTCACTCCTTTGTTCATCCAATGAGGTATTTATTGAGCACTTACTACATGCCACATCCTGTTCTAAGGAGTGGGCCTAGGTGGAAAGGGGCAGATTCTGGGCTGTAAGTGCTGGGCTGTCTTCTGCCCGAGTCTGGATGAGAACGTTAGCGATAAAGCAGTACTGGCAGGTTGTAGGACATCAGTCATGTGAGGGAGCAGGAGGCCAGACTTGCTGCACTGGGAAGATACCAGAACAGGACGAGGACAGGGAGGCTCTGTCAGAACTTCAGCACCTCCTGAGTGTGTCTTCTGGACACAGCTGGCCTTGGTTATCTCTCTTTCTCAATAACTGGGTCAGCACTTAGTCCCCACCTGTAGGGTATCTGTGCCCTGGGGCTAGCTTTTGGTTGTTATAGCTGCTGTTTGAGGAGCCGCTCTACTGACTAAGAACAAATACACCATTTAATACTTTGCGTGACCTTTGGTAAGTTGCTTAATTGGACTAAGCCTGGGTTTGTGAGCAAACTCACCAGCCAGAGTCGTGAGGAATAAATGAGGCACTATGAGTCAAGTAACTTAGCACAGTACCTGGCAGGTAGTAAGCGCTCAATAAATGGTGGCTGCTGCTGCTATGTCATTAGGAGTCCTCCTCTACCTGCACAAATGCTGTTAACCCCACTGTGGCCAAGAGGCAGGGAGAGGGGCGGCCTGCAGGTGGGCAGGTGTGCTTGGCATGGGTGTTGGTGGGAGTCTGTCCTTTGGGGAAAGGCCTAGGTAAGCTTGGCTTTGGGGAAGGACTATCTGACCGGAGACGGCATTGATGGGCAGTGCCCGCCCAACACGCCCGTCTCCTAAGTTTCACCTCGATTAGCTATCCTTGGTTCTCTTTCTGTGGAGTGGGGCGAAGAGATAAAGCAGAGGAAAGCACAAGAAAGCACTGGGGCCTTGTTTACCCTGGGCGTGGACTGTGGCAGTGAAGGGTTCATGGATTCAGATCCATCCCGCCCGGGGCCGCCATCTTAGCTGCATTAGGAACGTTGGCCTATCCAACCTGTGTTCCTCAGGTGCTGCCCAAGCTTTGTGATTTGGGGACGGTGCTGCTCTGGAAGGTGTTCGCAAGTTTAAACCCAGATCCTAAGACTTCACTGGCTGCAATTTTAGAGCTTATATCCTCTTATATGTTTAGATTTTTTTTGTTGTTGTCATTTTTCTCCTTTTTCCATTTGGTTAAAAATTAGGCAGTTTTAGGATGCTAAGATTTTTTAAATGAAAAAAAAACTTTTTAAATGAAAAATCAAAGGACAGCTGGGTGCATGCCTGTAATCCCAGTTACTTGGGAGGCTGAGGCAGGAGGATCGTAAGTACCAGGCCAGCCTGGGTACTGTACTGAGACCCCCCATCTCTCACACATGTGCACACACACACACAAAAAAAAAACCCTCTGAGGTCAGATTACTTTGAGGGGTTACATTTGGGTATAGAAATCAGTAACCTGGCATACCCTTTTTTTTTCCGAGACAGGGTTTCTCTGTATTGTTTTGGAGGCTGTCCTGGAACTCGCTCTTGTAGACCAGACTGGCCCCGAACTCACAGAGATCCGCCTGCCTCTGCCTCCCGAGTGCTGGGATTAAAGGTGTGCACCACCAACACCTGCCTCTGGCACACTTTTTTTGAGCTTGGTTATGGCTTACCCCAGGGTCTGGTGAGATCCTCAGCCACAAAAGGCAGGAAACTGGCCACATAGCACACAGCTTACTCAAATTCCTGTTTTCTTCTTGTTGCACTCATCAAAAGGAGGCTATGGGTTCAGGAGCACAGGCCTGGCTCTCAGTCCCAGGCAGCCCGACTTCTGTGAGAGGGTTCCCTTGATAGCGCAGGGCTGCAGGGCGGGATGGAAAAGCAAGTGAAACAGGGATCGCTGAGATCTGGCTAGGATGCTGTGTGTAGCCTGAGCTCCCCACTGACCTGTCTCTCACCCCCCTGTGCCCCTACTCAAGGTTGAACAAGATCTGTAGTGGTCTGTCCTTTCAGAGGAAAACCCAGTTCATGCAGAGGCTTCACAACTACTGGCTGCTGAAGCGGCAGGCTCGGAACGGCGTCCCCCTCATCAGGCGTCTGCACTCCCACTTACAGTCCCAGAGGAACGCTGAGCAGGTAGGTACAGTGCTGATGGCGGAGGCTCCTGGAGGAGGGTGAGGGGAGGAGGAGAAGGAACGGTGTGAAGGTGGGTTAAACTCCTCCCTGAACCTTCCGAGGAGCCTTGGCCTGTGGGATCACCTCAGACCCGACGGCAGCTCCCCTGGAAGGAGACGCTTTGCATTGGTTCTGGTACTAATGAACCTCAAAGAGGCCATTCCCCTCGGACTGATTAGATCAGACCAGTTCTCCACTTCTCCCCGTGCCTTCCGTCTGTCTGGCCTGTCCGTAGTTTGTCTGTTGGCTGCTGTGTGTGTGGTCTGCTGTGCCTGTACCTAACAAAGGGCTTTCCTCTGTTTGGACAGCGCAGAAAACATGGCATAGGAATGGAATGAGGGATTCTGGATTTTGTTTGTTTTAGACTTGTTTTATGTGTATGGTGTTTTGCCTGTATGGACGTCTGTGTTCTCTGTGGGTGTCTGTGGCCCACAAAGACCAGAAGAGGATGTTGGATGACCTGGGACTGAAGTTATAAATGGCTCTTAGTCTCCACTTGCTTGTTGGGAACTGAACCCTGGTCCTCTGCAAGAGCAGCCAGTACTCTTAACTGCTGCACCATCTCTCCAGTCCAAACCCCTTACAGTTTGACAGTTTTACAAGCAAGAAGTCATTTTACCTCAGCTGACCCAAAGACACTCAATACTGCAAAGAAACCTTAACAAGCTATATCCACATGTTGTTTCCAAAATTTATGGTGGATATTTCTTGCTTCTAATCTGTTGACTGCTTTCAGCAAATGATTATCACAATACTCACACGCTCTCATTGAGTGTACACACACACACACACACACACACACACACATACGTCTGTCTGGGTCAGAGACATGGAAGCAAACATGACAAGATGAAGGCTATGCTTAGGTTGTAAAAGCTAATTGCACAGGAAGTCCAAGGCCTGTAAGATTGGTTATATCGTTCTCTTAAAGGCAGGTTAAACTTAAGCAGGCTGAGTACACAGTAGAACAGTAGTCTGACGACATAATCCTATTTGTTTGTTCTGGTGTTTTGAGGCAGGGTTTCTCAGTGTAACTTTGGAGGCTGTCCTGGAACTCGCTTTGTAAACCAGGTTGGCCTCAAACTCACAGAGACCCGCCTGCCTCTGCCTCCCCAGTACTGGGATTAAAGGTGTGCACCCCCCATTCCCCCTCCTGCTATCTGGTCTCTTGCACCTCTGGTTCCCCAAAGTCTCTGCAGCATTAGCAAACTACCCCCCCTCCCCAGTCTTTGTTCTGATTTTCCCCATGATTTGTTTGACACTGTGGATCGCTGTGCTCACAGATCTGTTTGGTACCTGTTTTTGTTTGCTTTACGCTGTTACATTCTTGTGTTTCAAATGCTGAGCTTCCTCCTTCGCTTAGCAATGGTGACCTCTTCCAGGACTGGATCCACGGGTTTTCTTTTACTTTGCAAGTGCAGGAGCCGTTTGCATGCACGCGTCTACAGTAGTGCAGTGCGTGCAGGGACTGGAAGCAGAATCCCCTGGAGCTGGGGCTACAGGAGGTTGTTGTAAGCCAGGTCCTCCGCAGGTCCTAACCCCTGAGCCATTTCTCCAGCCCTGGAGTCGCTGAATTTTGCTGTTTTACCAAAGTATTTTCAAACCTTAAGCAACTAGTGAGAACTTCACTTTGTGTTCTAGCCAAGGCAAAGCTCCAGGGTGAGATTCTTCCGACCCCGTCTTGTTAGTTTTCTCCTGAAAGTCTTGCCAGCTCCGAGGACCATAGCTGAGCAGCCGTGTCTCTAGCGTTGGGGAAGCGGCCCTAGGTGACCCTTCACTGTTCTCCTGCAGCACCAGGAAGCGTGGGGACAGGTCCTGGGTGGTGTGGGGGAAGTCGGGAAGAGGCGGGATTCCTGCATGTGGAAGCCCTCCGCGGGGAAGCAGGGCTGTCCTGTGGGAAGGGAGGAGGCCACAGCCCGTGTTCTTGCCTTGCTCAGCGGGAACAGGATGAGAAGACAAGTGCGGTGAAGGAGGAGCTGAAGTACTGGCAGAAACTCCGCCACGACCTGGAGCGGGCGCGGCTGCTGATCGAGCTCATCCGCAAAAGGGAGAAGCTCAAGCGAGAGCAGGTGAGCAGAGCCCCGCCCCGCTCCCAATAGAGCCCTATCTGTCTGTGGCAGCAGAGGACTCGGGCAGCTCTCTGGTGCCAGCATTCCTTTTTCCCGCCGGTGCTGAGCACTGTGGGCTCTGTGATCTGCCCACTGGGGATTGGGTGGAGTGCTTCTGCTGGGTGGCGTCTGTGTTTTGTGACTCAGCTCCCTGGGGCTGGAGCCTACCCAAGCTTACTTAGTCCCTCACACCTGAACTGGAGTTCCTGATTCAGGAGTTTGTGGAGGGAGATTGACCTGAATGGTATGAGAAGCTTCTGGAGCTATGGCATGGCATTACAAGATGACAGCCTCCAGCCTGAGATTCTCCCTGGGCCATTTATGGACTTGGAGCCATTTAAAATTTCTAGCCTCAGTTCAAGAACATTCTATAAGCCCCTGACCACAGGGAACGATAAGGTCAGTGGTACAGCGCATGGTTTAGGGGCAGGAGGGGTCTTGTCAAACTGGGTCTAAAGCCTGGCTCTGTTCCTTTCTATTTCTGTAGCACTAAACAAACCACTTAATCTCTGAATGCCTCCGCTTCCTCATCTTCAGTTTCGAGAGAGCAGCAGAGCTGACATCGTAGAGATTAGTTCATGTCTGCAAAAGTTGAGAATAGTGCCTGGCACATAGTCAGGACTGGCAAGGTGGTAGCTGCTGTCATTATTAGTGGTAGTACCGATACTCTGCCCTGCTGGAGTGTCTGCTGGGGTGCTCCACACATGACACAGAGAAAACGTTATTAACTGAGCGGATGACAAGCTCAAACTGTTCTCTCTAGCCCAAGAATAGCAGCTGTCACTCGCATGTTTTCAAGGCCTGGGTTAAAACTGTTCCTTCTTTCATTCAGTTCCAGTGTAAGCTCTCTCCTCAGGCAACAGTTTGAGTTCCATGCTGCATCCTGGGGGCATGTGTGGCCAGGGAGGACCTCTCAAGATCTCTACAGGTCAAACTGTAGTTTTTCTCCAGGCTTGTCCTATAACTTGGATTATCTTCCTAGCTCTGGTCAGGTAGCAGGTTTATGTTGATGTGGACAAGAAGCAGGAAGGAGCTTGTCTGTCTCATGGCATTGCCGTGTTTCATGTTAGGGCACACATGTAAAATAACATTGCACAGGGCACCACTGCAGGTGTTGCTTGAGTGGTGAGCCTGGACTCCTTGGTCACTCTGGACCCACCCACACAAACGTTCTCAGGGAGAGCTCTCAGTGTTGTGAGAGGCACATGTGCTCACCTTCAGGGTCATCTGTGTGCTTGCACTCAGGCCCAGGCTCACACGCTTTCTCAGTCATTTTCCAACCAGGTAACCCATGGCAATTCAATCAAGTTGTCACCAAACTTCGTGTGTCATAGTTATAAACTGGGGGTATTAATTTCTGCTTCAGTTTCTGTGTTCTTAATTGAGATAATACAGGGAGAAGAGCAGTATGGCATAATGGTCTGGAACATTCTGTGGAAGCCAAATGAAGCTCCGTACTAACTTGGCCCCATTAGCCATGCAACCTGGAGTCAGTTACCTGGTCTCTCTGTCTCCACTTCCTCACTTAATGTCACATAAAATGCCTAGACTGGCCCCCATGCAGATCCTCCCATAACGTATATCTATAACTAAAAATAAAGTAAATCTTTTAAAAATGCTTAGACCATTACTTGGGACCTAGCATGGGTCATAAAGTGTTAATTATTATAATCAATAATTGTTATTACTTCTGTAAGTTTTGGTATGGTTCTTTTGTTTTGAGAAACCCTGTCTCAAAACCTTGTGAAGAACCTATTGCACACGATTGATAGCAGCCGGGTTAAAGACTCAGTGCCTCTTTGTTTTTTTTTTTTTTTTTTGGGTTTTTTTTTTTTTTTTTTTTTTGGTTTTTCGAGACAGGGTTTCTCTGTATTGTTTTGGAGGCTGTCTGTCCAGCCTGGCCTCAAACTCACAGAGATCCGCCTGCCTCTGCCTCCCGAGTGCTGGGATTAAAGGCGTGCGCCACCACCGCCCGGCTCAGTGCCTCTTTGTTGAGTTACTCTGGTCACTCCTACTTTCCTTACAGGTCAGGGTGCAGCAGGCGGCCATGGAGCTGGAGCTGATGCCCTTCACGGTTCTGCTGAGGACAACCCTGGACCTGCTGCAGGAGAAGGACCCTGCACACATCTTTGCTGAGCCTGTCAGCCTGAGTGAGGCAAGTCGCCCCTCCAAGTATCAAACCCCTCCTGGAAATGACCTCTGAGGAAACCAAAGAAGGGGTGGGGCCACAGGGCGTCCAGAACTGAGGGCGGGGTGGTGTCTGACAGGTGTCTGGGTAGACCACGCCCTGAGGCTCTCAGTGAGCCTGACATGGCCACAGCAGAAAGTTGGGTGCGCCTGTGTGGCCCATAAATAGTTGTTGTAATTGTACAGGTTTTATATGTTTAGGTTCCAGATTACCTGGAATTCATATCCAAGCCAATGGATTTTTCTACTATGAGGCGGAAGCTGGAATCTCACCTGTACCACACCTTGGAGGAGTTTGAGGAGGACTTTAACCTTATAGTTGCCAACTGCATGAAGTATAATGCTAAAGACACAATTTTCCACCGAGCAGCTGTCCGCCTGCGGGACCTGGGAGGGGCCATCCTGCGGCATGCTCGTCGGCAGGCAGAGAGCATCGGCTATGATCCCGAGAGGGGTACCCACTTGCCCGAGTCACCCAAATTGGAAGACTTTTACCGATTCTCCTGGGAGGATGGTGAGAAGCTTGGATGGGTAGGGAGGAGAAGGACCAGGAAGAGAGACACAAGGACAGGGCCCAGAAAGCCCAGGGTCAGGGTGGGCCTTGGAGGTGCGAAGCAACCGTTGGGAGCCAATAGGTGTGCTCAGTGTGTGGCTGGGATAATTCTGAGGCTTCGGCTGGTGCACCGAGTGCCTGCTGAGTGTCAGGAAAGGCGTGGCTGTCTGTTTAGAAAACCACGGCCTATCAGCAGGCGTCATCTCCTGGAGAAGTGTAGCACTTGCCATGCAGTAGTGTAGCACGGGAGCACGGAGTGGGAGGACCAGAAAGTAGACTGCCTGTGAACACCCCACTACCCTGCCTGTCTCTGTTTGGTGCATAGTCACCCACACCCGGGACTGCTAAGCCATTGTGTGCCTGCCGTATGGCCATAGCTGTCACTCAATTGCTTCCTGTAGCTGTTTCCCACATTCTGGCCTATCATTCCTAGACAGCAGTGTTGTAGGGCCAAGCCCCACACTGACACTGCTGGAAGTCACTGACCTGAGCATTCCAGGGGTTTATTTTGTATCCAGATTTCTCTGGCCCAGCGTGAGTCACATGCTTCAGCCTCTTCTGTCCTCCCTTTTCCCTGGCAGTGGACAACATCCTCATCCCAGAGAACCGGGCCCATCTCTCCCCAGAGGTGCAGCTGAAGGAGCTGCTGGAGAAACTAGACCTGGTGAGCGCTATGCGGTCCAGCGGGGCCCGCACCCGTCGTGTCCGCATGCTTCGCAGGGAGATCAATGCCCTTCGGCAAAAACTAGCACAGCCAGCGCCACCACAGCTACTGTCAGCGAACAAGACAGGGTCCAGTGGGGAGCTGGCAGCAGGACCTCAGGGCGACACAGCTGTGCTGGAGCAGGCCCTGCAGGAAGAGCCGGAAGATGATGGGGACAGAGGTGAGACAGGGTCACAGGCAGGGTGCGGGGTGGGTAGGGTAGTAGGAGGAGTAAGAGGCTAACATCTCTTGAGAGTATCCTCCCAAGTATAGGTCTCACCCTGCAGGTAAGCAAAACCCTTGGCAAGGGTCTCCCTTCCGACCACCTTTGGGATGCTATTACAGATATTTAACAATCAATGGAAAACAAAATTTATTTTATCAGAGTAGATTGTGGCTCTTGTATTGGTCTGGGCTCCCAGGGAATCCAGGGGTTCTGGAACAGTTAGGTGCAGGGTTAAGGGAGGGTCTTAGACATTAGGGTGACGGAGTCCAGAAGCTTTGTACTAATTTAAGTATGAGGCAGTTTTGCATCTGATACAGCGGCACTGAACATTACAGCTAAATAGCTTACTCCACCACTCTGGAGTTGCTCTGAGAACAGGTTAGACTGGGATGTGAGAGGATAAGGGTGGGGACGTAAAAACTCTTCTAGCCTGGATCTTTTTAATTTTGTGTGTATGGTTATTTTGCCTGCTTCTATGCCTCTGTGAGGGTGTCAGATCATCTGGAACTGGAGTTACAGGCAGTTGTGAGTTGCCATGTAGGTGCTGGGAATTGAACCTGTGTCCTCTGGAGGAGCAGCCAGTGCTCTTAACTGATGACCATCTCTCCATTCTCCCCAGTCCCCTACTCCCCATCCTTTTTTTTTTTTTTTTTTTTTTTTTTTTGGACAGGGTTTCTCTGTATAGCTCTGGATGTCCTGGAACTCGCTCTGTAGACCATGCTAGCCTTGAACTCACAAAGATCCCCCTGCCTCTGTGTCCCAAGTGCTAGGAAAAAAGGTGTGCACCACCACCGCCCAGCTTGATTCTTGGTTTTGATCCCAGCTGGCCATCCCAGTCAGAGGTGTCAGACTATAAAAGGCCTAATTGATTCAAGCAGGTGGCTTTCTCAGGTGTAAAGGGACATTTGCAGCCGTGTTATGAGAATCACTTGGTAAGCTGTCTAAACTGTCCCCTGCCTTAGTGATTTAAGGACGCCATTCCCAAAAGCCCAGGAGCCATTTATGAGCTGAGCTACTTCCCATGCCTCCCCTTTGGTGAGGACAGAGTTATCTCACTGGTGCCCTTGCCCTGAGCCCAAGGTTTGGGGAGGCCTGCCACTCACATAGTCTACACCTGGGAGTTACCTCTACTTGGTAAGGCTCAAGTTGAAGCCAGTGGCCTGTTTTATTGTAGGTTGAGGACATGACTGAGAAGCCACACAGGACATCAGAAGGCTCTTCATAATTTTCCTAGGGCAGTCAGCATGTCGTTTGAATTCCACCCCTTGACTCATGCACAAGTGACCAATTGCCTTAGCATCGCCATGAGGGTTTCAAGATAAAGATGAAGAGGTTGCCATGGGGAGGTCTGGGCTATGGCTCTGGAGTAAAGCTCCAAGTGGAGCCGACTGTTTGGGAACCCCTGACTTAATGCCCTTGGTCTGAGTCCCTACATTTGCAGGCACCGTTTCTGCCTGCCGTGTGTCCTCAGAAAACAAAGTTGTCTTGGTGCGAGTCGTAATCCTCCAGTCTGTGCAGCTGAAACCTCACCTAATTACTGGCTAAGCAGGTGGCTTCCTCGGATATGAGTGACATTTGCAACACACACTATCAGGTCCCAGCTCTTTACAGGACGTCCACCTTCCCTGTATGATTTGCCTTCACTTTTTTTCTGTAGTATAACCTAGGCTTAAAATTCTTAGAAAACTTCCTAGTTGATTCTAACACAGAGCGAGGATTGAGAACTATTAAGTGTGTACAAAGCTGACCCTACCTTTTATCGTTTGCTTCCATCTGAGGCCTAAGAGGTGACAAAGCCATGAAACAGCTCATGCTCTTGTTCTTTGCTTATCAGAGTCAGTATCTGGCTTGTAGGAGCAGACTGTTGCTAGAATGTTCAAGCAGGCTCTCTTTTTCTCTAACAGATGATTCCAAATTGCCTGCCCCACCAACCCTGGAGCCTACCGGGCCTGCACCATCCTTGTCTGAACAGGAGTCCCCTCCAGATCCCCCCACCCTGAAACCCATCAGTGATAGTAAGCCTTCAAGCCGGTCCCTAAAGTCCCGGAAGGTGGAAGAGGAGGAGCTCTTGGAGAAATCAGCTCTGCAGCTGGGGAGTGAGCCCTTGGAATGTTTGCTCAGTGACAATGGCATTGATAGACTGTCTCTCATAAACCCTGACAGCCCTCCTGGTACCCCTCTCGGCGGGGTGGGCCGCCGTACATCAGTTCTCTTCAAGAAGGCCAAGAATGGGGTTCAGCTGCCGAGGAGTCCAGACGGCACCCTGGAGAATGGCGAGGACAATGGTACCGTGGGTTCTCCTGCTTCTCCAGCCAGCACGGAAGATGAGCACTGTTCCAGGAAGCGGCCAAGGAGCGGGAGCTGCAGTGATAGTGAAGGGGAGAGGTCCCCTCAGCAGGAGGAAGAGACAGGTGACCCCGCCTGTGACTTCTGCTATTTCCAGTCTGCCTTCCTGCTTCGTCTTGCCAGGGGGCGCCTTCCCCTGTCAGCCGTCTCCAGTGGCCTCTGAGAAAACAGGCTTAGAGCAGTTGTTTTCAGAGGGACGGGTTGTATATCGGACTGTCACTGGCCTTGAGGGGAATGTACAACTTAATATGGTAAAATGGGTCCTACTGTCACCTCAGTTTGCTCTTGGGATACTTTTGTCAGACACTGTCTTAGGCACTGGAGGAAAATTAGTGAATGAAACACGGAAATCTCTCACAGAACAGACTAAAGGCAAACGAGAGCTCTTGTATTAGAAACTTTGGAGACGATTAAGAAAACACACATCAAACCATCAGAGAAGAGGGCAGAGAGTGCTGGGTGGCATGAGACAGAGCCCAGAGGGAAGGGGGGCATTTGAGCAAGGATTTGAAGGAGCTGCAGGTGTGAGCTGTTTGTATCTAGGGGAAGGATGTTTTAAGGACTTGCATGTCCACAGAGCAGCCATGATGTGGCTGGGAGGGGAGGTCGCAGAGCACATCACAGGTGCTGGACCACTGGAGTCCAGTGGGGACAGGGTGATAAATCAGGCCCAGTCCCAGCTCCTCTAAGTAGCCCAAAGTGTGGGGTCTGGTGTTGGGTAACACTGCCAGAGACACTGGGGGAACTTGTCCCGGAGTTAGGAAGACTTCTCTTGAAGGTGCATGTAACCCCAAGGAGGAAGACACCTCTCAGGGACAGTGGGTGTTCACTGCAGCCTCAGTCAGCAAGGCACGGGTGGGACAGGACAGCTGCTCCTCCCTTTAGCTCCTCCTGGCGCTCATCCTTTATGTGGTGTCTCTGAGTTGTGTGCCTAGTGCTTCTTTCTCTCTTCCCTTTCTCCAGTGCTACCTTCCCTTCCTGCAGGCCACGCCTCTCTGCAGTAGGCTAGATGTTTAGGACATTAGAGCAAGAGCTTGAAGTTCGGATCCGACCTCCCATTGGCTGTGTGGCCTGGAGGGTGGTGCTCTTCCTGAGCCTGCTTGGTCGTAACTGATGTGGAAGACTAAGGTTGGAGCAGATTAGGAACACAGCAGATAGCAGCCAACAGTAGCAGCAATTGTCATCTCCTCATCCGTGTGTCTCAGCCCAAACAGCGTGGAGAACACTGCGCTTAAATGAAAGCCTTTGCTGGTAGGGACATCAGGCCCATCAACCTGGAGCCCTGATGCTTGTGGATGCTACAACAGTGTCCCTTTCCTAGCCCCCACATGCTGGCACCCGGGAACACTTGTGTTTACAACCGTCTTTGGAGCTCAGAAAGAAGGCATTGATCCTTTACAGGCAAGACACAGTGGGACTCTGTGACTCACATTGAGGTCATCACATTTGAGGAAGGACCAGGTTAGGGAAGCCACATCTTGCCTTAGGCACCTGCTCTCAGAAGTGTGGCTGGCCTCACAATTTTCTGGCCACGGTGTCACAGCTCCCAAATCAGGCCCAATCCACCTTCAGTCTCGGTTCAATGATCAGAGCTATAGGACTCTACAGTTAGAACTCAATAGATAAAAAAGGAAGCCTTCATGGTAAGGTGATCCTAGGACGATGAAACGGTCCCCTCTAACCGGGTGCCTTGCCGAAAAAGGATCCATACCAAACAGCATCCTCTACTTCACCAAAGGCAGGGGTGGAGCTCAGCCTGGAGCCAGGGTTCTGATGCTCCATTCTGCCCTCTTCCAACTCTCGCTAGCTCTGTGCAATAGATATCCCTAGATGTGCTTGACACTGAGCCCTTCTCCTGCCATAGCTTCTCCTGCCATCATCCCTGAAGAAGGAAGTTGCCAGCTGGGGTAGGGAGGGCTTGTGAGTGTTTTATCACCAGAGGCGGGCGGCTCCTCCAGCCAGAGAATTCCCTGCTAACTGAGGTTCAAAATTAGAGCAGGTCCAGGTGAAGTCTTACCTGGGTAGTCAGGGGTGTGCTGCTCAGGCAATGCAGTCTGCTCACTAGCTTAACATTCTCCGTGAGGGTCCCTCTGCTACCTAAGATGTAGTCCTTACAGGGGAGGGATAGCCTCCTACCCACTCCCCCCCTCTGAGGCATGTGTCAGGGAAGGGAGATTCTACACTCAGGGCTCACTCTGCGTGTCCTTGGCAGGCGTGACTAACGGCTTCGGAAAACACACCGAAAGCGGGTCTGACTCGGAATGTAGTTTGGGTCTCAGTGGAGGACTGGCGTTTGAAGCTGACAGGTAAGGATGTTTACCCACAAAGCTCGGGCAGCCTGGAGACCACCTTTTCCTTCATTCTCCATTCAGTGTCAGACAGAGCTTCCTTATTTTGTCCTCACTACCCTTCCCTCAGGCTCTGCTCCATACCTGGGAACTCTGAGGGAAACGGCTGACGGTTGATCGTCAGAGCCGCTCTAATAGAAGAGTAGTGTTGATGAATTTGTGGGGCTCCCTGCCCTGTTGCCCAGTGAAGCTACCATTTGAGACACACACACATACCCCAGTACCACATACACACATGGATGAACCCAGTTTGTTGCGGACATGGTTTTGACTAAGCCTCGTAGGGTTTCGTAGGGTTGGTCTCTTTGGTTTGAGCTTCCGTTCTGTGATGCTGAGGGCCTCATACGTGCTAGGCAAGTGCTCTACTAGTAAGTTACAACCCAAACCTTTTTAGGTTTCATTTTCTCTCTCTCTCTCTCTCTCTTGGTTTTCCAAGACAGGGCTTTTCTGTATTGCTTTGGAGGCTGTCCTGGAACTTTTCTCTGTAGACCAGGCTGGTCTTGAACTCACAGAGATCCACTGTATAGTCTTGGCTGGACCGGAATTCTGAGCACTTTCATTGCCTCTGCATCGGGAGTGCTGAGATTACAGGCGCATATACCACCATGTCTGGGTTTGGCCAGGATTTGAACTAGGGTTGAACTAAGTAGCTCAAGTTAGCCTCCAACTCTCAACCCTTGTACACCCCCACCCCACTTCCCAGCACTGACCTCTTCAAAGATATTGTGTAGGGATGAGCAAGCATGAAGTTTTCAAGGTCCCTTTTCCAAAGGCTCCAGGTTACCTGCCGTTGAGAAGAGATGGGCTTCTGTTGTTGAACCTGAAGGGAGGATTTCTGAGACAGCATTCGTTTATCCCAAGTCTAAGAGTTTACTGAGCCGGGCGGCGGTGTGCACGCCTTTAATCCCAGCACATGGGAGGCAGAGGCAGGCGGATCTCTGTGAGTTCAAGGCCAGCCTGGTCTACAAAGAGAATTCCAGGACAGCCTCCAAAGCCACAGAGAAACCCTGTCTTGAAAAACAAAACAAAACAAGAGTTTGCTGAGCTCATTGCCCTGCGTTTTCTGTTCAAGACTCTGGTTAGAGAGGGGTGCTTGAATGAGAGGACCTTGGTGCCACAAGGTGAGATGACTGCTGAGAGAATCCACCAGAAATCTGGTCTGTGTCTGAAGGCTTCTAAAGCAACCTTCACTGGCATGCACCAGCTGAGCTTCCTGGTGGAGCTGTGTAGGCCTCCAGTCACACGCTGGCCTTGTCCTGTGGAGACAGTTGACCAAGGCTAGAGGAGGCAGATTTCAACATGTTAGAACACGCTTCTTGCTTGCTCTCAGGTTGGAGTTCCTGGCTTCCTTCAAAACAGATACTTCAGCCAAGCATGGTGGCCCATACTCATAACCCTAACACTTAGGGAACCGAGATAAGAGAATCAGGAGCTCAAGACCAGTCTTGGCTGTATAGCAAGCCCTGCTTAAAAAACAAAAACAAGAGCCGGGCGTTGGTGGTGCACGCCTTTAATCCCAGCACTCGGGAAGCAGAGGCAGGCAGATCTCTGTGAGTTTGAGGCCAGGCTGTTCAGAAAGGCTCCAAAATAATACAAAGAAACCCTGTCTTATAAAACCAAAAAAAAAAAAAAAAAAAAAAAAAAGAAATTAAAAAACAAAAACAAGGCTGGTGGTGGTGACACATGCTTTTTACCCCAGCACTAGGGAGGCAGAGGCAGGCAAATCTCTGTGTTGACAGAGTGAGTTCCAAGACAGCCAGGACTGTTTCACAGAGAAACCCTGTCTCAAAAAACAAAAATAACCACTAAAGCTAAGCAAATATGTAAGTGCCCGGAAGTTCAGTTTACTGGAGATGGTAGGAGTGAGGTCAGCCATCGGTCCCCTACCAGCCCTCGGATAGCATTTTCTCTCACGAAGGGCACGCTTCCCAGCTGTGAGTCAGGAGAAGCAGGAGAAACGTTTGCTTTTGTGATGAACTCCAGCCAGCTCCCACTATCTGCTTTCTCTGGAGCTTCTGCTTGATAGAGGAGTTGCCCCTGAACAGTATTTCCTCTTTCAGTCTGCCTCTCAGAGTTTAAACTGAGGGACTGGGACCTCACAGGTGAAGGCAAGGCTGCCAAGCCTGATGGTGTGAGCTCAGTCACCAGGGTCACACAGTAGAAATAGCCAGCCCCACAGGCTGCCCTCTGACCTCCACACACAGGTGCATGACAGACAGACATACACACACTTTAAAAGAAAGTAAAGTAAGTAAAATTGGAGATCAAGGGTTCTTTCTGACTGAGTGTTCTCTCTCCCCATCCCAGCCTGCCTCCTCTCCATGCTAGGAAGGATATGAAGGAAGCTCTCTCTCTGTTGTACGGAAGCCATGTCACCTTTTTGTTGTTGCTGCTTTGTTCTCATCTGTTTTTATTTGAAACAGGGTCTCTCAACTTAGCTCTGGCCATCCCGGAACTCACTGTGTGGACCAGGCTGACCTCAAGCTCCCAGAGATCTGCCCACCTCTGCCTCTGCCTCCTGAGGGCTGGGATTTGAGGCATGCACTGCTCACTAACCCATGCTTAGCCCCTCTTGTCCGTTTGCTCCGTGGCTGGTCTCTTCCAATGGTCTCCTGAGCACCTTTCCAATCATTGTCGCACCCCATGACAGTCTCACGTACCCCAACGGTGAACTCACTGTGACAGAGACGGGCCCTTGGACTCCTGATTCCCCCAGCTCCACCTCCCAAGTGCTAGGATGACATTCACGCCCCACCACGCCCAGCTGTACCCTCCTTTGTGGGTCACTCCTGCAACTGCAGATAATTGAACGCCTATGGTGTGAGTCACTGTTGTTAAGATACATGTCAGTTCCCATAGCTCATCTGGTAGAGGAGGCAGATGGAGATTATACATATACAACTGTATAACAATGCAGGCTATCCTGCATTGGCCTGGGTCTTTGGGGCAGTCTGCAAAGCAAGCCTCAGTGACGTACATCTACCTCATCAGAACCATACGGAACTTGTTCTGCTGCAGCCTAGTTTCCCATGCCTTTCCTGGTCACGCTGGCACTCCGTCAGAACAGAAGTGTGTGGTGTGAGTGTGTGTGTGGTGTGTGTGTGATACTAGACCTGAGAACGTGAAACCATTCCCAGAATGCATACGGTGCATGCGTGTGTGGTGTGTGAGTGTGTGTGTGAGGTGTGTGTGTGAGTGTGTGGTATGTGTGTGTACGCGTGTACTTGTAGCTTTTCCACAACACCTCTCGGGTGCTCACTGGTCAGGGTCACAGCAGTGATGAGACAAGCTGACCTTCCTCATCCCTCGGCTGCCTTGCCCTGCTTTTTTTCCTCCTGTGTCCTAAATCTCTCCAGGGTTAGCGTGTGAACTTAGACTTCTGGTGAAGTCACTAGCGTTTCCAACTATACCTCAGTCTCTGAAGTCCATGGACAGGTTTTTTTTTTTTTTTTTTTTTTTTTTGGTTTTTCGAGACAGGGTTCCTCTGTGGCTTTGGAGGCTGTCCTGGAACTCGCTTGGTAGTCCAGGCTGGTCTCGAACTCACAGAGATCCGCCTGCCTCTGCCTCCTGAGTGCTGGGATTAAAGGCGTGTGCCACCAACGCCCGGCTCCATGGACAGGTTTTGTAGGGAAAGTGTACCAGATCATCCGTGTAAATTGAGTATTGCTGGTATTGTTTCCTAAACGAGTGCCAGCTTTGTTTACTGAAGGATTGTGAGTCATAATTTGGTTAAGCTGAGCTTTCTTATCCTAAATTCAGCTGTCTGACTTAGTGAAGTAGGATGCCACACTGTAGCCCCATCCCTTGCTGTGTCTAATCCCATCCAGAGTTTTCTAAGCATTTTGGCTGTTTTTTTTTCTTAAAAAAAATGACTCAAGGGAGATGCAAGCCAGCCACCCCTCCCCCCCAGGGAAGCAGGACATGTGGGTAATGAGGTAAAGCCTAGTGCTGGTGGCTCTCACCTTTAATCCCAGCACATCAGGAGGCAGAAGCAGGGGGATCTCTGTAAATTCAGGGCCAGTCTGGTCCGCAGGACAGGCTACACAGAGAACCCCTGTCTGGAAAAAAAAGAAAAGAAAATGCAGTAAAAAGCCATCAGCCATGTGACAAAGCATAGATTTAAAAAAATTGGTTAATTTAAGTGGAAGAATTAGCTAGTAACAAGTCTGAGCTATCAGCTGAGCATTTATACACAATATTAAGCCTCTCTGTCAGTTATTTGGGACTAGTGGCTAGGATTGGGAAAGAAACATCTGCCTACAATTAACTCATCTTTTAACCACCTTTTAAAAATCTGGTTGAAAAATTACAGACCAATATTTTTATTTATTTTTGAGACAGAGTCTTACTATGTAACTCATCTGGTTTGAAACTCACTCTGTAGATTGTCTAGCCTCAGAAATCAGAGATCCATCTGACTCTGCCTCCCTAGTACTGGGATTAAAGGTGTGTAGCACCAGACCCAGCAGCAATAGTGGATTTTAAAGTTTGATGGGGGTGGGGGCTCCCAGCTGCATAATTCTTTCCCCAAGGCTCCCAGCTCTGGATTGTGCATTAAAATTGCATGAGCATTTTTCAAATTGCCAGTGCCTTGGTGGCCTTGGTTCAGCTTTGGTTATCACTTCTTTTTCTTGTCTAATATATAGTTTACCCTCCCTCCCTCCCTCCCTCCCTCCCTCCCTCCCTCCCTCCCTCCCTCCCTCCCTCCCTCCTCTCTCTCTCTCTCTCTCTCTCTCTCTCTCTCTCTCTCTCTCTCTCTCTGTCTCTTTCTTTCAGAGAAGCCCTCACTATAGATCCCTGGCTGTTCTGGAACTCGCTCTGTAGACCAGGCTGGCCTCAGGCTCACAGAGATCCACCTGCCTCTGCCTCCCGAGTGCTGGGATTAAAGCATGTGCTACCATGTCCAGGATTTAACTTCTTTTAGAAAGTATTTTATTGCATTTGTGTGTGTGTTTAAGTGTGCCACCATGTTTGCAGAGTTTGTAGAAGCTGGTACTCTTTCATCATGTGGGTCTGGGGGATCAAACTTAGGCTTGGCAGCAAGTGCTTTTACCCACTAACCCATCTCACCTACCAGACTCTGCTTCTCTGAGTAGTGTTGTGTAAAGAAAGAAATTGGTCTCCTTTTTAGTTGGTAAAGAGAAAAAAAAAATCCCTATCCAAGAAAAACTTCACACACAAACCATTTGGAAGTGAGAAGGTTTTTTTTGTTTGTTTGTTTGGTTGGTTGGTTTTTTTCAGTTTAAAAATGTCTTTGCTAATTCTGGGAAGAAGATGTGCCTGTTATAGAACATTTGGAAAAGAGGCAAATTTTTGGACCTCAAAAATAAATTAGTTTCTCAAGATGAAGCTTGTGGAACCCAGAGTGCAGATTTGGACAAGTGAGAGAGAGGGCCTCATTGTGACTGGACTGTCCTCTGAGAGGCTGAGCTGAGACTGTGTTGGAGTTCTTACGGTTTGGGGCTTTTGAGGCAGAGTGTAGCAGTGTAGCCCAGGCTGGCCCAGAACTTCTGCTTCTGAACTAAAGGCATGCACCACTGTGCCCAGCCTCCCTCATGACCTTCCCTCTGAATGAAATGCTCCTCTGTGTAGGGAAAGCAGTCCCTCCGCAAGGGTGGAACAAGGATGGACTGGTTTCTGGAGAAACGTCCAGGTCTCATGTGCCATGGGTAGATATTGGCCTTTGGCTTTGGAGCTCCGTGCCTTTAGAGATGGAAAGCGGGAGTGGGTTTGTCACAATTAAAACGGCTCACTCGCTTCACCTCTCCGTTCTGTGTGCAGTGGCCTGACACCGCCCAAACGCAGCCGCGGGAAGCCTGCCCTGTCTCGAGTGCCCTTCCTGGAAGGTGTGAACGGAGACTCCGACCACAGTGGCTCAGGTGAGGATACTATTGAGGCAGAGCTGGGAAACAGACGTTCTGAGGGGCAGGCTGTCTGAACTGCTGCTACACTGCAGGGGCTCTTAATGTGGCTGACTATCAGTCTGTGAGGGGCCACACACAGACACTGCTAGAGAGATGGCCTTCACTCATGGGTCACTACCTTTTCTTTTTTTAAACTATCTTCAGTTTGTATCCTATTGCAGTGGTGATGATGATCATGACCCAAAGCAACTTGAGGGAAAGGTTTCCTTCTCTTTACAGCTTGAAGTCCATCACGAAGGGAAATTGGCCAGAATGGAAGCGGAGGCCATTGAGGAACTCTATGTACTGGCTTGCTCCCTGTGATTTGTTAGCCCGCTTTCTTACACAGCCCAAGGCCACATGCCCAGGGGTGGCATAAACCACAATGGGCTGGCCCTCCCTTATCAATTGTTAGTCAAGAAAGTGTCCCACAGACTTGCCCACAGGGCAGTGCGGAAGAAGCATTTTCTCAGTCAAGATTCCCTCTTCCCACCCTAGCTTGTGTCTAAGTTGACCAAAAGACAAAACAAAACAAAAAATCTCCCCAAACAAAAACAAACTAGCCGGCACAATTTGAATAGTTAACACGTGCCCATGGTAACGGAAACCCAGAAGGCTCTTATGAAAGCCTGCATTCCTCTCTGGAATGTCAGCTGCTGGCTTTCCTTGTTGTTTTTCTCAGAGCTACTTAATGTATATCCAAGCTGAAACTTGTTTGTATGTTGGAGAGTAGCGTGGAGGCCCCACTGTTTCTTCATAGTATTCCCTGGAAATCCTTTGTTTTCTCTCAGTTTCTCTCAGCTTCCCAGTGGCCCATTGTATCAGAGGACTCTTCGTCGGCTTCACTGTAGCTCTCCACAGACAGACTTTAAAATGCCTTCATCATCAGGGCTGCGTTGTGCATCCTGTGTGCGGAGGTCATTTCTTCTGGGACTATTAGGCTGAAGGGAGGGTGTAGTTACAGTTTTGGTTGGTGTTGCCTGGCTGTCGTTGGTGATAATGTGTGTCACTCAGAACCCTCTAGCTTTGCAGATTGTACCTATTTAGCATAATGGGAATGAGGACAAGGCAGGGGCAATGGGGTGAGGCTGGGGTGATTCCCAGATGGAGCAGGGCCAGGGCAGCCTGCTTCATAGCTCATGGTTGTCTGTCACATGCACTCCGGATGGCCTGCCTTTGAAGTTTCCTCTAATGCACAGGGCTCTTTCCCTGGTCCAGTCGCTTCCTTCTGTTTTTACTGTCATCCCCTTCCCCAGTGTGTGTTGACAAATGGATGCATGCCTTTAAGTTCCATTACCCTGTGACTGTCTGCTCTCAGACGGCGGGCGGGTCTCAGGTCCAGATGAATCTGTACATCTAAGCTTGAAGCCAGGAAGTGTATCTGACACACTTTGTGCTTCTGGTGGTGACTTTTTTTCCCCTTACTTTTTACGTCCCCATACTAAAAACGATGCCAAAGGATATTTAAAAAGAATTGCACTCTCATAGCTTCACCATCTGAACACAGCTGTCTCCACATCTGTGTTGCTTCCGTTTCTTTTAGGCACATTTTAACAAGTGCAGATCTGATACGCACACTTTTATACTCAACAGTTTTCCTCAGATACTTTTTCCTTGTTGGCTCATGAACTCTCTGTGCTGAAACTATCACTGGAACCATCTACCTGACAACCAGTGCTCTGTGATGGGCTTGTGTGTTCTAGTGGACACTGGGTTAACTCCAGCTTCAGCATACACAATATAATGAAGGCACATTTTTTGCCCCAAATCCTTTTATTGCCTTTTTTATAGTAAGTTTCCTGAGCAGATGGCTCATACATTTATTTTAGCGCTCCTGGGACACTGCACAGAATTGCATTGCAAAAGGCTGGACTGGTCTGCAGTTTCACTGGTGCACGGCTGCACTCAGCGTTAGGTTTTATCTGTTCATTGTTAATGTGCTTCACCCACTGGCACCGAAACAGCACCTTTCTTCCTCTCAGTTAAGGGTTTTACGTCTCTCCTCAGATCTGAGCCCTTTTCCTTAGCTGTGGGAAGGGTCACCTTGTTCACAGTTTGCAAGTGTGGGGAAGGAAAGACTTCTGTGGTGCTCAGAGTCCTAGTGAGGCTGAGGAGGTGCTGCTCCTGTCCCTGACTAAGCATTTAGGGTCACCAAAGACCCTGCTGGTTTGAGCTGCAGCTGGGCACTTGGAGGTCCCCTTGTGACCTGGTCAGAAAGACTCTTAGCAGTTGGTTCCACAGGGGTGTTCTTCTTGGGACTTTCCCCCGGGGAGGGCTCCCCACTCAGGTGCAGACAGCAGTGTCTGCTCAGGCTGGGGGATGGCCCTGGAGGTGAAGCCCTTATATTTTCTCAGGTTCAGAGGTGGGTAAACTGTAGCTGCCTGCTTTTATGTGACCCTTAAGCTAGGAACGGTTTTACATCTTAAGTTAGGAGACGATGGTATTTTATAACATGAGAATTGTATGAAATTCAAATTTCAGTGTCAGAAACACTAGTTTTGTTGGTGAGTCGAAATACTCATTTGCAGCTGCGGAGACCCTCTGGCTCCTAGAAGGATGAGAGATTTACTCTTGGGTCATTTAGAGGACTAGTTTGCTGATACCTGACCCAGCCTAAGAACTCCTAAAGAGAGGAAGGGCAAGGAAGAGGAAGGGTGGAGGGTGCTGCTGGTTCAGTCCTGGGCTGCCCCAGTCAGATAGAAGCCACAGGCAGGCTGTGGGGCACCATGCCAAGTCCCCTTTGGGCTCTGTCTCCTCCCCTCCCCCACCCCCAGGCAGAAGCCTCCTGATGCCCTTTGAAGACCGCGGAGACCTGGAGCCCCTGGAGCTGGTGTGGGCCAAGTGCCGAGGCTACCCCTCCTACCCTGCCTTGGTGAGTCTGCCCCAGACGACACCCTCCTGTCCCCTTTTCCTCCTGGCGGCTTTGGCCCCTGCCTTACCTTGGGGTTATCTGATTGGATCCAGCCAGCAGAGTGTGATGGGAGTCTGGGCATCTTTAGCTGCAGAGGGGTGGGGGGCTTTACCATAGCCTTCCTGGGGCAAACCAGCAAGCCCCCACACAGAAGGCTCCAGGTGTTCAGAGACGAGGTTCTCAGGGCTCTCGTAGCAATGTTCATTTACTTCTGTGTAGGAGGAACATTGCTCAGTGTAGTTTTAAAATGCTGCTAATAATGCTTAGCTGTGTTACTAAACATCTGCCATACTAAATCCTTGAAATGCCAGGGGCAAAAGAGAGCAGGGTCTGTTAGCCACTGTCTGCCAACTAATAAGCAGCAGGGTTGGAATTTGATTCCAGAGCTCACAAGCCTTCATTTTGAGCCGCCGTGTTAAAGATTGTCCCCTGTGTTGTCCTCTCAGGACCGTGCCCAGTATAAGCCTGTCCTGTGAGGCAGCACCACCTCTAGCCTTCGCACTCCACGCACACCGTGAACATGTCGGTCTCACACGATAAAAAGCTTCCATTGTGTCCTTTGTAACGATGACATCCCCCTTCAGTCGCTCTCATGTTCCACACTTTGGCCATTTCCAATTCTCCATTTAGATTTATTTCTTCACTGTTGTCAGTGAGCATCTTAGCTTCATCTTGGACAATCGTGATTGTTTTTTAGGAGTACCCACTAGAGCCAGCATCTATACAGAAGTCTGGCACAAGTTGCCTGGAAATTTAGTTCCCATTAGCAGTGGCTAACAACTATTTACCACCTTGGCTCTCCCAGGGTTGGGAGGAGATGGCCACAGGCTCTGGAAGACAGCACCAACTGGGGACCTTTGGGTCTCGTTAGAATCTCCTGGCCATTTTAAGTTATACAAAGTCAGCTCCGCCCGGCAACACCAGATGAGCCTTCTCGAGACTGGGCTGAGGTGTCAGCGCTCTCAGTAGTTTATTAGGGTCTGTGTCACTGGTGGGAATCACCAGCAACCTCTCATATGCACAGCTCTGGGCTCTTCCCAGCCCTGCCTCTCGGTGTCTCTTGAGCCTAACAGCAGCTTCCTAAGATAAGGCAGGAACTCTGCTCCTGTTTGAGGCGATGAAGGAACCCCGTCTCAATGATGTCATAGCACTTCCTGCAGCCATATTGGTTTGTTTTGCCTACCATGTTCCCCCTTACGATGGCGGGATGGCAGGTGTGGAAAATCCACACTGATCCAGCAGCTGGAGACACTGAACTGGAACCCTTGTAAAAATGAGACCCAGGACCCAGCTTACTCCTTGAGGAAGTGATTAATGCTGGCAGGTTTGGAGTGGTTTTTTTTTTTGATTGTTGTTGTTTTTAAATCTCACAATGCAAGAATGCTATCCAAAACTAGTCTTTAGAAAACACTGGGACATGCCATTAATCCCAGCATAAGCAGGTAGATTTCATTGAGTTTGAGGCCAATCTGATCTACACAGTTCCAGGCCAGCTAGGGTTATATAATGAGACCTTGTCTCAAAAAAAAAAAAAAAAAAAAAAGGAAGAAAGACTACGAAGAAGACTCGATCACCACCTGAACACAACCTGTGTTTTTATTTTGGTGCATGCCTTGTAGCCCTTTTCCTGTGCATGTAGATTTTGCATGTTATACTGTATTTTAATATTTTAAAAATAAATGAAGTGTGGGGGGGGTGTTTTGGAAAAACAGAGAAGAAAAAACCAATGCAAAGCACCCCGTCTAGCATGTTGACTAAACATTTGTATTGTTCCCTTTATTCGTGCGCTGCTGTTATGGTAGTGTGTGTGCGCATTGACTGTATGGTGTGTTGACTTCCCTCAAGCTTCATGTTCGTGGTCTGTAAATCTGCGCCGTGTTCACTGAGCGGATGGACCGTCATCTTCTGGGGTGTGACTCATCCTCCTTGTCCTCGCCCCAGCAGGTCTCCACAGTCCGTTCTTGACGAGCATGTGCAGGTGGAGACAGCAGGGCCCCCACTGTCTCACTGGTAGTTGAGGAAGCTTAGGGCTGTTTCTGTTCTCGTTACATCTCCAGCTTCAGTTCCAGGAAGAGTGGCAGGCTAGGAGATGGTTTTGACCGCTACATAGCGGGTGGGTGGTCTAGAGGTCAGCTGTTCTTAGAGTCTTTACATTTTTTATTTTAGATTTATGAATGTGTATGTATGAATATCTTGCCTGTACGCATGTGTGCACCATTGTACATGACAGGTGCCTGAGGAGGTCAGGAAGTGTCAGACTCTCCTGGAACTCAAGTTAGAGACGGTTGTAAGCCACCCTGTGAGCTAGGAGCTGAACGTGGGTCCTCTGGGAGAGCAGCCGGTGCTCTTACTGCTCACCTGTCTCTCGGTACCTCAGAGTAAACTCTTAGCCAGAGCGTCTGCCTTCACCTGCTTGTCTTGGGGGACATGGGCTGCTGGCAGACGCCCAGAGGTGTGAGAGCAGTTTATTATGAGAGGTCCCCTGGGACAGGGCTTAGGAATGAAGGTTGTTCTGTCTCTCGAGAGGACTGCTTCCTCTGCTGGCTTCCAAGTCTCTCTGCTCTTTGTGCACAGTGAGCCAACTGCTCTGGAAGTGGGGGCTGTGTTGGAGGCTGCCTGCAGCACAGCGGACTGCCTTTACGAGCATCTGGTTTCAGTCCCAGCCTCGGGTTAGCGCCCACCCTCCTATGCTGGTGCTTCCCTGACTGCTGATACCTGCCAGAGGTTGGCGTGAGATGGCGTGTGGATGGTTGTGAGCTCTGGGAACAGAAAGTGCTCCATGGGCATGGAGAACTGCACTCCTGCTCACTGGAGAGCTGCTGTGCTGTGCTGAGCCCCTCTCAGGATAAGATGGCCCTGCCCTTCTGGAGCTTGCTCCCAGAAGATTGGTTCCTCCAGTGGCTTTGGTTTTCCTTAAACCCTGACCCTTTCGGCTGTCCTTTTGTCTCTTCTCCAATCTGGCCACAGAGCTGTCTGACCCCATGTCCCTTGGGAAGGTGGTGGGTAGCCAGAGGCTGTTACCCAGAATCAGAGGTGTTGCCCCTGTTGCCAGGTTGAGCTTTCTGCATAGTCCCAGCCTGGCTGCCCACTGGGGCCAGGCCCTGAGTACTGGAGTGAATTGCAAAGGTGGTAAAGACAGCAACCCGGACGTGACCTGTAGTCCCTTTCTAACACGCTGAGGAGAAGGTTTGCCTCTCTGGCTTGGACATGGAATTGCCTGCTCAGCCCTACTCAGTCTGTCCATCAAGTTCTTTCATCCAGAAGATTGCTTGAACAAGGCTGGGGAGAGGATAGGACAGTGGACTGGGGAACAGAGTCAGGGCTTCTATTTCGGGGTGTGAAGGATCATGTGCCAGCCCCTCCATCGCCTGGTTACTTGTGTGACTGAGCCCTGTACTTAGGTTTTCAGTGCCTTGATAGTTGGTTCTATAGCTTCTCCCATTTCCCCTGCTCAGAGCCTGTACCCTTTTCTGCCTCCAGATCATCGATCCCAAGATGCCCCGGGAGGGCCTCCTGCACAATGGTGTCCCCATCCCTGTTCCTCCACTGGACGTGCTGAAGCTGGGCGAGCAGAAGCAGGCCGAGGCTGGAGAGAAGCTCTTCCTTGTCCTCTTCTTTGACAACAAGCGCACCTGGTAAGTGATGCAGCTGCTGCAGGACCCATGCACCTGGTAAGTGATGCAGCTGCTGCAGGGCCCATGCACCTGGTTAGTGGTGCAGCTGCTGCAGGACCCATGCACCTGGTTAGAGGCGCAGCTGCTGCAGGGCCCATGCACCTGGTTAGTGGTGCAGCTGCTGCAGGGCCCATGCACCTGGTAAGTGGTGCAGCTGCTGCAGGGCCCATGCACCTGGTAAGTGGTGCAGCTGCTGCAGGGCCCATGCACCTGGTAAGTGGTGCAGCTGCTGCAGGGCCTGTGCCGTGTGCCGGCTCCAGCCAGTATGAGGAGAAGGCTTCAGCTGGCCCGTGCTGCTTGTGGTAACTGTCCCTGATGACACTAGCTAACAGTGCTTAGAGTAAGGGTGGAGTGAGCCTCCTCGGGGAGTTCTTCAAGAGGAGTCTTTCACCAGGTAGCTTGGAAAGCCATAGGAGAGGGCCACAGCCCCAGGTAGAAGGAAAAGTCCAGCGACAGCACACTTTGAGTGGAGGTCTCAGCTTTTCTCTGAAGAGCTTGGGAGATGGTTTGGGATTGGGGATCTCTGTGCATCCGTAAGCCCACAGTCACTAAATCCCACCTGTACTTTGGAACAGGCATGACCTTGGGTAGGCAGCGCTCATGACAGTTAGCTAACAGAAAGAGACTAAGCACTCCCCACAGCTGAGGGAAGGTGTGTCCCAGCCCTGAGGGAGTCTGGACAATGTGGTGTCCTTTATGAGGGGCTTGGTGGCCTGTGGCTAACGAAGTGCAGTCACCCGTGGCTCTGTGTAAAGGAGGTAGAAGGGCTGGTTACAGACTCCCAGGGGCAGGCTCAGGCCTGCAGGGTTCCTGAGCCTGCCTGCTGGGTAAGTTGGGGCTCTCCTGTCTGCTGCTTTCCCTCCGCCTTGCTTGACCTGGTAGCTGGGTCCACAGGAGCCTCTGTAGGATCTCCTGCAGCCACATCTCAACTGTGCTTGCATTTCAGGCAGTGGCTTCCAAGGGACAAAGTCCTGCCTCTGGGTGTGGAGGACACCGTGGACAAACTCAAGATGTTGGAAGGCCGCAAGACCAGCATCCGAAAGTCCGTACAGGTGGCCTACGACCGTGCGATGATCCACCTGAGCCGCGTGCGGGGACCCCACTCCTTCGTCACCTCCACCTACCTGTAAGCGTGGGACTGGGCCTGCGTCTGCCTGCTTCGCCTCTCCTCTGTCCCTGAGGCACAAGAAGCCTCTTCTGCCCCTGCCAAGTGTCTGGCTGGCAGCTTCTTTCTCATGGCAGGCCCTGACTGGACTGGGTCTCCAAGGGCAAGGCCCAGTATTGACCAATCATGTGGTTCCCCTGGAGGGCCGCTGTGTGCCAAAAACTCCCACCCGAGGTCCCTGGGGATGTTCCACTGAAGAACCACTTAGAAGTAGAAACAGCTGAGAGTCTGGGCCGGCCAGGAAGGTGGACCTGGCCCACGGGGCAAGAGGTCCTAGGCTGCTTTTCTGGGGCCAACTGCTCCCTCCATGCCTCTCCCAGCTAACATACCTCAGGGCAGGCAAGGTTCTGATACTGATCCCAGAGATGTGCCAGGGTCCCTCGGGAACCCACTGAGCTCCCTCCCCTCCCCCCACACACCCCCCCTCCCCTCCTAGTCTCATCTTCCATACCCAGCCCAGGCTCTTCTCCCCCTCATCGCTCTCCTTTCTCCCTCGTGCCAAACTGACAGCAACGTCACCAAATGGATCTTTCTCTTTGATGCCCATTTCCTTCCTGGCCAGCTGCTGTGTTAGACAGGTGCCCGGCAGGCACCCGAGCCACAGGTAGAAGCGATCCACCTGTACCGACCTCTCCCTCACCGCTGACACGCCCAGCCCAGCTGCATGCGCGTGCCCTGTGGATGGCGTGGGTCCTGCCCCCCCCAGGGAGGGCCCGGCCGTGCACGAGCTCAGTGGGTGTTGAGATGGCTCATGTCTTCCAGCTGGCATGTGCTGCCTGTCCCCCCCCCTTCTGCTTGGCTTCTCTCTTCCTGCGGCAGACTTACGCCCTACTGTGTCACACGTCACCACAGGGGGCATGGGCTGCCCTCCAGCACCCTCCCCTGGCTCTGCTGCTCCTGCTTCCCAGGGCTGGGAACACAACCTTTTCTTTCAGACCCTGTCTTCAACTCCTCCCCTCCCTCCCTCCTCCACCTCCTCCCTCACCTCCAAAAGGAAGGGAAAACTGTGAATGAGGAACGCTGACTGACAAACCAACGCAACTTTCAGAGGCCTCTGCTCTGGATGTTTCTTTTCACCTCTTAAGCACCAAAGCCGCGGGCGGGTTTGCGGACCGCTGATTGCCATTTTGACTTCTACCTTGATGTTATTTTTAATTGTTTTAAATTTTTCATAGGGGAGTTTTGAGCAAAACAAAGTCCATGGGGAGATCACTGCCATTTTTACATACTCAGACTTTTTAAAATACAGCCAACCACCCACCAACTTCTTACACATTTGGGACATGAGCCAGAGTTTAAAAGGGAATCAACAAAACTCACAGAGAGGGCGGGATTCTGTCCAGTAAACAGTGCAGCAGCAGCTAGGACGGGACGTGGTGTATATAACTGTAAGATACCGTCGTAAATTACTCAGGCCTATACTCTCCATTATCGGAACCCTCCACTGTGCAGCCACGCAGTGTGGTCTAGTTAAAGGAGCCGATGCGTCCCCCTCTCCCCAGGTAGTTGGTCAGCTGTGGACTCTGTGACCCTTGTCTGAACCTGTGTTGTAAGATCTCGGGGCTTTCTCCCCCCCCCCTTCCCCAACACTTTATCTTCTATATTTCAGTCTCTGAGTCCCATTTGAAAACCTGCTCTTTTAGAACAGGATGCGGCTCAGATCCTGCTGTGGCACGGGGCCTCGCGTCTCTGTCGCGTCCGCTGTGAAGCACACGATGCTCTATTTATTGTAGAAAGTGACTTTATTTGCCTTCTAGAATTGTTTATAACAGATGGTTATAAGAGAGGTAATAAACAGAAAAATCTATGCCTGTAAAGAATACGAGAGTTAATTTTACCTACTATAATATGATGTCTTATTTTCTCTCTGAGAAATAAATGTTCTAATAGGCAATGGCTTGCCGTGTGTGTTTGGTATCCTTGGTGGGGCCTCCTATCTTAACCACCCGCTCCTCTGAAGGCAGAGTCATTAAGAATGGGCTTGTCTGTCCTTTGGATCTCAAGGGTGGGTGTGAGGCCTGCCCAGACTAGGGCTGAGGATAGTCCTGAGGGTTGTCACGCCTCCACTGTTCCCTTCTCTGGCCAAAGTTCTTTCTGAGCTGTGCTGGAGAAGTGGCTCCGTTGGCAGCCTGGCACCAGTCTGAGACTAAGGAGACTGAGCCTCCTTTTCTGTCTCTTCTGTAGATGGTCGTCTAGGACACAGATTGGTGTCACCGACTTAGAATTGGAAGGACCCAGCACTCAGGAGGCAGAGGCAGGCAGATCTCTGAGAGTTCGAGGCCAGGCTTGTTTACAAGAGCTAGTTCCAGGACAGCCTCCAAAGCCACAGAGAAACCCTGTCTTGAAAAACCAGCGAGAGAGAGAGACAGAGAGACAGAGAGACAGGCAACTGGCCTGGTCTTCTTTTACAGGAGTGAGGACTCAGACCAGCAGGATTAAAAGACATGGTCAAGGTCAGTCAGCTAAGAAGTGGGACCCGAGCCTGGGTCAAGGTTGGGCAGCTTCCAGGCCTTGCTGCTCTGGCGGTGATCTCTGAGGTGTTTGGAAAGGGACATTGTGCGTGGCCCATGTGGCAGCTGGAGGCTGAAGTCCGGTGTCTCCTGTCTAAGGAGACAAGCTCCAGCTTCTGACTGGCCATCCGGCCCCAGATTCCTTCCATCTCCACCCTCCCCGTGCAGTTACGAGTCCTGTCACAGGGCTTTTCCCCCTGTGCTTCTAGAGGATTTGGACTCAGGTCTTTGCGTTCATGTGGCAAGTACTTTGCCAACTTGGCCATCTCCTTAGCCCAGAAAGGGACATCCTGAAGCACAAACATGAGGGGACGCCCAGGAGCAACTTGCCTCTGAAGAGCCTGGGGAAGTGACCTGCTGTCCTTCCTGCCAGGACCCTCTGATGTGGCTGAAGACATAGCTTTTTTTCACCACCTTCCCAGGCCTGCTCGAATAACATGGATGCCGTGTGCAGATAGCCCTGTGTTCTGCGAACACTGCAAAGGCCCCCTGCTTGTAAGATGCTGCCATAGCTCTGAGGCCAAGAGGGTGTGGAGAGAAGATATGTGTGGTTGGACAATAGTTAAGTTTCAGAAGAAGGAAGCTGTTCAACCCTTGAGAACTGGGTTCAAAAATCCATATTTATGGAGTGTATTTTGAATTACAAAGGCGTCTGTAAAATGCAGAGGGTGTGTCAGGTTTTTTTTTTAATTGCTTCAACAGAATGCCTGACAGTTTTAGTTGAGAGAGGTTTATAGCCGGACATAGCGGCGCACTCCGTCTACAAATCTCAGCACCTGGGAGGCAGAAGCAGGCAGATCTCTGAGTTCAAGGCCAGCCTGGTGAGTTCCAGGACAGCCAGTGCTACATAAGAAAAACCCTGTCTTGAAAAACCAAAAAAAGCCTGGCGTTGATGGCGAATGCCTTTACTCCCAGCACTCGGGAGGCAGAGGCAGGCAGATCTCTCTAAAAAAGTATTTAATCAAGGACGAGGTAGGGGGCAGGTCTCTTTTCCTATTTGTCTGTCTGTCTATTGCAGTGCTGGGATGAGACCCCGCACCTTGTGTAAGCCAAGCGTGCTCTGCCCCCAGCCATTACAGTCTGTCCCTAATGTCCCTTTCAGTTGAACAGAGCAGGCTCTGATGGAACAGCCAGGTTACTGGCTCCAGGATTAAAAGGGGACTGGGAGAGCCCACTCGCTGTCTGCTGGCCTTGGTCCTCAGACGCACCCCGGACAAGGAAGGGGCAGAAGATACTGAAGTGACAGAGTCAAAGGACTCTGTCAGCTCCAGGGTGGCTCTTATCAGAGATGATAAGGGTCAGAGAGATAGAGGCTTTGTGAGTAGAGGCTTTGTGTGGAAGCCAAGTTCTGCAAATAGGATTGCAGACTCTCCTGGAACTAGAGCTAAGGTGTGATCTAAGGCGGGGGAGCAAATGGGCTGTCCTGGATTGGCCACACTTGGGCGCCTCCCCGTACTCCTTGTATGCAACAGGTTCAGGAAAGAAACCACTGAAATGGCCAGGCAGGTGGTGGCGCACGCCTGTAATCCCAGCACTCCGGGGGCAGAGGCAGGTGAACCTTTGTGAGTCAGAAGCCAGCCTGGTCTACAGAGAGAGTTCCAGGACAGCCTCCAAAGCCACAGAGACACCCTGTCTCGAAAAACAAAACAACAACAACAAAATAATTGGTTCACCGGGTTAGACTGGGGTAAAATCATTGGGAAAAAAACGAAAAACAAACAAAACATTGAAATGGGCCCTCTATGATGAAGGGGAAGGTTTTTATTGGAGATAAGAGAGAGAGCAGCCAGAGGCATCTGGGGGAGTCTTCTGTGGCTGTCTCTCGGGGAACAGGGAGAAGGGCAGGGAGAGAAAGCCGAGACTGTGGGGGCAGACAGCAAAAGTGGGGGAGTCCTGCCAGTTAGAGGGTTATGCAGGAGGGGGGCAGGTTAGCTGGAACGGCGGTGTGGAAACTGGGGGGGGATCTCATCTGTGGGAAGCTTGAGTTAATAGGAACCAGAAGCTCTCTCTCTCTCTGGAGACTGGGGCTCAGGCATAAATAGGAAAGTCACGGCGCTTCCGGGCAAATGGGAGCCACTTTGCATGGTTTCTAAGCAATGCCGAGTGTTTACTAGGTAGCTCAATTTTGGACCAAGTCGGTGTGTCTGTGCTTTCGGAGGGACACACCTGTGGTGTGCTCAGGGATTGACTGTGGGCCCTCCCTCTCCTGGGACCGAGATCTGGTTCCACCCTTCGACCCCTCACACCTTCAACTGCTCTTCACCAACAGGTCTCCACTGTCTTCCCTCCCTAGCTGTCAGGATTTTATTTTATTTTTTTTTAAGATTTATTTATTACATATATGGTATTCTGTCTGCATGTATATCCACATGTCAGAAGAGGGCACCAGATCTCATTACAGATGGTTGTGAGCCACCATGTGGTTGCTGGGAATTGAACTCAGGACCTGTGGAAGAGCAGTCGGTGCTCTTAACCTCTGAGCCGTCTCTGCAGCCCATCTGTGATCATGCGATTGAAAACTCCAAGTCCAGGGAAGTCTCTTTGTTCTCCTGTTTTTAACCCCCATCTCACTTCAGGTGCATGGGAATTATGGCGGCGCCACTGCACCTGGAGCTTTGTAGCTTCCGGGACTGGAACTCGGGTCCTCACACCTGCAACACACATGATTCACTCACCCAGCCTTCTGCTAATCCCACATCCAAACCTCATCTCCCACACTGGCTTTGTTTTGTTCTGTTTTTTGAGACTGGACCTCTTGTGGTCCGAGGCTAGATATGAACTCAGGACCCTCCTGTCTCCATCTCCCACCTTCTGGGATTCTGGGCATGCGCCTCCATGTCCCGCTGCAGCGGGTCAGTGCAGTGGGTGGTCTGGCTGTGACATGTGGTGTTCACTCCTGTGTCCCACTCTAGGGAGGCGTCATAATTGCTTCCCCGCTGTGGGCTGAGGGCATCTGGTGCAGGAACTGCACTGCTGTGAGTGTTGTAATTGTTTCCCTAGGGTGTCTGTGGAGTCTGGGTAAGGATTTCCCTAAGGCCCAGGCAGAGTCCTGGGGAGTGCACTGGTTGCCCAAAGTAGTTGTATCCATTCCCAAGCCTGCCAGGAGTTCCCTGTGGGTCAATGTTTGTTTTCCAGACTCATCTGGCTCAACACGGTTCCTCCTCCCCATGCTGGCTGGAGAAGGACCCACCCCATGACAGTCTGCACTCATGGGCTGTTGAGTGATGGGCGCCGTGGTGGCAGGAGCATTTTACGGTCAGTTCTGTAGCCAGCAAATGTCGCTGCAGACAGCAGGCTGTTTGAAGTGGGTGCCCAGGTGCCTCTGGGATGTGGAAGTGGAAACGGAAGTCAGTTTGTGTCCCCTTGTGGTGCTTTGAAAGAAAATGGTCCCTAGGCCCGGCGTTGGTGGTGCACACCTTTAATCCCAGCACTCAGGAGTCAGAAGCAGGCGGGTTGAGGCCAACCTGGTCTACTGAGCAAGTTCCAGGACAGGCTCCAAAACAATACAGAAAAACCCTGCCTCGAAAAACCAAAAAAAAAAGAAAAGAAAGAAAAGAAAAAAGGATCTCTAAAGGAAGCGGCATTATTAGGAAGTGCGGCCATGTTGGAGTAGGTGTGGTCTTTTTGGAGGAAGTGTGTCACTATGGGGGCGGGCTTTGAGGTCTCATGTGCTCAAGCCATGCACAGTGAGACAGACCACTTCCTGTTGCCTGCCTATCAAATATCGGACTCTCAGTTCCATCTCCAGCACCATGTCTGCCTGCATGGCACCGTGTCACACCACAGTGACAATGGACTAAATCTCGGAAGCTGTAAGCTGCCCCAATTAAATGTTTTTCCTTATAAGAGCTTCTGTGGTCAGGGCTGGAGAGGAGGCTCAGAGGTTAAGAGCACTGGCTGCTCTTCCAGAGGTCCTGAGTTCAATTCCAGCAACCACATGGTGACTCACAACCATCTACAATTCAATCTGGTGTCCTCTTCTGCCCTGCAGGCACACATGCAGACAGAACAGAAAACTGAATACATAATAAATAAATCTTAAAAACAACAACAACAATAAAAGGTTGCTGTGGTCATGGTGCCTCTTCAAGCCATAGACACCCTAGCTAAGACACACCCATTTCCTCTCATGTATGGCTTTTTCCTCTTTGAAAAAAATGACTGATACTCGCTTCTCTGAAGCTTGGAGTCAAACAAGATCAATTTTTTCTCCATTGATTTGCTTTTTCTGAGAGTGGTTCTCACTGCCAGGAAGGTTACACCATTATCCCTCCTTTATACCTCAGAGAGGGTGAGCCACACTGTGACAGGGCTGGGATTCTTCAGTCTGGTTCTAGAGCGCTGTGCACCATTCCCGTCTCTCTCCCCCAGTTTCGATTGTCTTTCTTCAGAAGCTCTCTGCGACGCCTGAAAAAGCGCTCCATCCTGGGTCCTGAATCCTGTCAGGCTCCTCCCGTGGCCCTTCCTCACCCACACCTGGACCTGAATGGGCAGCCAGGGTGTGAGGGAGGAAGCGCCACGGAAGGAACCTGTCTTCTTGAGGGGGCTCAGGATAGATTTGGCTGGCAGTGTTTACCTGGCGTGGGCGTGGCCCTGGCCTCCCTCCTCAGCACCACAGGAAACCCAGTGCAGGGAGTGGTACAGGCCCCTAATCCCAGCACTGGAGAGGCAGAGGCCTGAGGGTCGGAAGTTCAAGGTCACCCTCTGCTACTTAGCCAGCCTGGAGTGGATGAAGTCTTGTTTCAGGAAAATCAAACCAAACACCTCTTTATGGCGTCCTCAGGACCTTGCCAGGGACACAGAGAGCTCACTCCCACTGCCACGGTGAGCAGCCCAGGCTTGCGATGCCCTGGTTTGCCTTTGGCCGTGAATGTCCTTTGTAGGCCTCCTACGCCACGGAAGAAACCCAGGACCTCTGACCCCATGCTGGTCTCCACCCCTGCGACCACACTGCCTCCCAGCGGAAGCCCAAAGGCAGCTAGGCGAGAGGGTGATTCTGCACACAGACTTGCCAAGGGTTGTTTGCTTGCCTGCAAAGATCAGAAAGTTGAGAACACAGAGGCCGGGGGTCCGGAGGAACCTGCCCTGAAGTTGTCCGAGCTCATCTGTTTCTCAGAAGCAGAGCCGGCGGAAGCCACCCCTGCCCCCGTCGAGCAGGAGGCTGGACGAGAGCAGCGGAGCGGAGTGGCACCCCCCTTGACTCCACACGGTGCCTTCTGCGGGTCATCGGCCGCCTCGGGCTCTCCCAAGTGCTGGGATTAAAGGCTTGTGCCACCAACGCCCGGCGTGGGTCTTTTATTTGCATTTTTATTTTGTATGTGCTGTTTTGTCTGTGGGGTTGCCTGTGTACCACATGTGTGTCTGGTGCTCACAGAGGCCGGAAGAGGGCGTCAGATCCCTTGGGGCTGGAGTTCAGATGTTTGTGAGCTGCCGTCCTTGTGCTAGGAGCCAAACCCAAGTTCTCTGCAAGATCAAGAGAACCCCAAGCCGTCTCTTCAGTGTCCTGACCCCATGTAGTTTCTTCTTAAAAGATTCCTCCCAAACGAAAACTGGAACTGTGGTGTGGAAGCTGTCTCCAGCTGGGCCATCCTAGAGGCACAGGAAGTTTGCCGTTAGAATACCGTGTGTGGTGTTGCATATTGAACCTAGGGCCTTCCACATTTGAAGATGCAGGTAGGTTTGTTTTGAAACCAAAAATTGGCTGGGGTTGGAGAGATGGTTCGTTGTTAAGAATAGTTCATGTGCTATTCTTTCAGGGGACACGTGTTCAGTTCCCAGCACCCGTGGTGGCTCACAACCATCTGTAACTCCAGTTCTGGGGATCTGATGCCCCCTTTCCCACCTCCGCAGGCAGCAGACACCCGTGTAGTGCAATACTACTCTCAGGTGAGGTGCCCACACACATAAAATTTCCAAAATCTAAAATAAAAATTGTTTAAAATTATGTAAAAATTTTTTGAGATAGGGTTTCATTATGCAACCTTGACTGTCCTGGACCTTGCTCTATAGATGAGGTTGGCCCAGAACTCAAAGAGATGTGATTGCCTCTGCCTTCTGAGGGCTGCTGGGATTGAAGGCGTGCACCACCAACGCCCAGCCTCGTTTTTATTTTTTGAGTATGGCTGTTTTGCCTGCGTGTATGACTTGTGTAACATGTGCATGCAGTGCCCCTGGAGGCCAGAAGAGGGCAGCAGATCCCTTGAAACTGTAGTTGCAGAAGCTGTAAGTCCCCATGTTGGTGCTGGATTTCAGTCCCAGATCCTCTGGGAGAGAAGCCAGTGTTTTTTTTTTTTTTTGTTTTGTTTTTTGTTTTTTATCCTGAGCTGTCTTTCTAGCCCCCAGATATTAACTAAATAAAATCTTCATTCAGTTTTCTCAGCTGTGTCCCGGTTTCTTGGTTTGCCAAAGGTACCCCGCCTCTCCCTACCCTCAAGCTGAAAACCAAGCATTATCTACCTGTGAATCGCCTGGCTCATCCAGCCAGCCCCACGCCCAGGGCTCTCTGTGGCAATAGCTTTGCTGACTAGTTGTCACTCAGCCTAGCCACCCCGTCTGCCCGGATCACCAACCTTGACCTCCCTCCCTCCCTCCCACAACTCTCAAGCCCTGCCGCGCTCTCCCCGCAGTCACGTGGTTCCCGGCCCACAGGAGGCCGCGTGGTTCCCTTCCGCCTTGCCTCTTTCTCTCCCGCAGACTCCAGCCTGCATCTATCTCTGCCTTGGACTTTATTGCCTTCTCATAATGCAGGAATGCTGCCCGCCTGCCAGGCTCTCACGGCCATCATCGGCGGCCTTTATAACTCCCGTGCAGCTGGAGAATTACTGCCTGTTCTGCAAACAGGGAAAAATAGCAAATGCATTGTGTGGGTCACACTGTGCGTAAAGAGCAGAGCTGAGAGGTCAACCTGTCGGTCTGATCCCAAGACCTCCTCCCGTGCCTCGGAGCCCATCAGGCCTCCCCTCCAAAGAAGCCATAGCTGTCCCCCGCCCTACATCCTCCGGGTCTCCCCACATCATTTCCCCAGCTTCTCTGATGGTCCAGATCACACTGTCCCCTCCTCTTAACTCCTCTGGAGGCTCTCTAGCCTTGCCCAATTTAGTTGTTAATTTCTGTGTCTTGGATGGGTCTCTGGTTACTTCACATTTGCCCGTCAGACTCCCAGGAAACCTGTTAGGATCAGGTTTGGGGAAGTTGGGGGAAGGACGGTTCTCCTAATTCCCATTGCCAAAAGCCACTGGCTCCATCCTGCTACCCCCCAGCCTCTTGGGCGTGTTCCGATGGTCGCACCCCCTAATACATGTGATCGAGCACACACCTCGTCAAAAGCTGCCTTCCAAACCTGACAGAGTCTGAGGCTATCTGCTTAAGGTAAACACGGACTACTCCCTCCTTAGTGGCTGCTGGACATTGGCCTCGCTGTGTAATTCCAGCTTGGGTGATGGGAGCTCCTAGGACCAGGAAAGACTCGACATCACCACCTCCAGAGAGGCTGGGGCCGATTGCCACTTGGAGGGGGACAACTTGGTGTCTCAGTTCTAATTCTGGTCCTGCTGCCTTGTGTGGTGGTGACAGTGACGGTAATGGCTGTGATTATGGAGGAGGGAGGGCAGGAGAATGAGGGCTGGGGGAGGGATGAGGAGGAGGATGGGGGGATGAGGAGGAGGATGGGGGATGAGGAGGAGGATGGGGGGATGAGGAGGAAGATGGGGGATGAGGAGGATGGGGGATGAGGAGGAGGATGGGGGATGAGGAGGAGGATGGGGGATGAGGAGGAGGATGGGGGAGGAGGAGGAGGATGGGGGATGAGGAGGAGGATGGGGATGAGGAGGAGGATGAGGGATGAGGAGGAGGATGGGGGGATGAGGAGGAAGATGGGGGATGAGGAGGATAGGGGATGAGGAGGAGGATGGGGGATGCGGAGGAGGATGGGGGATGAGGAGGAGGATGAGGATGAGGATGGGGGATGAGGAGGAGCATGGGGATGAGGAGGAGGATGGGGGATGAGGAGAGGAGGATGGGGGATGAGGAGGAGGATGGGGATGAGGAGAGATGGGGGATGAGGAGGAGGATGGGGGATGAGGAGGAGGATGGGGATGAGGAGGAGGAGGATGAGGAGGAGATGAGGGATGAGGAGGAGGATGAGGGATGAGGAGGAGGATGAGGGATGAGGAGGAGGATGAGGGATGAGGAGGAGGATGGGGGATGAGGAGGAGGATGGGGGATGAGGAGGAGGATGGGGGATGAGGAGGAGGATGGGGGAGGAGGAGGAGGATGGAGGATGAGGAGGAGGATGAGGAGGAGGATGGAGGATGAGGAGGAGGATGGGGATGAGGAGGAGGATGGGGGATGAGGAGGAGGATGGGGGATGAGGAGGAGGATGGGGGAGGAGGAGGAGGATGGGGGATGAGGAGGAGGCTGGGGGAGGAGGAGGAGGATGGGGGGTGAGGAGGAGGATGAGGAGGAGGATGGGGGATGAGGAGGAGGATGAGGAGGAGGATGGGGGATGAGGAGGAGGATGGGGGATGAGGAGGAGGATGAGGAGGAGGATGGGGGATGAGGAGGAGGATGGGGGATGAGGAGGAGGAGGATGGGGGATGAGGAGGAGGATGGGGGGATGAGGAGGAGGATGGGGGGATGAGGAGGAGGATGGGGGGATGAGGAGGAGGATGGGGGATGCGGAGGAGGAGGGGGAGCAGGGAAGCTTTTGCTGCCTTGTGATCTGCAGTGCCATTTGGGGGCTGTGAGGAAAGTTCCCCCTTCCCGGGAGACATGCTGGGTTAGCCCCTGGAGCTACTAACCCTGGCCCCCAAGCCCCTCTTACATCAATCATTAACCAAGAAAATGCCCCCAAGGATTTGCTCACAGGCCAATCTGATGGTGGCAAAGCTCAGATGCGGCTCCCTCTTCACAGCGGGTGTCAGTCAAGTTGATGAAATACTAAGCGGCCATTCCCAGCCTCCTCCCCACCTCTCACACCATCTCTCTGCCCTGACCCTGATGTCCCCACGAAGCAAGTTGTAAGCAGCCTTCCTCCATGCCGTGGGTCTCAGGTCTCTGGCTTTCCCTCACGGTGCGCCGTAAGCTGCGAACTGAAATACCACGCCACCCCCTCCACTTGCAACGAGGACAAACCCCCAGAGCCAAACTTCTCCTCTGGTACAGTTCTGCCCAGCGCCGGTCCTAACTAAGATTAAACAGGGAGGCGCTTGTGGAAGAATGTTTCCAGTCTGGGGGGCGGGGCACAGGTGGAAGTCGGGGTTTCGGGGGGCACGGGGGGGCCCTGCGGGGAGGGGGTGGCTTGCAACTCTGTCCCGGCCGCAGTCTGTCAGTGGGAGGCACAGGGCGAGGCACTTGGCAGAGATTTTGCAACTGCACGCCGCCGAGGGCTGAGAGGCACCGCCTCGGTAGGGAGCAGGGAATGCTCCACTCCTAGGTGCGCGCGCTCGCTCGCTCGCTCGGGATGGGTGGAGAGCCTGAGGAAGCTGTGCCTCACCTGAGTTAATTAGGTGGCGAAGGCAGCATGGGGTCTGTAGGACCGGGACCCTGCCCATGACTCTGAGGGCCGTGTGCCTTTTATCCAGGCCTGGGCCCCTTATCGGTGTTTCAGGGTGCCTCGTGGCCAGGCTAAACAGGCCCAGGCAGTGGCGGGGTGAGCCAGCCACCCGTGGGCGCCTGGTGGGGCCAGTAGAGTCGCCACATTCCAGCCTCTTGGCTGGCAGGGAAGGAGACGGCGAGCCAGGGCAGACCTCCTCCTGTGGGAGGCCAAAGGCCCTGAAGATGGAGGAGCAGGTGTTCAAGGGGGACCCAGACACCCCTCATTCCATCTCCTTCTCCGGGAGCGGATTCCTTTCCTACTACCAGGCTGGCGTGGTGGACGCTCTGCGAGACCTGGCCCCGAGGATGCTGGACACCGCCCATCGCTTCGCAGGGACTTCAGCGGGCGCAGTGATCGCAGCCTTGGTCACCTGTGGGATTGAGATGGGTAAGACTGGGGTCTCTGAGGGGGCTGCCGGAGGCGCTCCTCCCGACAGGACCTTATTTACGTCCCGGGGATGGCTTTGGGAGACAAAGCCAGGTCTAGCAGGTGGGAAATGAGATGTTCAGTAGATGGCTGTCCGCCTCGAGGTGTGCCAGTGAGAACCCAGTGGTGAGCAGGGGCCCTCCACGGGTGTGAGCCGCCCTGCGCCCCAAGCCAGAAAGAAGGAAGCACAGCACCCCTCCTGACACACACACACTCACACTCACATACACACACATATTCACACACACCTTCTCACATACCACACATACTCACATTCACACACTCACATACACACACACATTCTCACACACTCACACACACATTCTCACACACTCCTCCCCCCTCAGTCCTGTCATGTGTGAGCTTGGGTGAGGCCTCCTTTGAAAGGCAAACACCTAGGGGAGGGCCGTTCTTCCCATCCTCCTGGTGTGGAGGGGATTCCCACCAGAAAGATGTAGGTCCTGAGGTCTGAAGAGCGGTGGCGGGAGAAAGCCAGGGACAGTGTGGCCTCACCTCTGCCCTGCCGGGTCAGGCGCCTCGGTGGCGCTATGTTGCTATGAGCAACAACAGTGTGGCATCAGCGCACAGGCTGCCCCACCCCCCGTGGCTGTGATGCAGCCCCATGTGGAGTTGAAGCTCTAGAACATTTTAGAAAGAAAAGACAAACTTTAATAGGGATGCCTCTCCTGTCAGGATGGGAAAGGGTCAGGGGTCTGTGAACAACCTGCAGCCAGCTGGGGACGAGGGCTGTAAGGGGGACTGTGTTCCAAAGATGTTCAGGGAGGGCCGCGCCCAGGAGTGGGGGCTGCATAAAGTCGGGTGCTGGGAGAGAACCTTTCGTCCGGTCCCGTCTCCCCGTCTCCCCACCGGGGTGATGAACCTGAGGCAAACCCAGTCAGAGGCGGTGACTGAGGGGTCAGGTGACCTGAGACTTCAGCCGCCAGCTCCAACCTGGTGCCAACACCTGTGGGGTCTCAAGACTGTGAGTCCTGGCCCTGGCGGCTCCTCCGTTCTGTAGGAACAGAGCCAGGTGCTGAGCTGAGCACCCCGTGCCTCTGTTTCCCCCGTCAGGGTAATCCCCGGGATGCCCTGACCTGGGGCTGTCAAAGGAGCGACTCTGCAGACAGGAGCGAATGAATGCTTGGTGACTGGGGCCAGGAAATGCTGGAACAACCCCCCCCCCCCCCCCGTATCTAGCCTGCGGGTTTTAAGGATCCCCAGCTGCTGGCCAGCTTGGGTTGGAAATAGAAACCAGGTAGAGGGGATGAGCATAGGAGTGGGAGACCGGGTATAGAATGTGCTGGAAGGCAGAGCTGATGAGACCAGCTAAAGTGTCAGCTGTTAGACCTCTGAGGAGGCAGCACCCACTGCCCCGCTGCCTGGGCCTCTGCACAGGAGGGGGGGAGAGGAGAGGAGCTCCCAGAGCATAGCTCACTAAGTGCCCGCGTGTGCAAGGTGCCTCTTTCTTTCTAATAGTTTGTAAGAAACAGTGGGGAAAATAGAGTTAAAATTCCTACCCATCCTGCAGCCTGCCAGCAGGGAGGATGTCAGGCCTTCAGTGGGGGCCTGGGGCAAGAGTTGGCCTCTCCTAGAGTTGCAGACTCCCTGCCCGGGAGACTGTTCCCTGGGAGGAGGAGGCCCTGGCTCCATCGCTCCACCCTCTCTCTGTTTTATTTCAGGCAGGGTCTCATGTAGCACAGGCTGGCCTTGGACTCTGTGCAGCCGAGGATGCCCCTGACTTCTGCTGATCCCCTGCCTCCTCCTCCCCCCAGGGATTACAGGCATGCGTTACCATGCCCGTTTTTTGTGGTGCTGGGAATTGAACCCAGGGCTTAGCACATGCTAGGCAAGCCCTCTACTCGGTGATCCACAGGCTAGCCTCAAGTCCCTGCTGCCCTTAGAGCGAGTTCTCAGAAGGATGTCATCCCAGTGAGTTTACGGCGGGACTATAGAATCAACTCAGTGTGTTCAGTGGGAGAGATCAGAAGTCTGCTTAGCCAGCCTGAGGCCACCACAGAGCACAGGAACGGAAGAGGCAGTGAAGAGGCCTCTGAGAGGGATCAAGGCCTCGTCCCAGCATGGCTCACGAGTGTGGCAGGGTGTAAGCCGGGGTCAGGTGTGCAGCCAATCCAGCTGAGCCCTGTGATTTCCTGATAAGCGGCATGTCCTTTGTACCAGGCCCCGTTCTGAGTGTTTAGCATATTAACTCATCCAGACCTCACAACCCCTGCTGAGGTGAAAACTATTATTATGTCCCACGACACAAAGGAGGAAACTGAGTCACAGGACACTTAGACAACTTGCCTGAAGTGATGCAGTGCTTGGGAAGGCACAACCTGAACCCAGTCTGGTCAGAGTGGGCACATTAATGCTTTTTAAACCATGTCACTGCTGAGTAGAGTGGACTCCTGTGGGCGGTGCTCCCGTGGGCGGTGCTCCCGTGGATGCTGCTCCAGTGGGCGGTGCTCCCGTGGGCGGTGCTCCCGTGGGGTGCTGCTTCTGTGTGGCGCTGTCTTTGTGGCTGAGGAATAGCAATGGGGGAAGGAGAGCTTTTATACACACCTGATACAGTGAGAAGATGGTCTAGAAAATATCCTGGGCCTGGGCATAATGGCACACAATTTTAATCCTAGCACATGGGAGGCAGAGGCAGGCAGATCTGAGTTCGAGGCCAGCCTGGTCTATGTGGAGAGTTCTAGGACAGCCAGGGCTATGTAGAGAGGCCATATATTAAAGCAAAGCAAAACACCAAAAACAAAGAATATGTTGTAAAGGAAGGAAGAGAGAGAGGGAGAGAGAGAGGGAGAGAGAGAGGGAGAGAAAGAGAGAGAATACTCTGGGGAGAGCATTTTATGTACAGCGTACAAGACAAGTCATCAGGGTGCTGAGCCATTATTGGAAGCTCAGTGGGGGCCGGGACCCAAGTCTCCGTGAAGCATTAGCACCAGAGCCCTGCTCGTTGCCTTGTTGATGGACTCCCCAGGTCCTCTGGTTGTCAGCAGTGCCGCAGTGAGCAGGCTGGCTGTACCTGGCATGCCCATAATGCCTGCAAGCCCTTCCAGACTTGACGAGCCTGTCATGGGCTCCTCTATGCCATGCCAGAGGATTGGCTGCCGTGACTGTATAGTCTAATCCCTAGAAACACACAGGAGAGAGAGAGAGAGAGAGAGAGAGAGAGAGAGTCTGTCTGTCTGTCTGCTCCCACATGTGGAGGCCAGAGGACAGCCTCAGGTGTTACACTCAGAAACATTGTCTACCTCCACTGAGTCAGTCTCAGTGGCCTGGAACTCACCATTAGGCTTGACTGCCTGGCCTGGGAGCCCACGTGCCTGTCTGGTGCCCACGGAATTGCTTCCCTCCTCTCCTCCTGTTTCCTTCAAAGTGTGCCCAGTTATTCTCAACCTCTTTCCTGTTTCCTACATGAAAAGCTGAGATGTTATCCGAAACTATACCTCCCCGTGATAAATACAGCCCATCTCTGTACTCGTTATGTCCCGCAATGAAGACATTCAGTATCATTTATCGGTTTATCCATTTAAGAGCTTTTGCTTTGTTTTGGTTTTATCTCTCCCTGTAGACCAGGCTAGCCTGAAACTCATGGTGATTCTCCTGCATCAGCCTCCTGTACTAGATTTATTTCTAAGGCTCTTACAGTTTTTACAGTTGGGAGGGGGATTTCCTTTCCCATGGCATTTCCTGGTGGCTCAGCAGTGACATCGGAGGATCTGAGTATTTTCCCTACTACTCTTGATCTCAGGGACTTGGCAGGCACCCTGAGTAGCTGTAAAATGTGTTCATTACCTCAAATTTTATGTGTGATCACTCTGTGTGTATAACTGGAGATCTGTTGCTTTTTGAGATTACTTTTTTTGTTTGTTTGCTTTCCGAGACAGGGTTTCTGTGTGTAGCCCTGGCTATCCTGGAACTCGCTCTATAGACCAGGCTGGCCTCAAACTCACAGAGATCTGCCTGCCTCTGCCTCCCGAGTGCTGGGATTAAAGGCGTGTGTCACCACCGCCCGGCTTGACATTACTTTTATTACATTTATTTGTTGTGCGTAGCGTGTGTGTGTGTGCATAAGTGAGTGTGTGTTCGCGTACAGGAGCACAAGGGCTGGGGTGAGCGTGTGGTCAGAGAGCACCGTTCAGGAGCCAGTTCTCCCCTGCCGCCATGCAGGTCCTAGGCACGTCCTTGCACAGCCTGGGTCCTGGAACCCTGACTAGGGCCATCAAGGGAATGAAGAGATGACAGACACGCAAAGACAGACGAGGCTAGGACGGGGCAGGCTGGGCTTTCTGATGGAGAAACCGCAGTACCTTGGAAGCTCAGTGTGTTTATTACATAAAGTTGAACACAGAGGCAGGGTAACTGCACACAGATAAACCAGGAGGCAGGTTTTATACAGCTGGACAAGGAGACGGGTTATTACACACAGATAAACCAGGAGGCAGGTTTTATACAGCTGGACAAGGAGACGGGTTATTACTTACAGATAAACCAGGAGGCAGGTTTTATACAGCAGGACAAGGAGACGGGTTATTACATACAGAGGGACAAGGAGACGGGTTATTACATACTGATAAATCAGGAGGCAGGTTTTATACAGCTGGACAAAGGAGGCAGGGTTATTACATACAGAGGGACAAGGAGACGGGTTATTACATACAGATAAATCGGGAGGCCGGTTATTATATACAACTGGACAAGGAGGCAGGGTTATTACTTACAGATAAACCAGGGGGCAGGTTATTGCACACAGATAAGCCAGGAGGCAGGTTATTACATACAAGTGGACAAGGAGACAGGTTAGGTTAATCATGTCTCTGCAGGGAGGCAGTCTGCAGGCTGGAAATGCCGGGGGAGGAAGCTATGGTGGACATTGTTTGTACACACTAACACATCCACACACAGACTAGAGAAGGCTTTGCCACCCCTGTAAGGCGGAGGCCTTGACACTGTCGGCGGTGCCCATGTCAGTCAGCAGCACACATTTAGTGCTTTAGTCCCTTAGTGCTTCCTCTGCTCCCCACAGTTTTGGGGATCAGACTCAGGCCATCAGGATTGGCAGCAAACGCCCTTACCTGCTGAGCCAGCCCATTGGTGCTCCGCCTTTTTTTTTCTTTTTCTTTAAGCAAAGTCTTATTTTATTTATTTATTTTTTCTGAGACAGGGTTTCTCTGTATTGTTTTGGAGGCTGTTCTGGAACTCACTCTGTAGACCAGGCTGGTCTTGAACTCACAGAAATCCTCCTGCCTCTGCCTCCCGAGTGCTGGGATTAAAAGCGTGCGTCACCAACACCTGGCTTTTTAAGCAAATTCTTAAACCCAGCCACACTTCTCTCTTCAAAACTGCTTCTGTCCGGGGCTTCTCTGACCAGACACTGCTCCATGCCCTGGGAAGCGGGCTACAGAGGGCCCACCCTATGGTAGGGGTTTGCCTCGCCCTGTATGAAGAGAGCGCAAAGGCAGTTAACACCCTGCCTGGTTGACATTGGAGATGACATCGCCATTCACGCTTCAGCTTATTTGAGGAGAGGCAATCTCCATGACAACCAGCGGGGTTCCAGAATTTCTGATGTAGCCAGAAGTGGGGCACGTTGTCACGGAGCCGAATTCTCTGTATTTCGAGAATAATGTCTTCATAGTGTATTTTAAATTGCATTTATTCATCCCTTTAGTATGTGTGTGTGCGCGCGAAGACTATGCTTTCATGGATCATTTCTATAGTTTGTTACGTGTGTGTATGTGTGTGTGTGTGGTGTGTGTGTGTATGTGTGTGTTGTGTGTGTGGGTGGGTGGGCGTGGGTGTGGGTGCACCATGGCTTACCTGTGGAGCTCAGAGGACAACTTTTAGGAGTCAATCCTTTCTTTCTACCACGTTGGTTCCAGGGATCAAACTCAGGTCTTCAGGCTCAGCATCAAGCACCTTCACACATGGAACCCCACCTCGACAACCCAAAAATAATTTGTGTTTCTTAAAGATTACTTGTGTTTCCTGTACATTGGTGTTTTGCCTGCATCCGTGTGAGGGTGTTGGATCTCCTGGAACAGGAGTTCCAGACAGTCGTGAGCCGCCATGTGGGTGGTGAGAATTGAACCTGGGTCCTCTGGAGGAGCAGCCAGTGCTCTCTCCATCCCCAGCCGGGGTAACTTTTTTTTCTCATCAAAGTATAAAGACTTAGTGGTCTGGCAGCCCCGCTCCCTCCAGCTGCTGCTACAGAGAGACCCCTCCGCTCAAAAAGAGCATGGCAGGCCTTCATCCCTACTGTCTGGGCTCCCTTCCCTGTCCTCCTCACTCTTCTTGAGATAGCTCTCATGCAGACTAGGCTTGCCTCCCTGTAGCCGAGGCTAACCCTTGAACTCATTTCCTGTCTGTACCTCCGAGTTCTGGGTCTCGCCACGCCTGGCTTTCCTCTTCGCAGTTCTAACATGACAGGAAATGCCACCTGGGTCCTAGAAAGACAGTGAGGCCAGCCCTTCCAGTCAGGGCCGCTTGAGGGAGCAGCCGGTTCCTCCAAGGAGAGGGGAGTGGGGCCGGCAGAGACAGGCTGGGCAGGGTTTGAGGCCTCTAGCAAGGATGTGGGAGGGGCGGAGTAACAGAGTGGAGAAACCGGCATGTCCGGAAGATGGACGGCACAGGTCACCTGACGTCACAGCTTTAGTTCACTGGGAGCTTTCCGGCAGGGAAGGTCAAGCTGAGGGAAGGGAGCAACAGGCTTTGGGGAGGCCCAGCTGGTGGCCACCTTGGGGTCCCCTGCGCTACTGAGCACATGGACTGAGGTGACCTATGACTGACGTGGCCCAAAGCAGCATTAAGCTAGATGAGCTGGGCTGGAGAGGGGACTCAGGCGGTAAGGTGTGCCCCGCCCTCCGAGCCTGATGACCAGAGAAGGAGAGACCTGGAGGAGCAGTCCTGTGACTCCCCCCCCGCGAACGTTGTAAAAGGAAGAAAGGCGTGTGATGTTCCCACCCAGTTTCTGCAAAGAAAAAATAAGAGAAAAGATTGGCGTGGTGCGGTACGCCTATCGGAGGCAGGAGGGTCGGGGAGTTGGGACAGCCTCTGCTCCCGAGTGCATTTGAAGCCAGCCTGGCCTTTGAAGACTGTTGTAGCGTATTCACCAGAGAAGACTGCTCGGACATGGGTTTAGGCCAACAGTAGAAGTCTTTTTTAGCCAGCTGGGGACTAACTACACTGGGTGTTTGGGATCCCAGCGTAACCCCGGGCCAGCTTCTAGACAAAAAAAAAAAAAACCATGTCCTGGGTTGACATACTTCGGCTGACGGGAACAGTTAGCCAGAAGCTGAAAAGCAAGGCTGCTGGACTTAAAGACTTTCCCAGAACGGGGACTTTGGTGGATTAGACTTTTGTTTTAGCTTTGCCCGACGACTGCTGTGTAGTGAACGACACTAACGTCATGGGGTCTGCTGTGCTATGATGTCCTCTTACATCAGTCCCCTCCCCCCTGCAGCAGCACAGGCTGTATTCACGCCTACACGCCCCCCACCCCACCCAGCCACAAAGCAGAAGGCTGCCCGTGGCTAAGGCGCTGTTCTGTAGCCCAGACTCAGGTCACCCCACTTTGAGAAGCCGCCAGTGTGGCCCAAAGCCTACAGCGGGAGTTTTCCTTTTCCCCCGACAAGTAACAAACAAAGCCTTTGGCTTTATTGACATGTAGTTTACTTACAGTGCACTTAACGTTTGTCTGGTTAATCGGTTATTCAACAAGCCCCGCAGTCAAATTTCAGAACATTTGGTTACCCCCAAAAGGAAGCTTCTCCTCCATCCCTCTGCTTCCCCCCCAAGTCCCCAGAGGTCACTGTAGCCACTTTTCATCTCTGCAGATGAGCGCATTTAACTTGACATGATTCTCCACATTTGACATGAAGGGAGACGTGTGATGTGTGTACTAATTTGCATGCGGCTTCTTTCCCTCAGCCCGACGTGGCATGACCATGTATTTTTTTTTAATGGTTGAGTAATATTCTACTGGGTAGACTTAGCTAGCGCAGCTGTTTACCCATTCACTTGGCGATGGACATGTGGGCTGTTTTTACTTTGACCTATGGTGAATAGTGCATCTGCGAACACTCCTGCCCATTTAGAAAAGGGATTTTAAAACCATGGAAGGCGGAGCGCGTTATACAGGATGGCGTTACAAACTCTCAAGTCCTCGCTGTTTAGCTGTTGCCATGGCCGAGGGCGCGCCCTGGGTCCTGGCTTTGCTTCGTTGCTGTAGAAGGCTGGAGGTGTGGCTCAGGTGGTAGGCGGGCCGCTTGCCTCGCAGGCAGGGGGAGCCCCGCCCCCAGAGCAGCAGGACCAGGCACTCCGGTCTTGCTGCCCCTGGCCTGCTCTCGGGGTAGGTAACGGCAGCTCTGCCGAGAATCCCCCACTGAATGCTGATCAGGGTCGCAGCTTTGCCACCCCGAGAACAGGAGCTGCAGAAGTCCCTGCAGTCGGGGGCGGACGCGCTCCGGGGCTCGCTTTCGTGTGGCTTCCTAGGTGGAGTTTAGCAAGAAGGGAAAAGGCTTTGGTCTGACCCCAAGATCCAGTCTCCCCTCCCCTCCACTCTGGCCCCAGATGTCAGCTGACTGTGGGACGGTGGGCGAGTCTCAGCCTCCCTGTTGGCACGGTGCCCTCTTGGAGTCAGAGGCTCTGGAGCTTCTGGAAACCCAGGAGGCTGCTGGGAGAGGTCGGAGGTAGCACAAGAGGGTTGCTCTACAGCGCGGGTTCTAGGTCCCCTAAGATCTGCGTGACATTCCCGGTAGACCCCGCGCCCGTTCCCAAGCGTCTGAAACGCCGTCGAGATACACACAGGTGTTGTTGGCTCATGGCGTGGCCTTGTCCACATCGCATCTGGTGGGAAGAGGAGGCAGACGCACCCCTCCACCCTGGGGTGGGACTTCGGGGTGACACGCATCTTGTTAGCCCTTATCTGTGGATCAGAACTTAGTCTCATGGCCTAGCCTGGTAGCAAAGGAGGCTGGGAAATGCGGGCTTGCTTTCAGGGGACCCCACTTGTAGGCAGGGAATGGAGATCCCACGGCTGAGGGGCAGGAGACGGTGGAGTAGTCTCTGGCAATGACTGTTTCTGGGTGGCATAAAATGACAGGGTGTTAGTCCAGAGTGCAGGAGAGGCCCCAAGCCCAACCCCAGCACCACCAAAAAGAAAAAGAATTGGGAAACTGTCCTCTGCCTGAGGCCAAGTTTGGGGCCAGAGAGCCACCAGGTCACAAGGCTGTGTTGGCTGGGGCTGGGCGTCTGTGGTGTCCTGGAAGCCTGGACAGTGCCGGCACTGAGCCCCCGCGCCCAGGCTGACCTGCTCTGCTCTCTGGAGATACGTTCTCCTGAGGTACAGACGCCCTCTTTCCCAGTTCCTCCGCTCCTCCCCTCTGCGATCTGCCCACTGCCCTCACCCCTGCTCTAGTCTACCCTAGTTCATTCAGTTTCCCGTCTCACATCAGTATGAGCTTTTTAAAAATCCTACTAAGCAGAATTTTAAAACATTGTGTGTGTGTGTGTGTGTGTGTGTGTGTGTGTGTGTGTGTATCAGAGGATAACTTGTAGGCATGGCTTCTCTCCTTCAACATATGGGTCCTGGAGATCCAACTCTTATTTTTATTATTATTATTATTGTTTGTTTTTTCGAGACAGGGTTTCTCTGTATTGTTTTGGAGGCTGTCCTGGAACTCGCTCTGTAGACCAGGCTGGCATTGAACTCACAGAGATCCACCTGCCTCTGCCTCCCGAGTGCTGGGGTTAAAGGCTTGCACCACCAACGCCCGGTTATAAGCTTTTAAACTCGTTTTCTAGAAAAGTGAGGTTAGGAAGGGTCTGCACGGCGTCGCCACCTGGGGAGCGAGGCTTTTGTCTCTCTTTGTCATAAGCGCTGAACAGGTCAGAGCTTTGGCTTCTGCCTGAGTATGTCCACGGCAGAGAGGGAAGGTGTGTTTTCCCATGAGGTCTAACCCTGCTCACATGTGCTATGTAGATTGGAGTGTGTGTCCACCCACCCATCACATACACATCTACCCACCAACCCTCTCAGCCACCTGTCCGTCTGTCCACCCATCAATCAACTTCAGCCTTGTCCTGCGCTGCAATTCCTACCTGTAAAGAGACGCAAATGGGGTCTGGGCTGGGATTCGTGTATGAGGGGCCGCCTGTCAGTGCACATGTGTGCAGGTGCACATGCATCTGTGTGCACGTGTGTGTGAGGTCATATGTGTGCAGGTGCACATGCATCTATGTGCACCCATGTGTGTGTGTGGGTCATATGTATGCAGGTACACATGCATCTGTGTGCACCCGTGTGTGTGGTCATATGTGTGCAGGTGTGTGTGAGGTCATATACATACAGGTGTACATGAATCTATGTGCATCCGTGTGTGTGGTCATATGCGTGCAGGTGCACATGCATCTGTGTGCACCTGTGTGGAGGTCATATGTGTGCAGGTGCATACAAACCTGTGTGCACCTGTGTGTGGAGATCATATGTGTACAGGTGCACATGCATCTGCATGCACCCATGTATGGAGATCATATGTGTGCAGGTACACATGAGCCTGTGGGGGGGTTCAGAAGTTTTTGATGTCTTTCCTCATGAGCCGTCTACCTGTTTTTTTAAGTCTCTCACACAGGTAATGGGGCTTTCAGTGAGGCTTGACTGACTGGCTAGTGAGCCTCAGGGACCTAGCTGACCCCCGCCCTGGCACTGGGCTTACATGTGTGCCCCTCAGTACACTCAGCTTTTATGCGGTTCTGGGGACCAAACTGGGAATCCCACGGCTTCCTGGCAAGCATTTCATCCCCTGAGCCATTCTCCCTGCATCTAGTATTTTTGACCCAGGATCTTAAAACTACCCATTTCCAGGAATTTTGAGGGGTTGCCTGCTTAAGATGGCACCAGGCAGTCTCACAGGCTTCGAGACTGATCGGCTCCACCCTTGCCAGCCGCGTTTAGTTGTTTTGGACTAAATTTTCACTTTAGATTTGCCTGGCGTGAAGCCTCCTCTGGCTGGAAATTGTCAGTACCAGAGAGTCCCCACAGTGTGACTTCAAAGCAAAATGCTTCTTCCGTGTGTGACGCATAAACCAGGGTCACCGCCCCTAGGGTCTAGCTGCCAGTGTGAAGATAAACAGTCTAGAGATGGGAAAGCCTGTTTGGGTGGACTGCTTTCATTAAGACAATAACAGCAGTTATTATTAGAATGTGGTTAGGTAGTCAAGACAGACCCATGGGGAAACACAGCTGGGATTTCTGCCTGCGGTTTGGAGCCAGGCACGGGTCTCAGGTTTGCAGGTTCCCCCTGCGGGGATTCGGAGTCTCGCCGGGGCTTCACTGGGAATCTGCTCACCCGTGCCTCCCCAGAGACCACCTCACCTCATCTTCCCCCAGCAGTCATCTCAATAGAAGGGAGAGCTGGCTAGCCAACTGTGATTGGCTGGGATGGAGGCAGTTGCTAGGTTACCAGTCCACTGAGACCGGGTGCATGAGTATGTGTGTGCAACCCCACCCTCCGCCCTACATCCATCCCACACAGCAGGCCTAATTCTCACACACCCAGGAAAGGATCCGGGGCTGCCTCCTGTGCCCCCACCCCTCTGTGCGGGGGGGAAGGAAGACAGGTCCAAGTTTTACCTCGTTGAGTCATCTCGAATAGCTATGCATCTCCTTGGGCCTCGGTGTCCCTTTTTGACTTCCGGAGTTCACTAATTCACTCATTATCTATGTAGGCATTCAGTTAATAGTGTCTGCCTGGGTTCCAGACACTGTATGGAATACTACAGATTAATTAAACCTCTTTGTTCTTGGGAAGGGGGTAAATATTTCCCACTTAATCAAGTAACATACACGTGCATCAAATTATCTCTTTTCTTCCCCTTTGGTGATTTTTTCCAGCCCCCAATTTTTTTCAAACTGAGCCTCTAGCTCTCCCCCATAAAAGAGGCTTGTTGCCAGGTTGGCTCTGAACCTCAGCACACCGTGGGCACACCTTCTCAGCCATGCCTCTACTATGTCCATGTATTTTTTTATTTTATTTTAAATGTACTCATTTTCCCCTGTACAGGTGTTTCGTCTGCTTGTGTGTATGTGCACCACATGAGTGAAGTGCCCATGGAGGCCAGAAGGGGGCGTCAGATCCCCTGGAACTGGAGTTCCAGATGGTTGTGAGCCACCATGTGGGTGCTGGGTATTAAATCTGGGTCCTCTGGAAGAGCAGCCAGTGCTCTTAAGCACTGAGCCATCTCTCTAACCCCTACTTTGTCACATCTAATAAAGATGTAGGGAAGGGGTACTGCCGTCTCCAGTGGAAGCCTGGTCCCTGGCCACGTGGGCAATTCCTGGTAAACCCAATATTGAGTGCATACTGGATGCAGGGAGTTTTCAAATTATCTCATAACTCAATAGTTTTTTGTTTGTTTTGTTGCTGTTTTGTGTGTGTGTGTGTGTGTGTGTGTGTGACAGAATGAGTTCCAAGACAGAAGAACTACACTGAAAAACCCTGTCTCAAAAAACCAGCTCTCCCCCAAAAAATGAAGGCTCCGAACCCAGCAGAGGTAGTGCTTAATCCACTCTCTCTCTCTCTCTCTCTCTCTCTCTCTCTCTCTCTCTCTCTCTCTCTCTCTCTCTCTCTCTCTCCCTCCCCTCCCTTGCTCCTCTCTCTGTCTGACACAAGGTATCACCATGTGAGCATGACTGGAGAACTCTCCATGGACACCAGATTCTCTTTGACCTTTGACGCAATCTTCCTGCGTCTGCCTCTTGCGCTCTGGGTGACAGGCATGAAGGATCATGCCTGCAGGTGCTCGATTCTCCATCACAGGAGACTTGTTTAGCAGTGTCAGTTTCCCCTCTGTCTTCCCATCACCAAAAAGATAAAGTGAGAGAGGAGGGGGAGACAGTCTGCCCCCGAGGACGGACCCTGAGCAGCAAGGAGGAATTCTGAACCAAACGCCAGGCCGAGAGAAGCCAGACAGCCGCCCCCTCTGTCCCTGGCTGTGTGTCTGGGCGGTACACAGCTGATTCCCAGACTGAACCGTTTTCAGATGTAAGGACCCTGGAAATGTCAACACTATTTTCGTTCTCTCTGCTGCTGTTCATCCCTGAGACACCCATCCCTGTGGGGTGGGTGGGCGTCGACTCAGAATGAATCCTGTTCTGGTTCTGGAGCCAGAGTTGAACAAGCACTCTCTGCTTGAGACACGCAGACCTTTGGCCTCGCATTCCCACTTCTGGGAATTTGTCCTGAACATAAGAATCCAGGGCATGGGCAGAGACCTTAGCGTGGATTGTTCTTGGTATATATATTTTAATTCATGTGTTTTAGGGGTGTTTGCCTGCATATATGTCTGTATACCACGTGCATGCAATGCCCACAGAGGCCAGAAGAGGCGTTGGATGCCCTGGAACTGGAGTTACAGACAGTTGTGAGTCGCTGTGTGGGTGCTGGGAATGGAACCTGGGTCCTCTAGAAGAGCAGCCAGTGCTCTTAACCACTGAACCATTTCTCCAGTCCTGTGGCAGACTATTCTCTAAAATTTGAGTGTGTGTAGTGTATGTATGTGTGGGGTGTGTGTGGTGCATGTGGGGTGTATGTGGTGTGTGTGTGTGAGTGGTGCATATGGGGTGTGAGAGTGTGAGTGTGTGAGTGAGTGTGTGTGTGTGAGTGTGTGTGTGTTGGTTGAGTGAGAGTGTCCCCATAGGACCAGATGTTTGAATACTTGGTCCCAGGTTGTTGGAAGTGTCTGGGTAGGATCAGGAGGAGTAACGTAGCCTCGCTGGAGGACGTGTGTCATGGGGTGACCTGAGCCATTCCCAGTCAGCTCTGCCCCAGCCACCGTTTCTGCTGCTTGCTGCGAGTTCCCTTGTCATGACAGACTCTCACCCCTCCACCCTAAGCCCAAGCAAACCCTTCCTTCCACGTTTGCCTTGGTTGGAGTGATTTCTCACAGAAACAGCTGAAAGTGGATTCGTTGGCTGTGTACATGCACTCAGGACGCCAGAGGACGCTTGTAGGAGTCAGTTCTCTCCTTCACCTTGTGGGTCGTAAGGATAGAACGCAGGTTGTCAGGCTTGGCGGGAAGTGACTTTAGGTAACCACTGAGCCATCTCACGGAGCCTTAAAGGCTTGCTTTTTTCTTTCTTTTATTTTTGTTTTTCTTTCTCTGCTTTTCAAGGTAAGGTTTCTCTGAATATCTCTCATCAGGCCGGCCTCGAACTCTCCGATCCACCTGCCTCTGCCTCTCATGTGCTGGGATTAAAGGCGGGCGTCACCACTACCACCTAGTTACAATCTATTTTTTAAATTATAAATTGGTATTTAGACAGGCATGGTGACTCGGGTCTATAATTCTTGCACTGAAGAGGTAGAAGCAGGAGGATCTAGAGTTCAAGACCATCATCCACTATATAGTGAATTCCAGGCTAGTCAGGGTTACATGAGACCCTTAGTCAAAAAACAAACCAAAACAAAAACCAACCAAACAACCAAATAAATAAATATAGAGGCCAAAAATAGGGTTCTGTAGGTAAAGGGTCTTCCTACAGAGTCTGGCAATCTGAGTTTAATTCCTGGAACTCACATGGTGAAAAGAGAAACTGACTCCAGGAAGTTGTCCTCTGACCTCCACAAGCACCCTGTGTCACATGTACACACACACACACACACACAGCACAGACACACACATACACACACACAGCACACAGCACAGACACACACATACACACACACATACACACACACACACCACACACACAGCACACAGCACAGACACACACATACACACACACATACACATACACACACACACACCACACACACAGCACACAGCACAGACACACACATACACACACACCACACAGCACAGACACACACATACACACACACACACAGCACAGACACACACCACACACACACACACACAGCACATACACATGCATACACACACACACACACGCATACACACACACCACACCACACACACATAGCACACAGCACAGACACACGCATACACACACACAGCACAGACACACACCACACACACACACACACACACACACACGCATACACACACACCACACACACACACTAAAAACAGGGCTAGGGCATGGTCCTGTGGGTTAAAAGCTTGCTGCGTAGGCTTGAGGCCCTGGGTTCTGGTCCCCAGGACCAACATTAAAAGCTGAGTGTGACTGCTGGGGGGGGCAAGGAAAAGAGGACCCCAGGGTTGCGTGGCCAGCTGCTCAGGTGCAGACCGTGAGCTCCCGGTTCAGTGAGAGATCATGGCTTCTACATGCACACGTGAGGGGAGGGGAGGGGCATCTACCCCCACACACACTCATCCCAGTACAAGTCAACGGTGAAAGAGTAGGTGCTCCTTGGCAAGGCACACACACAGATGAGGTTTAAAAAGCAAGTTACAAGTACGTACAGTAATACATAGCTCAACTCCCTGTGAGGCAGAGAACAAAATAGATCATCTGCGGAGATAGGCCAAACACTAATGTCTAGGTAGAGGAATTCTGAGACTTTCTTTTTCTTTCTATTTCTCTGCATTTCTGTCTTGGTTTGGTTTGGTGTTTTGAGGCAGGGTTGTGTGGCCCAGGCTCTCCTCAAACTCCTGATCCTCCTGCTTCTCCCTCCTGAGTACTGACTGGCTTGGCAGGTAGACTTGTGACTACGTGCCTGCTCTTATCTGACTTGTTTAGTGTGTGTCCCCACATGAGCAGGTGTGCTTCCTGTGACACAGCACATTTCCTTGTACCATCCCCAGGCACCGCCAGCTACTCCAGCTGCCCCAGCTACTCCAGCTGCCCCAGCTACTCCAGCTGCCCCAGCTACTCCAGCTGCCCCAGCTACTCTAGCTACTCTCCAGACCTGTAGAACAAGCTGAAGCAGGACTGAAGGGGAGGTCAGCGAGGTCAGCAACCTCCCCTTCAGCCTTTGCTCATGCCTATGCATGCTAAGGTTGGAATCGGTAAAATTGCCAGGCTTACTATTCCCAGGAAGGAACAAGAGAGATATGTGTTCACAGCGAAATATGGGGTCCCCACTACTTAATGCAGATGTGTTCTTTGGAGTCAGAAAAACAACAACAACATTAAACTAACATTTCCTGCCTGTGTGACTTCATAAGACACTTTCCCTGCCTCGGTTTCCACATCTGTACAACCGTGCTCCAGCACTAGTAGCCTGGTCTCCAGGATTGGGCTAGTAATCTGTAAAATGTAACTATAAAATGTGACAGGAATAAACTACCCTCTTATTTTGTCTCCCAATTGTTGTGTGTGACTTTGGGCAAATCAGTTACCCTCTGGGTGTGTCTGCTGCGGATCGATGGCCAGGCACTCAGAATGCCAGACTCTCCAAGCTGGAAAGCCTCGGCCCTTCCCGCCCACGCACCCGGATCTTGTTGACAAGGCGAGGCGCTTATGCAACCTCCGCTTGCTGCCTCCCACGACAGAGAGCTCATGACTGCACAAGTCCCTGTTCCATATTCATGACCCTTAACTTGAAGCAAAATTTTCCACATGAGACATTTGTTTAAGGACTGGTGGTGTCGCTCAGTGGTCAAGTACAGGCTTAACTTGTGCAAAGCCCTTGGCACCAAGAAAAACGAGTATTTGCGGGACTGGAGAAATGACTCATTGGTTAAGAGCACTTGCTATTGCAGGGGACATAAGTTCAGTTCCCAGCAGTCATGCCAGAGGGCTGGCAACTCTAGGGGAGCCCTCTTCCAGCTTCTGTGGGCACACACACACACACACACACACACACACACACACACACACGCGCGCGCACACACACACACACACACACACACGCACATGCATACACATGAATAAAAAAAAACCCTGGTTATCAGAGAGGGACTATGGCTAAGTTGGCAGAGTTCGTACCCGGCATGCATGAAGCGCTGGGTTCTCTCTCCGGCACAGCATAAACCAGCATGGTGGCACGGGCTGTAATCCCGGCACTGTTGAGGGGACGGTAGAGCCAGGAGTTCGAGATCATCCTCTGCTACTCAGTGAGGGTGAGGCCTCCCAAGCCTCTAAACGTAGGAATCTCACGCAGGACTCTCAGAACACAGCCTGGTAGCTGACCACGGGTGTGGACACAGGAGGCTGGGGAAACTGCAGGGAGAAAATATTTTTCAGCCGCTGAAAATTTCTGTTGTGTGGTCACACACGGTCAGAAGCAGACCCCCAGGTCCCTAGCTGTGGGGTACCTGGGACTCCTCCTTCACGCCTCTGTCCTAGCCACAACGGCAGAACTGGTCCTGAGTCCCCTGGGCTTGTGGATCCCAGACTTCTTCACTGTGAGCCGTGGGGTGAAGTGGTGACGTCACCGAGGTCCCCACAGTCCTGCACTGCTGGCTGACGACGGTGTCTTCGTGTCCGTGTCCCCCCCCTCCACAGAGGAGTACCTCAGAGTGCTGAATATGGGCCTGGCTGAAGTGAAGAAATCCTTCCTGGGACCTCTGTCCCCATCCTGCAAGATGGTTCAGATGATGCGACAGTTTTTGTACAACGTGCTGCCCGAGGACTCCTACAAGTTCGCCACCGGGAAGCTGCACGTAAGCCTCACCAGAGTCACGGACGGAGAGAACGTGGTGGTTTCCGAGTACACGTCCAAGGAAGAGCTCATCGAGGCAAGGCCCTGGCTGTGCCCCCACCCCGCACCCCGGGGGGAACCTGGACAGCCCCGAGCAGCTCCCTGCCAGCCTTCCCCTCCCCCCAGCAGCTCCCTGCCAGCCTCCCCCCTCCAGCAGCTCCCTGCCAGCCTTCCCCTCCCCCCCAGCAGCTCCCTGCCAGCCTTCCCCTCCCCCCCAGCAGCTCCCTGCCAGCCTTCCCCTCCCCCCCAGCAGCTCCCTGCCGGCCCCCCCTTCCCCCCATCTTCCCTTCTCTGCTGCCAGGAGCAGTTCCACGAGTGGTGACACAGAAAGGCCCACAGCCAGCCAGCGCCTGCCACCAGCCCGGTGACTTCCACACCAGGTCCCCTTCCCCTGTCTTCACCCGGCAGGTGCCTCTGGGCTGAATCTGGGGCTTTGGAAACCTAGTGATGCCCCTCCCGGAGTCCAGAGACCTCCAGACCTGGGTCTCGGTGTACCCCGGTTTTAGAAAGGATAAGGAACAGTACCCACGCTCCCGCTGTGTCCTCAGGAGCCTCGACAGAGGCTGTAGCTCAGTTGCTAGTGTCTGCCTAGCTGGCAGGAGGCCCTGGGCTCCACCCCCACATGTAAGCAGAGGTGGTGAAGGTCATCCACTACACAGCGGGGTGGAGGCCAGCCTGAGCTGCAGGAGACCCTGTCTAGAAAGGCGGGAGCTGTTTTGAGAACACCCGTTGTTGCAGAGGACCCAAATTTAGCCATCAAATCCACATTGGGTGGCTTATCACCATCTGTAACTCCAGTTCCAGGGGATCCGAGGGATCTGACTCCCTTTTCTGGCCTCATGGACACTCTTACACAGGGCACAGACACAGACACATGCATATATACATACACATAAATAAAAATAAATACTATCTTATTTTATTTTCAAGACAGGGTTCCTCTGTGTAGCTTTGGCTGCCGTAGAACTCGCTCTGTAGACCAGGCTGGCCTCAAACCCAGAGATCCACCTGCCTCTGCCTCCCCAGTGCTGGGATTAAAGGTGTGCGTCATCATCACATGAAATAAATATTTTTAAAAGTTTTAATGGTGCTGGAGAGACGGCTCAGCAGCTAAGAGCACTGGCTGCTCTTCCAGAGGACCTGGGTTCAGTTCCCAGCACCACATGGTGGCCCACAACCCTCTGCAGCTCCATTTCCAGGGGATCTGACGCTCCCTTCTGACCTCCACAGGCACCAGGCATGACGATTTCACCAAATATAAGTGTTGGTGAAACATTCTTACACACAAAATAAATCTTTAAAAATAAGAAGCCAGGCTGCAGTGGCTCTGTGAGTTCAAGGCCAGCCTGGTGTACAGAACAAGTTCCAAGGACAGACAGGGCTACACACAGAAACCCTAACTCAAAAAAAAAAAAACCATAAGTAAATAAACAAATGGTTGAATCCCACTTAGAAAAGTTCACACTGTGCCAGGGCCAAGCTCTCAGATACAGATTTTAGTGACCAACAGTGACCACTGAAGGGATCCTGGCTTCACTCAGCTTTTCCTTCACGAGATTTTCCATCTGCTATCTCCACTCTCTTCCTCTCCCCTGCCCGTGCCGAGCTCCCAGCCTCCCCAAACCTGGCCCAGCCCTGGGGTTGGGGTGAACAAGCGTTAGGCCCCTTGGATGACTGTTCTCACTCTTGGAGGGACGCCCCTCACGCCCATGGTTCGGTCTCCCTCCCAGCCTCTCCCAGCCCCCATTGCCACCATGACATCACAGACCACCACATCCCAGGCCACATCTCTGAGCTGTCCCATCTCACTTCCAGCCCAGTGTCCCCTGCTTGACCAGACTCCTGTCCCTTCATCCCACCCTGCCTGGTCCCCTCCTCTGGGGCCACACAGCCACGCTCGCCAACTCCATCTCTCTGCTACTGCACACTCCCAAGGATGGCCTCTCAGCCTGGTCCAGGCCAGAGGGCTGATGGTCAGCAGAGGACCCTGGATATGTCAAGGCCAACCCCTCTTTAGGACATCGGGTCCGACTCACCCAGTAGACCACTGAGGACCCTACTAAGGATAGCATGGGAACTGACGGTAGACTCTGTGTCCCAGGCCAATACCCTTACTTTAAGGAACTGGGGACTAGTAGGGGTCAGGGGTCAGCGGCACCTGATCGTCTCTGCCACCCACCCCAGGGCCTGTGGCAGCTCAGCCCTGTCTCTCCGCAGGCCCTGTATTGCAGCTGCTTTGTTCCTGTCTACTGCGGCTTCATCCCCCCAACATATCGGGGTGAGGTGAGTGACTGGGTGAGCTGACCCCTGGGATCTTAATGGGAAGGACATTTTCTACTGAGGACTCCTAATATAGACGGACGCCTGGGATCTTAAGGGGAGCCTCCTCTAATTGGTTCAGGGCCCTCCCTAGACCCACCCACCCCGTAGAGGACCCACCGAGTCAGGGTTCCAAGGCTTGGCAGGTTCTCCCAGATGGCAGTGTGCAGAGTACAGGCCCCAGAACACAGGGACCCGAGACCCTGACCGAGGAGACCCTCAGGGCCATCTGGGCCAGGGGTCACAGGCTTCCATGTGCCCATGGTTAACCCCGAGGTCCTAAGACAGTGGGGACTCTGCTTCAGCAGATCTGGGCAGGCCAAGATTCTGCACCTCTGGCTGGCCTCAGGGTGACCCACTAGTGGCCAATCCCCTGGCTGCAGTCAGAGTGGTGGGGATGTAACCTCTGGGCCAGACATTGTGGCAGCAAGTCTTTTTCAGGCTCCCCGGGAGAAAGCGAGACTGTGAGTGGTTACTATGCTGGCCACCTCTTGCTCAGTTCATAGGTGAGGAAGCCAACAGGAACCCCACCCCCACCTCAAAAGAAAGGGGCCTGAGGTGGGTGCCTGTGAGGTTGCGGTTACACAGAGGCCAGCATCACCGGGACGGCAGAGGGACCAGAATCCAGGGTCAGAGCATTAGATGAGAATTCCCGAGACCACTGCAGACACAGCAGGGGACCCACCACCCACCGTTTATTTATCTTGGGGACCTCAGCCTCATGTCTGGTCTTGTGGCCCTGGTACCCCACGGCCCCAGTTGCTCCAAGTCCTCTGCGGTTGGGCGTTGTCTTCCTCCTTGCAGAGGTACATCGACGGTGGCTTCACGAGCATGCAGCCCTGTGCGTTCTGGACGGACGCCATCACCATCTCTACCTTCAGCAGCCAGCAGGACATCTGTCCCCGAGATTGCCCCGCCATCTTCCATGACTTCCGCATGTTCAACTTCTCCTTCCAGTTCTCCCTGGAGAACATCACCCGCATGACGCACGCGCTGTTCCCGCCAGACCTGGTGGTGAGGGCCAGGAGGGTCAGAGTGGGATCTAGAATAGAGGGAAGCCTTGACTTTGTGTCTCCCACCCCCACACGGTCCAGGGTTTTGCCGTGTTTTTAAAGGGTTGCTACAAACAAACAGGGCTCACAACCGGCAGAGGGCTTGCCTAGCATGCTTGAAGCCTGGGTGGGATCCCGGCGCTGTGCAAACCCAGCCCAGTGGTGCACATCTGTAATTCCCGTACTGGGGAGGTGGAAGAAGGTGGATTAGGAGTTTAAAGTCGTCCTTAGCTACATATGGAGTTTGAGGTTAGCCTGGACTACATGCCACCCTGTCTCAAAACAAACAGAATCCTGTGGCAGCCTGTGGTCAGCAAAGACCAAATGTTCCCAGTTCAATACTCCTCAGAAAGGGCTTTGTGGGGGACTCTCATGCACCCCTCCCAACATCCTCTGCAAAGATACCATCACTATCCCCGTTTGACAGGTGGAGAAAGTAAGGCCGTGAGGGGTTACAGCTTCATAGTCAATGAAGGGTAGTGCTGGGACTTGAACCCGGACCCCAAACTCTATCCTTCCCATGACCCCCGTATGGGTCTCTGGTTCCCCAGAAATGCCCCCACTGTTTCCTACAGGGGAGGTTGTTGACTGACACCTGACACTCCCCCTGAGTCAGCAATCGCTTCCTAGTTCTCCTGGAGAGTGGGGAGTAAGGTCCAGAGCTTGCTGACATGGCCTTGGGTGGTGGGGGGAGGGGTTGGGGGGGTGAGTGGGGTGGGGGGTGTTTCAGCATGTAAAGCATGCCTGTGGTGGGGCAGTGAGTGACTCTCTTGGTGGCTGCAGCCGGCTAATCTTCCTGTGTCACCACCTAGATCCTGCAGGGTTACTACTATCGGGGATATGACGATGCGGTCTCATACCTGCGGAGGCTGAGTGAGTAGCTGGGACCCGAGGAAGGGAGGACAAGGGGCGTGGCGGGGCGGGGGTGGGAGGGCAGGGGGCGTGGCGGGGGCGGGGTGGGAACGGAGGAGACCCAGCAGCGTGCCCTGCCCAAGACGGGCCACTGTGGCTGCCGGTTGACTATGAGACAGTGTTTAGGATATTTCTAAACACGTATCTGTGAAATTGAAAACAAAGCCGGGGTTGGAAATGCATCTCGGTTGGTGGAGTGTTTGCCTGGCATGCCCAAGCCCTGGGTTCAATCCCCAGCACTGCGTAAGACGGGTGGTGCATGAATTGATGCTGGCACCCGGGAGAAGGCTGGAGGATCAGAAGTTCAAGATCATCCTTGGCTATACAGCTTCTCCCAGGCCAGCCTGGGCTGCTCAGGACCCTGTGTCAAGTAGATGTGACTAGTTACATCTGAGTGACATGCCGATCAGCAAATCAAAGGGGAGAACCATTGTCCTTTGCTGTCTGGGCCCAACCCGTGTCTCCTCTAGTCTTTATGGGATGAATAGAGTAAATACCGAGACTAAACACTCAAAGGTCATGGTATGGCGAGTGTCCTTGGGGGAAAGAGACCAAAGACCTGTCTGGACTCGGGGTTAACTCCTTAGAGTACAGTTTCAGATGGAGGGACTCCAGAGCCAAGGATGCTTACCTAACGCTGTCCCAGCCCTTTTCCGTGTCATCTTTGGGTAGCTGTATAATTTTTTGTTTTTATCACAGTCTCATGGAACGCTTGGCTTCATGCCTTTGAGTTCCAAGTGTTTCTTATTCTGACAAGGCTATGCTCTATGACTTAAAAAAAATACCTTGGACTGGTTGGTGGCACACACCTTTAATCCCAGCAGAGGCAGGCGGATCTTTGTGAGTTCGAGGCCAGCCTGGTCTACAGAGTGAGGTCCAGGACAGGCTCCAAAGCTACAGAGAAACCCTGTCTCAAAAAAAAAGTCTCAGAAAAAGAAGGATTTGGGGGGTGAAACTAAGGGTTGAATGTTATTTTCTATAATATATACTAGAATGTATACTAGAAATACATTCTTTCTTCAGATTTGTTTCCTGCTTCTCCAGTACCCTTACCCTCTTTCCTTACTTTGTCCATCCAGGGATTGAGAAAACAGAATGATGGGAGGAAGGGGAAACGAGGGAGGGAAGAGGAGCGAGAGAGAGAGAGAGAGAGAGAGAGAGAGAGAGAGAGAGAGAGAGAGAGAGAGAGCAAGAGCGCTTCCCAGCCCCACCCCAAGCTGTGTGTCCTGGGAAAAACCACTTCCGCTCTCCTGACATCATGAATTCATGCTAAGGAGCAGTGTTTAGCAATGGGTCTCTTGGAGCCTCTTTTCCCGTCTGTCAAGGGAGGGGGTAGCAATGGTAGTGACTACTTCCGAGAGTTGTACTGTGAGTACGGAAGGCACATGGATGGTGGCTTCTCATCAGAGTCCTGCACCCCTGTTTCCCCCAGAGCCTGGAACCCTCAGCCACAAGCTGGGAGCCCCCCACTCTCTCCTGGCTGATGCTGTTTGTCCGCGACTTGAGGTCGGGAAGATCATGTGATTTGATGCTTAGATTTTGGAGGTGACTCCTTTCCCCCACACCCCCTCTGCACCCGAGGCACAGTTTAACTTAACTACCTTCGAAGGTGTCTGTCCCGCTCTTGCAAAGGAAGCCCGGGTTCTTCCCAGGCGCCTTGTGATGCGCGGATCCCCCGCCAGATGGCGCCAGCGCACACGCATGCGTCCCTTCCTCACGCAAGGCCTCTAGGATTTTTCTCCTGGTACCGAATATGACCAGGAGCTGCTGGGACCCAGAGCCATACTACCGAGTCCCCACCCGCCGCTAGGAAGCTCTCAGATTGTTCTCTGCTTGCTGCGGGGGCGGAAGCAGTCATCACACACAGACCGGTGCTACCTGGACCCCACCTCCCTCCCTTGCAGAAGCTCTCACCCACCCAGATACTCCTGCAGCTGGGAAGTCACTGACCCAGGCTGCTCCCTGACAGGGAGAGGCAGGGGCTGAAGGATGCCAGTCTGCACCCAGTTGTGGCCGGCAGCCCCCACTCCCCACTCCCTCAGACAAGGTCCTCCTACACAAACACCATCGCTCACCTCCAAGGGGTTCTGGAGAGGCTGGGCTGGGCTCTGTCAGTGCTGGCCTAGCCTGCTTGAGAACCTGGGTTTAATTTCCAGTACTTCATAAACCTGGCAGGGTGGTACACGAGGTAATCCCCAGAGCTGGGGTCAGAAGTTCAAGGTCATCCTTGGTATGTGATAAGTTTGAGGCCAGACCAGCCTGGACTACATGACACCCTGTTTCAAAAAAGGAAAGTTTCCTGGGGCCCCCTTATGATTCCCCGCCCTCCCTCACTTCCTCATCGCCAAATCCCCCCTTAATCTGTTCTCTGTCTTCCTACCTCAGCTCCCCAGGGCTGGGACAACACTGTGCGCCGCCACAGCCGGCCACGTGTCGTGTTTATGTAGATTTTTTGCACACACCCTCATAGCAGACAACGAGCGCACCACGTCTGATGTGTTGTGTTTCTCCTAGACGCTGCGTACCTCGACTCTCCCAGCAAGAGAGTGATTTTCCCGAGGGTAGAGGTGTACTGCCAGATAGAGGTCGCCCTTGGCCATGAGCCCCCAGCTGAGCAGGGCCACCGTGATGATCCCTCACAACGGCACGAACAGGTGGCTCCCGGAGAGGACAGAAAGGACAGCCCGTCCCCAGCTTCCCCATCAGTGCAGACACCTGAATCCAGGGACCAGGGGGCTGTGGAGTCACCACCCGGTGCATCATCTAAGCGGTTACCCGCATCACCCTCGGCCCCGCCCCACCCAGGCCCAGTGGTGAGGCCCGAGCTGGCCGCTGGCCCCAGGGACGTTGGCCCCAGGGACGTTGGCCCAATAAATCTTCAAACTGCAAACCCGAAGCAAGGGGTGAAGGACGGCCGTCAGCTGGACGTGGCCGCCACCGCCGCCACCGCTGCTGCCACCGCCCGAGGCACAGACAGCTCGCCCTCTGTGTTGCACACCCCGCTGTCACCTGCAGACAGGCACAGCTCGGAGGCTGGGTCCCCACTGCCTGTGTCATCGCCCGAATCCCTTCATCATTCGGGACTGCTGCTCAGACACCCCCAGGCAGCCACAGAAGCCAGGACAGACCCCGGGCCCCTGCCCTCAAGTGCCTTGGCGCCACCTGCCCTGCCACCTGTGGAGGAGCTGGGTCCCCAGCAGCCCACAGGTGTGACTCTCCCCCCTCTGGCCCTCAGGGTAGCAGCTAGCTATGTGGAACTGAGAAACACCGGTTGGTGCATGTACCCAGCACCACTGACTGGCTGGAATAAAAACAAACCTTTTGGGGGTGGGGATTTTTCGAGCCAGGGTGTCTCCGTGTAGCTCTGTAGACCAGGCTGGCCTCGAACTCGCAGAGACCTGCCTGCCTCTGCCTCCCGAGGGCTGGAGTTGAAGGGGTGCTGCGTCTCAACGTCTGGCATCTTTGCTCGTACTTGTTACTTGCAAAAACTACCCAGTACCCCCAGCCTGCCACCCAACTCACACCCGTGTGTTCACTCCGGCTGCAGGGCCCCAATCCTCTTCACCGCTGGCAAGCTCGACGGCACCGGACACCAGGAAGCCAGCATCCCAGAAGCCTCCGGCGTAAGTTTCTCCTTCCCCAGGGCATGTTCCTGCCTTTGCTCAGGGGAGGCCCCAGCTAAGTGATGTTTCAGCCCTCCTGGCTGCCCGGACACTGCCCAGCTCTCGCAGTCCACGGGGCCCAGCTCTCGCAGTCCACGGGGCGACGGTTCACCCTTTGCTCCCTCTGCCCTCCCGCAGCGAGGCACCATGTGGAGCTTGCCTGTTGGTGGCGGGGATGCCATCCTCTGCCTCCCTCCTGCACTCACTGGGCGCTCCCTGTTCTAGGGCAATGGGGGCGTGTGCACTCCTGGTCCGGGGTCTTGTTTTGGGTGAAGCCACAGTTGGGAAGGCCTACCAGGCACACCGTCCTAGCCTGAGGTGGCCCCTGGTGGCGTGGGGGAGCTCTCGTATCTCTGTTGAAGCTGGCACGGCGGTGCATGGCTTTAACCTAGCACCGTGACCTTGAAGTGACCGGGAAGGGCTGAGCACAGGCAAGCCTGCATTCGCTACCCGCTGCTCTCCACCACGGGTGCGGTGAGACAGGCTGTTCCGCCTCCATGCTGCCTTCCTCCACTTCCTCTCAGTGATGGACGGTGACCTGGAACTGTGAGCCAAATACACCCTTCCTGCCTTAGGTTGCCGTGGTCAGGGTGTTTACCACACCCTCACACGGAGAGAGAGTGCCTCAGCTGTCTGGGTTGTGAAACCCACACTTTCCAATATCTCTGCAGGCAGGACAGGCCTAGCGATCTGTAGTTCTTAAAGATCCCTGGGAACTACATTTCCCAGGCTCCCTTGCTGATTGGGTAACTGCCCCCTCCCACTCCCCGACCTGGGGGGATGGGGGGGTCAGTCACTCCCTAGGGGAGGGAGTGAGAATGTGAGAATGAGGGGACGAGAGACGGAAGAGACGGAGACGAGGCAGGATTCTGATCAAGTCTCGTTTATTAAAAGCACCAACAGGGCTTAAGTAGGTCGGCGGCTGAAGGGCGGGGGGGGGGCAGAAGTTCTCCTTGGCAGGGTGTGTGTCAGGGAGCCATGTCTGCAGCTGGGGAGCCTGGAGCGCAGGCCTGGAAAGCAAGCGGACACAGAACTGGACACCTAACCGCGTGTCAGTCTCTAAGAGTGCAGTGGGGATATTAAGATGGCTGTCACTAAGCTGTCCTTATTCAGGGCCCTCCACAGGTGACAGCTGGATTGACCAGTGAAAGGCACCCACCTCCCCTTTCTTTTAGAAAAGCAGCGTGGAAACCATCTGTCCTTTTATTCTATCGTTGCATCTGGGTCTCACTCCGTAGCCCTGGCTAGCCGTGGGCTGGCAGCCCTGCCTGCCTCCGCATCCTGTTTATCAAGATGTCCTGCATTCCCCCACTGCGTGTGATTCTAACTCTACAGCTGGGGGAAGGGGGGAGGGGGAAGGGGGGTGTGGCTGGAGAGATGGCTCAGTGGTTAAGGATACAAACTGTTCTTAGGGAGAACCTGATCCAAGTTCAGATCCCAGCACCCACATTGGGCAGCTCACAGCAGCCTGTAGCTCCATCTCCAAGGGATCTGATGTCTTCTTTTGTCTCCATGAATGTATACTTACATAAGGACACACATACGTTTAAAAAAAATCTTTAAAAACCTTTGACAGTATTATTATGTTTGTGTGACTTTAACCTCTTCGTATCTACGTTCAGTAGGTAAAAGGTTGGGCTTTGTCTCCTTGGCCTGGTGCCGCCCAGATAAATAGTTAACAATAATCAGGAATGTTTGCTGGGCTTTAATCCCAGCACTTGGGAGGCAGAGGCAGGCGGATCTCTGCGTGTTTGAGACCAGCCTGGTCTACAAGAGCTAGTTCCAGGACAGCCTCCAAAGCCACAGAGAAACCCTGTCTCTAAAAAAACAAAAAGAAAAAGTGTAAAGAGAAACCTTTTCCTCTGCCAGCCGCTTTGGTTTTACCCTGCCAGCGTTGTAGTCCCCAAATAAACACACAGGAGTCTATATTAATTATGAAGCTGTTGGCCTTGCTTGTTTCTTACTGGCTAGCTCTGATTTAAGTAATTACCCCATAATTGTTAATCTAAGTATTTCTTTTACCGGAGAACTTTCCGGGCTTCCTACCCCATGGCGTTACATCTTGACTCTCTGTGTTTCTCCTTCCCAGAGTTCTCCTGGACTCCTAGTCCCACCTATCTAGATTCCTATTGGCCCAACAGTGCTTTATTGACATAATCACAGGACTTCCCACATCAAAAAAGAAAAAAAGAAAGAAATGTTGCTGGGGAACTCCAACCTTGGCCAGTACCACTGGGTGTCCTGAGCTGGGCCAGGACACTGCTGGTGGCAGACACTGTTCAGGCCATAGCCTGAACCTCCTTGGTTCTTTGCCCAGGGACTGTCCTGCTGTGGATTCAAACAGAGCAAACAAGAAGTTCAAGAAGAAACAGAAGACAAATTCGACCAGAGACTGTTTCCAGAGAAACCTTCGGTCCAAGAAGACAACTAGCAAACCGCAGTAAGTGTCTAACACTCGTGGTTGATGGACGGGGAGTCCTGATCTGCCTGCAAGCTCAGCGCTTGCGGTTAGGACATCTGGGCTCTCTGAGTCTCCGTTTTCTGACCTGCAAAACAGGTGTGTGTGTGTGTGTGTGTGTGTGTGTGTGTGTGTGTGTGTGTGTGTTAGAATATTATTTTCAAGTGTGTGACTTTTGTTTATGCCACATTTGTTTAACTCCGTGAAGCTGTGGTTCTTTGCCTGCCTAAAACACCTGATTGGTCTAATAAAGAGCTGAACGGCCGCTATCAAGGCAGGAAAGAGGAGAGGTGGGGCTGCCAAACAGAGAGGATAAAGAGAAGGAGAAACAAGGAAGAGAGTAAGAGAACAAGGGAGTGAGGGTATCAGGAGCCGCCGCCCAGCCATTTTCCAGAGAGGGCAAGCGGCTCCTCAGGGGCCCACAGCAGGTGAAAGCGGGGTTTGGAACGCTAGCTGATCCTGGTTCCCCCCACATGTGTCCTTGGCTTCTGGAACCCAGGCCTGCTCCTTGCCCACTGGACTTTCCTGTCCTCTCCACTTCTAAGACAGTTTGGGTCACCTACAAGCCTCATCCCAACCGGATCCAAGAATTCAGCTGCTCTGAGGTATGGAATCCCTCTGGGTGTCCCCCAACGGTGACCCTGCGTCTCCGGCTCCATCCTGAGCATGTCCTCTGGCTTCTTTTCCGTCCTTCCTTCCTGAAAGCCATCATCAGCTCTAGTGTATTGTGTAATCAAAGGACATCTGGGAGCCAGGTGTGGTGCTCACATTTAATCCCAGCACTTGGGAAGCAGAAGCAGGTTGGATCTCTGTGAGTTCAAGGCCAGGCTGGTCTACAGAGTGAGTTCAAGGCCAGCATAGTGAGACCCTATCTTAAAAACCAAAAAAAAAAAAAAAAAAGGAGAGAGAGAGAAAGAGACTCAGAGAGAGGCAGGAGGGGTCAGCGGATGCTGGAGGAGGTGGTAACACACACTTTTAATCCCAGCACCCGGGAAGCAGAGGCAGGTGGATTTCTGTGAGTCCGAGGTCAGCCTGGTCTGCATGTCAAGTTCCAAGACAGTCAGGGCTATGTAGCAAGATCCTGTCTCAAAAAATAAATCCGTACATACATAAATAGAATGAAGAGAGCTGAAGAGAAGCGCACAGATAACCTTCAAACTGAACCCATGTGTCTATGACCCACCTGCATCTGTACCTGGCATAGCACGCTAACCACACACTGAACTGAGCAGCCTGGAGACCACCCCCACCTCCCTGGAAAACAAGTATCAACTCATCTTTTGTAGATGGAATAGCATTTCAAACACCTTTTTAATCACTTCCTCCCTGGGACTCCCCTTGGCAAAGCAGCTAAGGGGTCTGGGATAATAAAGTGAACCCCTAAACTGGCTTTTGGGACAATCCCAGATCCGTGGTTTTGGTCTAGTGAAACAGAGGGAACGTCTGGGTGGAACTAACTTCAGGATGTCCTAGGTAGGGGCACTCAGAATGACAACTCTTTGTCCTTTCTTAGGGAGTGGGTGTACAGAACTCCTAGACTGAATCAGGAGAGACCCCAGTGACCCGGAGCCTGGGTCCAGCCTTCCACCCACACCCAAGGCTGCCAGTCGGGACCAGGGGGTAGCCTTGGCTATCCAGCACTGCAGAAGGTCTGCTCCCCCAGTGTGTGTGTGCTTGTCTGACGCACCTCCTGCCCAACAGAGTCTCTGTTTATAATCGCTGGAACCCTTCTGAAGCTGTTTCCTGGGATCCCCAAGAGAAGGACCTGACCAGCGCTCTGGGTTTCAGGATTTTTTTCAACTCCCTCTCCCTGGAACTCTACAGCTCAGCCATGCAGACCAGCAGCCATGGGCTTTCTCAGTCAAGGACCAAAAATGTCCCTTCCCTCAGCCCCAGTGAGGGAAAAACGTCATTCACGCAGCTGTGACAGTAATCTCAAGGAAGACATCTTCAGTCTCATTGGGTGACACTTTGGGGGACATGTGAAATTAAACATCTGCTCTCAAGCTGGCATGGGACAGCACCCCCAAAATTGCTTGTTCAAGTTCTTGAGGGTAGAGATGAGTTGAGAGAAGGGTTCCTCGGGGAGCTGCCCGATGAGTTGAGAGAAGGGTTCCTCGGGGAGCTGCCCGATGAGTTGAGAGAAGGGTTCCTCGGGGAGCTGCCCGATGAGTTGAGAGAAGGGTTACTCGGGGAGCTGCCCGATGAGTTGAGAGAAGGGTTCCTCGGGGAGCTGCCCGATGAGTTGAGAGAAGGGTTACTCGGGGAGCTGCCCGATGAGTTGAGAGAAGGGTTCCTCGGGGAGCTGCCCGATGAGTTGAGAGAAGGGTTCCTCGGGGAGCTGCCCGATGAGTTGAGAGAAGGGTTACTCGGGGAGCTGCCCGATGAGTTGAGAGAAGGGTTCCTCGGGGAGCTGCCCGATGAGTTGAGAGAAGGGTTACTCGGGGAGCTGCCCGATGAGTTGAGAGAAGGGTTCCTCGGGGAGCTGCCCGATGAGTTGAGAGAAGGGTTCCTCGGGGAGCTGCCCGATGAGTTGAGAGAAGGGTTACTCGGGGAGCTGCCCGATGAGTTGAGAGAAGGGTTCCTCGGGGAGCTGCCCGATGAGTTGAGAGAAGGGTTCCTCGGGGAGCTGCCCTCCAGAGGGCACCAGCCAAGCCTCTGTTGTCTATGGCTCTTGTCAACCCAGGCAAGAATGAGACCCCGGCCACAGTTGAGCTAAACTTGAAGGAAGCTTTATTAAAAGCAGGTCACAATGATGGACACTGGCCAGGTCCATACCTGGGCTTTCCACAGAATGGCCATGGATTGCCTTAGTCCAGTGCGTATAGGGGCAAAGCCCACAAGTGTATGTGCTTCCTTCATCCTATCAGGGGCAAGCATGTATCATGACGTTCTCCTGCCTAAGCACCTCCCACCTACGTGTGTGACCCAGCACATCCTGTACAGTTGGGGCAACCAGGCTTGTTGACAGAAGAGAAAACACATGGCTTGTTATCTTACATGAACAGCAGCCCCCAGCATTTCAGGAAGTGTTTCTGTCCTTGGGCAAGTGGGACTTACAGGTTAGAGGTATTTTCCTTTTGTTGACCAATTAAGCATGGTAATTTATACTTGAAAATAGCCCTCACAAAAACAGGGGCAGGGGCATCTGAACATGAGAGGAGGTGGGGGCGGGTAGGGGTGCCAGGAGCCAAGAGGCAAGGAGGCCAAGGGGTAAAAGGGTGAAAAGACCAGGAAGCCCAAATGGTTGGATTATATGGGGAAGGGCAGCCCAACCCCTGGACTGGGGCTTTCAGGGTAAGGGGTGGGGTACGCTAGCCAGGAGGAGCCTGTAGGGAATGAGCTAGGAGGTCCTGGTGACCAGGTCTGCTTTGGTACTTTAATAGGCTTCCCAGCCCTTTCTTTGTCTGGGTTTGAGACCTAACAAGCACTGCCTCGGGTTGAAGCCATCCAGAGCCCCCCAGGCTCAGCTGACGTGGAGCACAGATGCACCAGGCTCTGGGCAGGTTGGGGTCCTGGCTGGCCTGCACCCCACACTTGCCCTTCTCTGAACCCCTTGGTCTCTGCAAACACTGAGCGTAGGAAGGACGGCTTGGTTTGCTAACGTCTGCTGTGAAGAAAAACTGTCCTGCGGCTTGCTGCAAGGTGGTCGCTCTGGCTAGGATTTGGAGGATGGGGATCTCGCTGTTAAGTCTCCACATTCCCAGCCTGTCCAGCAGATGTGCCCGCAGCAGCTCCCTAAAAAGGAAACCACCCCAGCCAGGAGGCCCGGGCTACCCACAGGCTCCAGTAGCATTTGCTTAACAAATACTCAAATGCAAAAGCTAGAGCCCAGGCTGGACTTGGCCACTGAGGGCCGGGGGATAAATGTAAGCACAGAAAGGGACCCCGAGGCAAGGAGGCCTTGGAGGAGCCTAAACTTAATGGTGGTTTCAGGGAACAAAATGAGCGCTTTGAAAGGCTAGGGAGAGGGAGGTGGTGACTCAAATCTAAGGAGCAGGAGTTAAGGTCATCCAAGGCTACACAGTGAGTTAGGGACTTGCTTGGGCTACATAAGACTCTGTCTCAAACGGGATAGCCTCCTTACCACCCACTGCCAAAATAAAATCAAGATCCTTGGTGACTGACAGGGCTATCCCGGCGATCCAGTGCTATAAGCCAGGAGAGGCAAGACCTGGAGGTTGGCATGGCCGCAGTCCCCAAGGCACAGCTTCCATCTAAGCGTGAGGACCTTCATCAGCAGGAGAATCCGTCTCAGCCCAGAAATGCCAATTCCCTGGCACAGGGGGACGCGGCACCCATTAACTGTCTTCCCTCACAGCCAGTGTATGAAGCCTAGATGCTTCCAACGTCACCGTTGTCCCAAGGGTCCCGAGCCCCTTGTAGATTCTCTTGGCTTGTGTTAATTTCTCCTGTTTCGAGTTAATGAAGAGAGATCTTTGTACTAGTTCCAGGATTGGCAGATGAAACACAGGATGCCTCATGACTGGAAATCTCTGGTAAACACGGAGCATTGAGCGCCCAAAATTACAGTCATTTGCCTGAAATTCTGTCAAGGGCCATGAGGAATGCAGCAGGATAACTAACACTCAACAGGCCGACCTGGGAAGGTTGTGGGGCCACGTCATCTCTTCCCTAAGAATGGCTGTGGATGACTCCCGCTGCTTGTGTGCGTTTATCTCGTGAAAATAGTCCCTCTATTGGGTCCATACATCTGTGGGAAGTCAGGAGGATGACTTCCTTTGGCTGTATAATCTTGACATATAGAATTTATACTGGGTGCTTTTGTGTTCTCAAATAGGTCCCAGAGAAAGGAATTCCTCCTCACTGGGGAGTCAGCAGTAAGAGTCTCAGCATTACACAGCCTTAGCTTTTCCCTTTGGTATAGCGCTGAGAAGCTCCCTTTAATCAACTGATGTTGGGCAAAAATGCTAATGTGGATCAAATGGCACCCTTTCTCCTCCCTAAGTTCCGTGACTCTGTTCTCGGAAACGGAAAGCAAAACTCAGTGCATAGAAAGCATAGAGCTACAGCGTTCCTCTTTTTCTGCGTTTGCCAGTTACAAACGTCTAGCTTAATTAACCACACAAGCATAGCTTTACAGGCTAACACCCTTCTCCCTCCTTAGAAATCATAGCCCTTAACCCTCGCCACCTCGTAAGCCGTGCCCAGATGCTTACAAGCCACGTCCCCTCTGATCTGACCATTTTGTCAGATCGTACCTGCAATCCTGGCCTGAGATATGCATGCCTGGTGTCCTTGATATTGCTGAGAACTGCTAACTGTGTGTCTGTGTGGGCTATAAACTGGGAACCTTGTGGAATCTGAGAACTTTTGGAGAAAAGTTTTGAAGGGAGAACTTTAGGGGGGACAACTTTTCTTAGAAGAATAAAGAGCTGGCGAGCTCCTTTCAGTCAGCCCTACCTGCTTGCTGTCTGGCCAGAACCCCGAGACAACACCGAGGCTGGAACTTGGAGGTTTAACTTCAGATTTGCTGGGCAGCCTGTATTCTCACTTGCTAACTCTGCTGACTTAGTCCCTTTTAATCTCTTCTTCCCTTTGTTTTCTTTTTTTGTAGTTTGCTTTGTTTTGGTTTCTGGTTTTTGAGACAGGGTTTCCCTGTGTAACAGGTCTAAATGTCCCAGAACTCGCTCTGTTGACCAGGCTGGCCTCGAACTCACAGAGATCCTCCTGCCTCCGTAGCCCAAGTGCTGGGATTAAAGGCATGGGCCAGCACACCTGGTCCTTCAGCCTGCTCAGTGACTGGATTTATTTTGTAGCCCAGCTCATACTGGGTAGTGTTGGGTCTCAAAGAAGCCAGGGACAGGTAGCTAACTGAGGTGCCTGCTTAGCATATCAAAGTGGAGACTTCCCTCAGTCTCTACCCACACGACCTGACAGAGTCATCCCAGCGACCTTCCCATGGTCCCTCTCCAGGCACTCAGCTCACCCCCCTAATCCCCAACCCCCAGCTTCTCTGGTTCCTATACAACCCAGCCATTTTGGTTCTTCTCGGTCCATATGCTCTCTCTTGGCCTCTTAGTCCGTGGCTCCTCGCTTGACCGGATGCCCCCCTTCCCTCCCTCTCTCGACCCTGCCCCTGGGCTCATGCCCAGCCTACTCTGGACTCTTTCAGATGCCCCGGGCGGTTCTCTCTTGTCAGCCATGTCCTCATGCGTTCACTCAGACACATAGCAGAGGATAGCCTCCTTGCTCCATCCACCTCTGTGCCGTCACTAAAAAGGAGAGAGAGCTGGCTGGCCCAGTCTCTCTGTACCTGTTACCTTGACATTCACAGGGTTGTGGCCACAGTCACCAGGTCAATGTCTTGTTCCCAGTATTGCAGATATGTAGCCGGGGGCTCCTGACCACCCAGCCTGTGACCTCTTTGTCAACTGTGTCAGCACGGTGTCACCTCAAGGATAAACCACCTGAGAAACATCCAGAGAGAACCCAGGGCAGGGACAGCAAGGCTGCCCCCCCCCCCAGTCAAGCAGACTCTGGTTGTCCTGGATGGGACAGGGTGGTGGCCATCTTGTCTCTACTGGATGGGACAGGGTGGTGGCCATCTTGTCTCTACTGGATGGGACAGGGTGGTGGCCATCTTGCCTCTACTGGATGGGACAGGGTGGTGGCCATCTTGCCTCTACTGGATGGGACAGGGCGGTGGCCATCTTGCCTCTACTGGATGGGACAGGGAGCAACCATTTTGTTTCCACTGCGTAGGGCAAGGGAACTGTCCTCTAGCTTCCCTGGAAAGATCCAGATCACAGTCTGAGAAAGTCAGCATCTTTATTGGCTCAAACAACACTGTACAAAAGTAAGACTTGGATCCCAGCATTGGGCACTCATACCAAATACTCTGCTACCCAGAAGGTCATCACTGCTGATAAGAAACTATCTAGGGCTGGAGAGATGTCTCAGCAGTTAAGAGTACTTAGTGGCTCTCCCAGAGGTCCTGAGTTCAATTCCCAGCAACCACATGATGGCTAACAACCATCTATAATGAGATCTTGTGCCCTGCATATGAATATGCAGGGAGAACACAGTATACATAAATAAATAAATCAAAAGAAAAAAAAAGTATGTCCAAGGTTTGGAGAAATGACTGAACATGAGCTGCTTTGTGAGATACAGTGCCCTCTTCTGGCCTCTGTGAGCACTGCACTCATGTGCACAAACCCACATATACATAACTTAAATAAAAACAAAATCTTTGCATAAATAGAAGAAACTGTGTATAGTTCGATATGGTGGCACACACCTGTAATCCCAACTATTGTTAGGCAGAGAAGAATTACCAGAAGTTCAAGACCAGCCTGGACTATATGAGGTGAATAAAAATAATAAAAAAAAGAAAAACAAATGATGTACTAAAGGTTCCTGACCCTCGTTTCAAAACTTAGTTCTTGCACATCAGTGGCATCCCTGAATACTGCCCAAAATAAATCTATGAAGAGGCCACTGAATACCAAGAAAAACACCTTGAAGCAATAAAAAAAAATGGACCATTTTAGGCTTGAGGCTGGCCCCACCTGAGCCCAGGCCTCCCTCCCCTCACTCTCCCATGAACCCGATGCGCCCCCAGATAGTCTCCAAGGCTAACAAGACTGTGTCTGCCATCCAGGCTTTCATGCCCACGGCCACACCTTCCTGCTGACGGCCCAGGGAGTCAGTGGCCCTATCTGAGTCACTGGCCAGCTGGGTGGAAGGCAGAGCCATTTGCACCCATACCTCATAGTTGTATGAATAGACTCGGCCACCAGAGGGCCATCTCGGGACACTTCACCAGCTGGGAGCTTGGTTCCTGTCCACAACACACAGGACAGGAGCAAGGCTGCGTGTCCTAGGTCATGGGAGCGTGTCATCACAACTCTCGTTCATGGGGTGTGGTGGCACCTGGTTGTGATGTCAGCACTGGAGAGGTGGAACCAGGCGGATCCCTGGGGCTCTCAGCATTATACAAACCCACTAGGCGAGGCCCAGGTCAGTGACAGATTCTGTCTCAGGAAAACAAGGCAGATGGAACTGAAATCTGGCACCTGAGGTTGACCTCTGACCTATAACCACACACACCCCCAGCTAAGACTCATTGGAAGCTGGACCAGGCAGAGGTCAGTCAGTTGGCCTCCTTCACGATGGTGGCGTGCACAGTTGAGGCCTCTCCTCGATTCAGTGGGTAAAGCCTGCTCTCCTAACCCTAACCCAGGGCCCACCCCCTGGGCCTAGCCTCCAGGAGGGAACTCATTCTCAGACAGCGCCGACTATGCAGGGCATCCTTGTCCATTCTCCAGGCGTGTTCGGGAAGCACTGGTCCATCCTGCCGGTGCTTAACTTGTCCGAAAGAACTCGGGTGCGAGGTTGGGCCTTCAGTCTGGACTCTGGCCAGCCAGGCTCGTGATGTCCTGGGAGGGGGAGAAGCCACAGCAGGTCAGCAGGTCCCACTGTGCGAACAGAACAGCAAGGCTGTGCACTTAGCCTTGGCAGCCCCGCCCCGCCCCAGGCAGCTCTCCCAAGTCCTTCCTCTTCGGCTACAGCCTCCAAAGCTTGGCCATCCAAACTGCACCTGGCCCCTCCTGGTGGCCTCCAGGGACCACCGGCTCCACCTGCCTCGGCTGCCAGCCCTTTGACGTGTGACTGCCACTAAATTCTGTCATCGTGGTTTAGATCGTCTCGGAAGTTTGCGAGGAGGTAGCAAGTCTGAAGTGAAGCCTGCGGATTCTGACTGGGGGGCCGGCGGCTCAGCGGGTAAAGGCATTTTGCCTCTAAGCCTGAACCACGTGGTAGGAGAGCGCCAACTCCTACAAGCCGCCCTCTGACCTCCACACGTGTGCTAGGGCACGCACGCACGCACGCGCACACACACACGTGCACGCACACGCACACACACACGCACGCACACGCACGAATGCATGCACGCACACACACGCATGCACGCACACACGCACGCATGCACGCACACACGCACGCACACGCACGCACGCACACACACGCACGCACACACACACACGCATGCACGCACGCACCAAATAGGTGCAATTTTAAAGGACAGTTTTAAAGTCTAACTGAGCATAGCAGAAAAGCCAGAAGACGCCACCATAACTCTTGCTGTCCCTTGTGTCCCCCCCCACCGAGGCGTCCCTCCCCTTAGGTCTCACCTGCTGGGCCTTCCTGGACAGGAAGTGGGCATAACTGTGTCCCTTGTACTGGCCTCTGGACTGCATGAGGGTGCAGATGGCGCAGCTGTGGTTGACCGAAAACTTGTTCAGCGAGCCGAAGGCGCACGGCGGCGGTCTGCTGGCAGGGCTCCTGTCTTCCTCTGAGAGGCGGGCCCTCTGTCTGTCCAGGGTGGCCACCAGCTTCCTGAGGGAGGCATCTGAGAACCCATTAAAAAACTTCTTGAAGCTGGGGTACTTCCGGATCTGGAACAAAAGTGGAAGCGGTCGGTGCTGACGGTGGAGTCCCTCCCACCCCAGAGCCTGCCCCCCAGAATCCGTCGTGAGCTCCCCTCCCCCATTACGTCCCTCCGCCACCCACTGGCACTCATACACGTGTGGCTCAGCTACGGGGCAAAGCAAAAACTGAACACACAGACAGGCGTGAGTCTGCACACAGCACACCGCGCTGACCTCTGTCTGGCTACAGAAACGGAGAAGACCAGATGCCCTCTCCAAAATGGTTAGGGGTAGGAGCCAGATAGTTTGTGCAGAACGTTTAATGGCTTCTTAGCCCAACTCTAAAGTCCTTCTGGTCAGTTCCCTTCTCATATCTGGAAGGGATATGAGCAACTGGGGGGTCTCCCGGGGTGGCCCCAAAGACTTGGATGGCATGTGGTTTGGGATCCTGGCACAATGAGGGGGGGTAAGGACCTGGGACCAGGCGGCCCGGACAGCGGGGTGTGTGGATGCATCTTAGGGAGGGCTGTGGTCTTCACTCTCTCACTCCCAGCAGCCATGGTGGAGGCTGCTCTCGGGAACGCACAGTGTTGATTTTCCCTACCGCACATGGTGTGGGAACTCCGGGTGGATGGGTGGTAAGATGCACGTGTCCAGGGGCTGGCAAGTGGAAAGCTGAGGCGCTTTCACCCCCTCACAGGGGACCTGCCTGTCTCTCATGGGCAGGAGCCTGGGTGGGGACAGGTGAGCTACAAGCCTGAAGGAACTGGATCCAGCTGAGCTGCTCCCAGGCACGGCTGCAAGAGCTCAGTGTCCTTGCAACAGGATCTGAAGGCTTGGAGGGTGCAAGGTCTTGGAGTGCTGGGGATTTGGTCTGGGGAGCCATCGAACATTCTGGGGTGTGTGTGTGTGTGTGTGTGTGTGTGTGTGTGTGTGTGTGTGTGTGTGTGTGTGTGTGTGATGTATGCACACATGTACATAGAGGCCAGAGGGTATTGGATGTCCTCCTGCTTTAGAACTCTTCCTTACTTATCCGCTTGAGACAGGATCTCTCACTGACCCTGGAGGGAGGCTGGCAGCCATTGAACCCCAGCATCCTCCTGTCGCCCCCCTCTCCTGCGCCCATACATCTCTGGGCTAACCCTTTGTATACATGTGTGCTTAGGATTTGAATTCAGGCTCTGACTTGTACAGAAAGCTCTCTTACCTGCTGAGCCATCTCCCTAGCCTGCCTGCGTCCTACTGTGTTAAACTAGCGTTCTCTTCACCTGGCCCTGTGTTAGGGGTTCTCTACAGAGGCACTGTTAGGTCAAGTGGGGACTACCCCTATTTTGCAAAAGAGGGAACCGAGGCTCAGAGGGGTTAAGGGACACGTCCAAGGTCGCTCAGAAGGGGGGGGGAGCTAGAACCCGGGTCTCAGAGGAGGGTGCTGGAACTCCTGTACCCACCTGGGGAGTTAGAGCGGAACCCCTGTACCCACCTGGGGAGTTAGAGCGGTACTCACCTGCCTCCCCAGGTCACTGTCCACCTCTTGGAGACCTTCTACCAACTTACGGATGACGGATTCCTCTGAGGGGAGAAGGGAGGGTGAGAAGCTGTCCCAAGTGGCACCCGGCGTCCCTGACAGACCGCCACAGCAGCATAGCCGCCCAAATAAAGACTGAGTGTCCTCTCCACCTGTCAGACGCCAACTGAGGGCTCCTAATGTTAGGAATGGGGACACTTTTGGGGACACTTGCACTCAGAGTGGCCAGCCACCGGTGCTGCCACAACAGGAGGGCCACTCAGCTGGGTTACCAGCCCCTTGGTACTGGTTGGGGCCAGGTTCACTAAAGTGTGCTGGAAACTCCCAGAGAGGTCGATAGAAACCATTGGCAGCTCGAATAGACCAGGGTGGAACCACTTACATCAGTGAAATGGGCTAATGTCCCCCAAACCCCGTCTGGACCCTTCCCCAGTCTGAAGAGCACACAGATGATGTCGGTCCCCACTGTGGGGGTCTCCTGGGGCGGGGTTCAGCTGCCTTCTCCACTCCTAGGAGCATTCCCTCCTGAGCCTAAGAGCGGACAGAAGCTGTCCCTTGGGGGCAGGGTATACTGACTAGATTCCCAGGCTCTCTCTGGCAGAGGCTGCTCATCTGGTACGTGGTGGCTTCCTGCCTGTAAAGACTCTTCTGGGGTCCCGGATGGTTCCCCTCCTGTAGCCTCCAGCTTCTGGAACGCCGGGTCTTCTGCATGTGGTGGCAGAAACATAGATGAGTTTGGCCTCTGTCTCAGTCCTCGGGGAGGTCCTGGCCCCGCCCTACGTCTGAGGGGATCTCAAGTGTTTCCTCTCTGTCCCTCTGCTTCCTCACAGTCTCCAGCGTGACAAGCACACTGGACATGCCCACGCCTCCCACCCAGCAAAACCACCCTCCCTTTAGAGGTGCAAGGCTCAGCCTGGTCAGTCAGAGCTTCACCTTCCCCTGCTGTCAAAAGGGGATGGTGAGACAGCCCGCCCGTGTTAATGAGGTAGTGCCGTGTTAGGGGCATATACAGCAGGCGCCGCGTTGAGTACCAGTTATCACCGCACGCCAGTGGTCCCCTGGCTTAGTGCAGTCCCCTTCCAACAGTCCCCTGGTCTGTTTCTGTGAGTGTTCCCTGGTGACATATAGCACACAACCACAGATCTAGCGACGCCCTCGTTTTTTAAAAAGAGGGAACTCTGAGCTTTTTGGTGGGTGTCCCGCTGAAAACTGACCCCTTTGCCTCTCCACTCTTCCCACGACAGACAGCCCGCATCCATCAAGACTTGAAGTCACCATGGCAACACCAGGCCTGCTCACCTGGGCCGCTGGGGATGGAAGCTCTGTGGCCACCGACGCACGTGGGCAGGAAGCCGTGCCTCTTGGGTGGCCGGGCCTCCGGGCTGGCAGCACCCGGAGTCCCCGAAGACGCCTCTGTTCTCTTGGAATCCCTGGAGCCGTGTTTCCTGAGGGAAAAGGTGCGCCGGAGGTTGGCCTTCTTCCCCTTGCGGGCGGGGGCGGGGTTTTCTCCAGCCTCCTCTGCCTCCTGGACCTGAGCTTGCTATGGGGAAGAAGAGAGAAACTGAGGCAGGGCCCCTGACCTTGAGCAGGTCAAAGGTGAGCCATGGCCTAGGCGGCGTAGCCCAGCAGGAGGGTGGCGGCGCTGGGTGCTGGGGAGAGTGGTCTGGGGGGGGGCAGCACAGAGTTTAGAATAAAGCAAGGGGGTGAGAAGGGTGGGGTTCCCGGAAGAGCGGGCCAGCCGGGGCGGGGTCCTCACCTGTTCTCCTCTCTCTTCCTCTGAGCTTCGGAGCAGGGCCAGGATCTTCCGCCTGAATTCTCCTAGGGAAGACAGGGTTCCTCACAAAGCGCCAGGGCCAGCACTCGCTTTCTAGGGGGCACACCCCGGCCTTCTGCTCCTTCTCTGGAGTGCAAACTTGGGCCCTCGTGCCTAGGAGGCCCTCATACTGTCTGCTGTCTCCCCAGCTCCCCCCGCCCCCCAGATGTCTCCAGATGTGTAGACCTGACAATAAATATTTCACATCCAGGCCTGGCCAACCAAGCCGGTCACCTAACAGCAACACAGCACACAGTATCTGACAACACCTGCCCCCCCCCCCACTCTCCCCTGCTTCACAGACTAAGGCTTAGTCAAGACCTCCAGCAAGGACCACCCTTGCAAAATGAGGAAACTGAGGCTAGCGGATAAAGTGTGCTCCGGGCCCATATGCTGTCTCCACAGCCTGTGACTTCCCAAAGGGAGGCTGGAACAGGCCTCGGCCTCCCTCTCTCTGCCTCGGTTTCTCTTCCTTCAAATGGCAGTCTTTGAGTGGGGTCTCTGAGGGGCCAGGTACTAACGGGATTCCCAGGCTTTGTCCCCCGGCGTCCTCTCCGCTGGTCCCTGACATTCGGCTGGGGTGTGGAGCTCAGAGGAATGTGGGCACCCACCGGCTACGGACAGGACCTGCTGGGATCCGGGCTCCTCCGAGTCTGGGAAACAGAAGGGTGCAGTAGTGAGTGCCCTGTCTCAGCCACACGCAGCCCCTAAGCTCTGAGCCCAGGTGGGTGCCAGCTTGCCCTGCCCTCCTCCTCTGTTGGGTTCGGTGAGCTTTGGGACTGTGCCAGGTCTGGGGCTCTGCTGGGGGCCAGATCAGGCCTTCTCCAGCCCCGGGAACTCCTTTGCCTCTGTTCTCCGCTGCTTCCCCTTTCCATGGGGTGCCGACCTAGCCACCGCTTGGGATGGCCCACTAGGGGACAGAGGATGCCTGACTCCATGGCCTAAACTGTCCGGCATGAGAATCCATCCTCTTATGAGCCCAAACCCTTCCTCTCTAAGCCAGAAACTCCCCCTGGCCGTGGTGTCCCGTGAGGCCTGCTCCCGTCCGCCCTGAGGCCCAGGAAAAACCCATGTGACCAGCCCTTCTCCCATTCCTCTGGCTGTAGAGCTTTGATGAGCCACGTGATTACCTAACTTCACCCCTGCACCCAGCTTCCTCACCTCTAAGGCAAACTGAGATACAGGGAGCGATCTGAGTCAGAGGTAAGATGGCAGAGAGATAGAAACCAGGAGGGCTTGGGGCGCCTCACTGGTAGACTGTTTGCCCGGCAGGCACAAGGCCCTGGGTCCTAGTCCTAGCGCCACAGAACACAGGCGGTGGTGCGCAAGCCAATAACCCTAGCCTTTAGAATGTTCAAGGACATCTGGCTACACGAAGGAGTTTGAGAGCAGCCTGGGCTCCGTGAGACTCTGTCTCAGACAAACAACAAACCCAAAAACGTACAAGCAACAACAGCAAAAAGCAACACCCCGAAAAACCAAAATAACAGCAAAACGGGGGTGCGTGTGAAGAGTTCTCAGGGGCTAAGAGCACCGGGTGCTCTTTGCAGAGGACGCGGGTTTGACTCCCAGTGCCCACATGGCGACTCAGAAGCATCTGTAACTCCAGCCTAGGGGATCTGATTCTCACCTCTGGTCGACACACACCAGACATGTGCATGGTACCCAGGCAAAACATCCACACATATTAAGAGAAATGAAAACTGTGTCTGGGAACCAGAGCCCCTGTCTCTGGTTCTGCCCGGAGCCGGCAAGGACCCTGTACACAGTAGCCTCAAGGGCTGAGATGTGCTGCCCGCACCCAGGTGAGGCCACGGGGAGGCGCCCGGCTTCCGGTCCCTCTCCATCCCCAACCCCCTCCACACTGCTCAAGGCCTAGTGTGGACATCAGAACGAAGCTGGCCAATCCCAGCCCTGGGAAGACTCCCGAGCTGGAGAGAAGCTGCGGTTGCTATGGCGACTGCCAGAGCCTGCTCACCATGGCTGCTGGAGACAGAAGGCCGATGGCCACTAATGCACAGGGGTAGGTAGCCAGGCCTCTTGGGCCGCGTTTCTGGGCCAACGGCAGTGGCTGCACCCCCTCTCTTGGGTTCCTCGGAGGCAGGCTTCTTGAGGGACAAGGCTTTCTTCAGGCTGGACTTCTTCTCCTGGGATTTCTTCCTCGAGGGCGGCGTTGTTCTTTGAGGAGCCAAGTCCAGCTGAGGGACTTGCTGTGGGGGAGGAGAGAGAACACAGTCAGGCCCCTGACCTTGAGGAAGCCCTCAAGGCAGCCCCAGGCAGGGACAGCCCAGAGTGGGAGGTGGCCTCAGGAATTGGAGAGTGGGGCGAGCTGGGCAGGGAAGGTGGGGCTCGAACCCTGAGCTGCGGCAGCCCTGCAGGTCCTCTCTGATGCCAGTGCCTCACCTGCTCCTCCAAATGGTCCCCGGCATTCTTGAGTAATTCCACAATCTTCCAGATGACTTCATCCTCTGCAAGAGAACACCGACAGTATTTGGATCTAGTCCTAATGTGGCCGGCCCGGCTGGTTCCCTCGGGATCCATGACAGCTCCTGGGAGGTGGCTAAGGGAGAAGCCTCCCCCACTACCCACCTTACACTACCATACACTGCCCACCATACACTGCCCACCCAGGGCTGTCTTGAGTGAGAACTGGCAGAGTCACATGGAAGCATTTTTTGTTGTTGTTGTTGTTTTGTAGCCAAAGTATGACTTAAGTTGTTTTTAAATTAACTTCTAAATTCTATTTATTAGGGTAGAGGTTAGAGGACAACCTTTGGAATTCAGTTCCCTCCTTCTATTATGTGGGTCCCAGGAATCGAACTCAGGTCATCAGCCTTGGTGGGACAGCCCAAAGCATGACATTTTATGCAGGGATATAAGGCCAGGTGTCTGGGAATCCAGCCTGCCCTGCTAACTGGCCTACAGAGATCTGTGAGCATCAGCGTTGGGGTTGGTGGTGGTTAAGCATGTATCTTTACCTCTCTGGGTCTTTAGAGCTGTCCCTGTGAAATATGGGCCAGAATCTCCACCCTGTCTCTCTCGGGGGCTGTCCGGACATCAAACAAGGACCAGGACTTGGAAACATTTCCCAAGGATGACCCCCCACGTCTTCCAGCCTATGTAATTCCCAGGGGATCTGCAGAAAGGGCAGCCCCACAGCCTGAGGCTCAGAGAGGACCCACCACACAGCCGTCCCCACCGCCACTCACGCAGGAGAGCCTGTCCTTGGGTGGCGTGCTCAGGAGAGTCTCTGTGCCAGGGCTGGCTGCAGGGTTTCTGTCCCTCAACTCCAGCTCCCTCACCCAGCAGTACCCCCGGCTTCCAGTTTCCTGACACAGTCCACAGTGAGGGAACCACAAAGTGAGTACCTTACAAACTGGCCACGGAAATTCCTTTCTATCCCCTGCGTGGCCTGGCTTTTTAGAGAGTTAGAGGAAGCGGGAGTGTTGGGATTGGTCAGGAGCGGTGAAGGTGTCCTGAGTGCGTGTGAGGCTGGGTGTACTACTGTTTAAGTCCACAGAGCTGAAATGTCTTCTTACTCCCCGTGCTCAGAGAGAAAATTCTTCGAAGCAGTCTGACTGCTACTAGCTGTGGCCACTGGATGCTTCTTTCCATTTTTCCTCGTATCTGTTTTATTTATTCAAGCCCAAGGCCTCTTACACGCTAAGCAAAGTCCCTGCCCAACTATACCACCAGTGCCTACTCGATAGACAGGTGGTAGGTGATATAGATAAGATAGATTCGATAGGTGATTGATTAGATGATTCATAGGTGGATGATGGATGGATGATAAACAGATAAATGGTAAGTGGCCTCCTACAGAAGACCTTGAACTTTGTTTTGTGTTTTGTTGAGACTAGGTTTCTCTGTGTATCCCCTGGCTGTCCTGTAACTTGCTTTGTAGGCCTGGATGGCCTCAAACCTCTTGAGTTCTGGGATTAAAGGCATGTACCACTACTGCTAGGTAGGCTTGAACTTGTAGCCTTCCTGCCTCTGCCTCCCCAGTGCTAGGATTACAGGCGTACACCACCACACCCCATTTATGTGATGCTGGGGGTCTAATGCCAGCTGTGTGTGTGCCAGGCACTTACTCTACCGACTAACTGAGTCCTGGCCCCTCTTACATGTATTTTTAAATACATTTGAAAAGATCGAAAGCCAAGGCATGTTCCAACTGACACGGAGGCAGGAGTGCTTCCAGAAGCTTTTCTGGTACCCCTGCCTCCCTCCTGTTAGACTCTCCTAAAAGTACTCAGTGCCAGACGCGGCAGAATAGGCACTAAAGATGTGCGTGTCTGTTGAGACTCACCCCGAGAGGTCTCAGTGGTCACCCTGGGTCTGGTGCAGTCTCCTACCCACAAGGAAAGAAGGGTCCTAGCCATTTGGACTCACGGTCAGGCTTCTGGGGGTCCTCTTCCCATGGGGGACCTGCACCTTGGGCAGAGCTCTCTGAGGAGTCAGCAGGGCCTTCCTCGGCGGGCAAGGCCTGGAGAACTTCAGGGTCTGGTCTCCCTGGAAGTCACATGAGTAGAAGCCCGGGTTAGTGACATTGTTCTGACCTTGTTAAACCCACAGGTATCTCGGATTCCACAGAGTGGACAGGCCCAAATCAGAAACAGGCCAGGATTTCCCGGTGAGAAGGGGGGTGTCTCAGGGTTCCCCTCCCACCAGCTCTCCCCGGAGCATGGCTACGCCGAAGCCTCCAGCACACAGCCGAGGCCTCTGGGAGTGGAGGAGACTTCCCTTCACATCCCCAGCTACAGGGAAGCCTGCTGTCTCCTTTGACCACGGAGGAATCCAAGGCTCCGGAGGCGGCAACTACAGAAACCATCCCAGCAGATTTGTTCTTGGTAGGGCAAGGTCTAGACACCTGGCAGGCACCATAGGCCAGCGTGCGTGTGTGTGTGTGTGTGTGTGAGTGCGTGTGTGTGTGTGTGAGTGTGTGTGTGCGTGTGTGTGTCTGTGTGTGTGTGAGTGTGTGTGTGTGAGTGTGTGTGTGCGTGTGTGTGTGTGAGTGTGTGTGCGTGTGTGTGTGAGTGTGTGTGTGCGTGTGTGCGTGTGTGAGTGTGTGTGTGAGTGTGTGAGTGTGTGTGTGTGTGTGTACCAGCTACTTCCGCCCCTCCCCAAATCTCCCCGCACTTGTACCAGCTAGTGCGTGTGCCCACGCCAAACACTTGCTTTCGTGTGAGCTGTGTTGACCCATGAGACAGCAACTCTTGTATCTATTTTTGTGGATGGGGGACACATTAAGGCCCAGAGGGAGGGAGTCACCGGCCCTAGGCCACGCAGAATGAAGGATAGTGGCACCCCTGGTGAGTTGACCTCAGCTGTTCAACCTCATAGAAATGTCCCCCACTGTCCACACTTGATCTCGATTGAGGACGTTGAGTAGACCCTGGCCCTTGGGGTGGGACGATGGGGTCTGCTCACCCCTGCAGATCAGCCCCAGGTCCACTCCCTCGGACCGCGAGGCAGCCAAGCCGGGCAGTATGTCTTCTTGGCCGTCCGCCCCTGAGCTCTGGGGCCCTGTGGCCTCCTCAGCAGCAGGCTTCCTGTGGCCGTGTTTCTTGTGGCTGGTCCTCTTCTCCTGGGATTTCTTCCTGAGGCCTGGCTCCTCCCTCGCCTCTGGGAACTTGCTGGTCTGCCCTTTCCCTTTCGATTTCCTGCTGGCCTTTTCTCTGGGCTCCTCTACACCAGTCCTTGGGAAAAAGAGACTCAGCAGCACACTCGCCCAGCTCTGATGGGTCTGCTTCCGGGGCTTCTCTTTCTTGGTGTCTTCTGGGGGCCCAAGCTCACAGGGGAGAAATTCGCTCTCCTCTCCCAGAGGGAAGGCTGCGGCCACAGCTCCCTGGGCCTCTGCAAAGTGAGTCGGGCTCCCAGGACCTCTGTCCCCATCGCTGGCTGTCCGGTGAAGCACCTTCTTGTAGGTGGGCCCGGAGGGGTACTTGGAGTTCAAGGACTCAGAGTCCTTCTTGGGAACCTGCCGGTCCAAGGACTGGGCTCTCTTATCTGCAGGAGACTTCCTCCGGCCCCTTGGGGTCTCCACTGGGCTACAACCAAAACAAACAGCTCCCTCAGGAGAGCTCAGCCAAAGACTGACCCATGCCCACGGGCACTCATGTGCCTCCGTCGCTATGATGTCACCCTGTCCTGGTGATGCCCACCGCCCTCTCCTGGTGATGCCCACCGCCCTCTCTACTGGTGGTGCTTTCCAAGGCTTGTCTTGTGTAAAGTCCTGGACACCTCACAGGGAGGGGGTCACTACCCCCGTTTTCCAGAGAAGGACATGGAATCAGATTCTCGGCCGGCTGGCCTGACACCGCCAGAGTCACCCAGCCCTGCTGTGGTCACCTCTCTCCCCAGAAGATTTGGGTTTGCGACTCTGAAACAACTCTGGTCAGGAGGCCTTTCACTTCTTTTGGATTTTACCACCTGCAATCCCACTTGGGGCTGAACCTACAGCCATGAGCCAGACATAGCGTACATCTAGAACGGAATGCTCTGGTGTTTAAACTGATCATGCTCAGAAGTCATGCGGGCTTAAGAAAAGGCCAGTACAGGCCACTGGACTGCCTGACTGTATTAATTAGATCCAAGGAAGTTGAGCCAGAAGTGTTGACCAAACAGTGGTCAGGGCTTGTGTTAGCCAGGACCAAAGCACGGAAGCAGTCCATCATAGGACGCCATATTCAGCTCAGGCCCCTCCCCTTCCCTGAGGTGGGGCGGCCCAGGGGTCCATCCCACACACAGCAAGTTGGAGCAATCCCCGCCCAGATAAAAAGAAGGAGCAGCCATATTTAGAAAGGGCCGGTTGCTATGGAAACAGTTTTCCCCAGCAGTGGAGATGAGCTCAGCCTCTTTCCCCTGCCTTCACCACACCCACACGATGCTTCCAGAGTTCCCCAGGGAAGGGCAGCCCCGGGGTCCTCAAGCCCACTGACCCCTCTTCCTTCCTTGACAGCCCCCTGCCCAAGGTGTCCTGGCCTTTGACCCCATGACCGCCTCCTGGCAACTCTTTCCAGGTGGCCTCAAACCAACTCAGATCATCTCTACTTCCCCCCTCCCAACCCCTCTGCCTGCTCCTTTTTTGGAATGTTCTAGAAGCACTGCTCCAGATGGAGGTCAGGGACTGAGAGCGTAGCTCGCCAGAGTGGGTGAGCCAGTCACCCTAGAGAGGCTTTCTCTGTGGACATGTTTTCCTGAGAAGACAGTGGCCCACCTCCCCGTGTTACACAGCCTCTGTCTTTCTAGGTGCTCTCAGTCTGAAATTTTGCCCGTCTGGGAGTCCTCGAGGAGGAATGACTCTCTCCTCCCATGTCTGGCCTGATTGTAGGGGAATCACACCCTGGCCCAGACCAGGAGCCCGCAACTACCCAGCCACATTGCGTGGAAACCCAGCCATTGGTGTAAACACATTTATTGCTTAACTGAGAGTAGCCTTCAGAACAAAGTCCACCCTAGCCAGACATGCCTGGGTGATGCACAGGTCGCAAAGCCTACGATAGAAAATGGTTCCAGTGACTCATTTATTTATTTTATTATTTTGTTTTCGAGACAGGGTTTCTCTGCATTGTTTTAGAGGCTGTCCTGGAACTCACTCTGTAGACCAGGCTGGCCTCGAACTCACAAACATCCTCCTGCCTCTACCTCCCTAGTGCTGGGATTAAAGGCGTGCGCCAACACCGCCCGGCCCAGTGACTCATTTCACAGCCACAAAGCACCAGAGAAGTCACACCAAGCTGGCATGGTTTTCCCCAGCACGAGTCTGTGTGTGGTGCATTTTCTAGACTGAACTATGACCTCAGCATTACATTGACCTGGCCTGTTACCCTCATGCAACAAAGTGCTCCCTCCACCACCCCTGCAGGCACTCAACACACACCAATTCCTCACAAACACTGCAGGAGGCCTTCAGGGGGACACACCTGGCACACTGCCAGCCCGCCCTATCTCAGAATGTCCAACACCGTCTCTGTTTCAAGTAGAAGAGGCTAAAATCTCACAGCCAAGCTTGCTGCCGGCCTCCTCTCTAAGATCCGTAAGGAATGCCTGCGGCTTCCCTGCTGTTCCCTGGGTGTTTGTGGAACACAAACACTCCGCATGTGAGCCCTTCCACGCTGTGATCTCATTGCCTCTGACAGTGCCTCATGAATCAGACTGGCGTGGGGACACATGGTCAAAGTCCCGGTGCTGGGAGCAGAGAGCTGGGCCAGATTATCTGCTCACCCCATTCCAAGTCCCGTCTTCTCACTCCCACACCAAGCAACATCTAAACATGCCTGAGTGCTCAATGGACGTATGCACCCAAGACACGAGATTAGGAACCCAGAGTGGGCCTCGCAGCCCCGTGGCCCATGGCTATGCTGAGCTTCCGCAGTCTCTCACGGGCCCATGCCACCCACAGCTGTCAGTCAGGCTCTGGAGCCTTCCCAGGGAAAGTCAGGAGAGGCTAAATACAAATCCGTCATCCTAGATCCTGCAATGGCACAGCCCCTTTCACAGCCTTCCCACACGCTGGGCACTGACGTGCTCCTCAGGGACCCCCGAGCCTCCACTGGCATGCCTGGAACTGAGACATGGTGGTCTTGTTTTCCCGAAACACCGGGTCCATCCTGTGCCACACCTGGTCTCACTTGTTAAGCAGTGACAGTTCGAGGTCGCCATTTTTTCATGGGGCCTTTCTTGGATTCTTACAGTGCACAGGCCCTGAAAAGTGCCGAGCCCACTGCCCTGTAGTGTGGGAATCCTCCAGACCCATCCTGGCAGGTCCCCTTCCTGCACAGAGGCCAGGTCAGAAGGGACAGCCACCTTGGGCTCAACCCAAGTCTGTGGTGGTCTTCCTTTACATAATTGAGAGAAAGCCACCAAGCCCTTCACTATTCCAGCCTGCGACCCCGGTCACCCCATGAGAGAAAGCCACCAAGCCCTTTGCTATTCCAGCCTGCGACCCCCAGTCACCCCACATCTGTTGGCAGCCCATGGGTCCCTCACGTCTGAGCACACCTTGGATGCCCCAGCTGGTCCTTGTACACTGAGGCATTGTGGGAGGCCAGGGACAGATGCAGGTGGGCAGAGGCTCCTTCCTGCCCGGGCCTCGACCTCTGCAGTCCCAGAGGTGCCTTCCCCGAACACGGCAAAGTCCACGGTGACCCCCAAGAAGCCACAGAGTGCTGTGGTCGCTAGACTGATCTGGGTTCTCTTCTTACATGTGTGTGTATGTGCTCCTGTGTGCACACATGCATGTGTGTGTGTGTATGTGTATGTATGTGCCCGTGTGTGTGCATACCAGTGTGTGTGTATACATGTGTCTGTATGTGCTCGTGTGTGTGCATGCCAGTGGTGTGTGTGTGTACATGTGTATGTATGTGCCTGTGTGTGTACATGCCAGCATATGTGTATGTGTGTACATGTGTATGTATGTGCTCGTGTGTGTGCATGCCAGTGTGGTGTGTGTGTGTGTGTGTGTGTGTGGTGTGCAGGGGTATAATGTGAGTGGTATAATGTGGTGTATGCGTATGTGGAGTGTGAGGTATGTGTGGGGGTGTGTGCCATGATGACACACGTGTGGAGGTAAGAGGAGTCATCCTTTCTCTCCTCCTTTCTGTGGTTCTGGGGACTGAACTCAGGTCGCCAGTCTCGGAGGTCAGGAAGAAAGTGCCTGTACCTATTGAGCCATCCTGCTGGACGCTGTTCCATCTCTTTTAAAAACGAGAAAAAAAGACCCTAGGAGGGTCAGTGAGCTAGAAGCAGAGCCAGGCCTGGACTTGGGTTCCTTTTGGGTCCCTGAAATACCCACCCATTGCCCCGGTTCACAAGGAGAGGTTCAACCTACCTCAGACCACAGAAGTCGCTGCTGTCCCGGGACATCCCTGGGCTGGGATTGCTGGAGCGGGGCATTGCCCCCTGTTAAGTAGAAGTCCTTTGAGGTTCAGGTCCAAAGCGAAGCTGCTATTGCGGCTGGCGATATTCACAGGGGCTCAGAGCGTCTGGGCTATATATACCATTGTTTCCCAGGAGCTGAACTCACAGGTAGCCAACCAGAGGCAGGGCCGGCCCAAAGGCTCCACCTGTTGCTGCCCGCCCAGCCTGCTTCCCGCTCCTCTGGGCCGTGCCAGAGATAGGAAGCTTGGTTTAACTACCCGGGAGAGAGAGAGGAAAACAAGGGCAGTTTCAGTTGACAACTTCCTTATTATACCTCAGTCCCAGAACGAAACCAGCGTGACAAAAACAGCTTCAGCCTGGTCAGTGCGCAAAACTAAGAGTGAAGCCTCATGGGAAGCCCTGTGTGGTGTCACCTCCACAGCCTCCCTTGGCCTTGTCTTGAAGATCGCTGGAGAGAGAAGAGCAGTCCGTTGAGGAGATGCGTGTGGTGTTTCATCCGATGACGGAAGCCGTGTGTTCAGGCACTTCTATGGAGAGTGGGGTCACCACGGGCTTTCTGTTTGTTTTTGCTTTTAACATTTGTATTTAATTCTTTGACAAATTCACGCATAGACACAGTGCATCTTGATCCTGTTCATGCCCGACTCTCCCCTCCACTCCCCTCCAGACCCCACCAACCCGTGACCCTCCCGCTCCGAGTCCAATTAAGTGCTGTCTCTGTGTCCAAGGACAATCTACCAGCACTGCCCCCAGAAAAATGACTCCCTCTACCCCAGCAGCCAGCAGTTAATTCCCAGTAGTTTCTCAGTGGTGATGTGTTGTCATTTGGTTTGGATTTTTTTTTTGAGACAAAAGTCCTGCCCGACCAAAACTGGCCCTTTCCTGTTATTTTATCCTGCCTTTGGAAAAAAAAAAAAAAAAAAAACGACTCTTGCCAGGGGTTGCTGGCGCACGCCTTTAATCCCAGCACTCGGGAGGCAGAGGCAGGCGGATCTCTGTGAGTTCGAGACCAGCCTGGTCTACAAGAGCTAGTTCCAGGACAGCCTCCAAAGCCACAGAAAATAAAAAACAAAACAAAACAAAACAAAACAAAACAAAAAAAAATGACTCTTGGAGGAGGGTCTAGGTCCTGCCCTGGATGAAATGACAGACTATGGACACCCTCATGGAGGGCCTCACTCTCCCTGGGAAATGAGGGGGTTTTGGGAGGTTGGTGGGAGGGCTTGGGAGGAGGGGAGGGAAAGGGAGTGGGACCTGGGATTGACATGTGAAGCAACCTTATTTCTAATTTAAATTTAAAAATAAAAATTTTTTTAAAAACCATAGATCTGGAGACTGGAGAGATGGCGCCAAGGTTAAGAGCTGCTCTTACAGAGGACTTGGGTTAGTTCCCAGAACCCACATGGTAACTTACAAACCATCCATAATTCAGTTCAAGGCATCGGATGTCCTCTTTTGACCTCACTGACACCATGCATGTGCACACACACATACATGTAAGCAAAACACTTTATGCGCTTTAAACATACACTGGTCTTAGCCGTATTTGATGGTACATACCTTTATCAGCACACGGAAGGCAGAGGCAGGAGGATGTTTATGAGTTCGAGGCCAGCCTGGTCTACAGAGTGAGTTCCAGGCCAGCCAGGACTACGCAGAGAAACCCTGTCTCAAAAAACTATAACATAAAAACCAGAAAATGGTTACGGTGATAATCTTTCTGGTGCATTCTATATTACATAAAAAAGAAGCCTATGGTGGGGCAGGGCCAGGATTTTCCTGCCGCTCAGCAACCCTGTCAGACAGGCCTGCTCTTCGGTGCTGACGGAGGGGCTGAGGTGGGGTTGCGGTGGGGTCTGGGGAGCAGGGCCAGCCACAGGGTGTGTGTCTGGAACACAGTGCAGAGTACAAAGGATGTCGGGGTGTGCACCCGCAGTCCCAGCATGCCAGAGGTAGAGACAGAAGGAGCAGGAGTTCAAGGCCAACCTCTGGTCCATGGAAAATTCCAGGCCGGCACAAGTTACAAGAGATTCTGTCTCAAAAATGAAAAGATTTTTCAGGAAAGGCAGAGCTGAGCCTACAGCAGGCTGAGGTCTTTCCAGGGCAGGTCCTACACGCCTGCCCAGGCCAGCCTGACAGAGGGGGCTCTGTGAAGAGGGATGGCAGAGGCGGGGGAAGGGGAGATTGAGGCTATTTTGTGAAATTTTCATTTTTAATATTAGATATAGGAGTCCATGTGTGACTCGGGGTAGAACACTTGCTGGTGTGTGTGTGTGTGTGAGTGTGTGTGTGAGTGTGAGTGTGTGAGGTGTGTGTGAGTGTGAGTGTGTGTGGTGTGTGTGAGTGTGTGTGGTGTGTGTGAGTGTGTGTGAGTGTGTGTGGTGTGTGTGTGAGTGTATGTGTGAGTGTGTGTGAGTATGTGAGTGTGTGGTGTGTGTGAGTGTGTGTGAGTGTAAGTGTGTGTGAGTGTGAGTGTAAGTGTGTGTGAGTGTGTGTGTGTGGACCTGAATTCCAGCCCCAGTACTGAAAAATGAAAAGATGTAATGTGAAAAAGTGCACAGGGAGCTAGAGATGGCTCAGAGGTTTACAACACTGGCTGCTCTTCCGGAAGACCCGGGTTCAATTCCCAGCACCCACATGGCAGCTCACAACCATCTGTAACTCAGGTCCCAGGGTATCTGACACCACCTTCTGAGCTTCAAGAGTGCCAGGCACGCATGTGGAGTACAGATTTAGACGCAGGCAAATATTTATACATGTAAATCTAAAAAAAAAATCTAAAAGTGCACAAGTAATAATATAACTTGCTAACTTGGGTATAGAATAGAACAGTCCAAGTGGCATACTCTTATAATCCCATATTTGAGAGGTTAATACAGGGTCAAAAGTTCAAAACTAACCTGGGCTGCCATAGTGAGAACTTCTCTCAAAAATCCAACAACGGGATCAGAGGTGGTGGTGTGTGCCTTTAATTTCGGAGGTCCAGGTGTGTCTGTAAGTCCCAGGCCAGCCAGGGCTACACGGTGAGATCCTGTCTCAAACAGACAGACAAACAATAACAATAACAATAACAATAACAAACCCAACACCCAGCAATGGAGAAAAGAAGCGGGAAGTGTATAAGCTGACCACACGACCAACCGCGATACGGCGAACAGGAAGGTTTTTAGTGTAGCTGTGAGGAGGAGAGAGAACGAGGCAGACTGAACGCGGCCAGCGAAGCGGACTTGGCCATCAGAGAAGGGGGTCGGGGGAGAGAGAGGAAGACTAGGAGAGGACCAACAGTGACCAGCATAGAGAGGGGGCCAGGGAAGGAAGATAAAAGGAGGTGCTCAGCTGACACAGCAAGGCTTATTGTAAGGGGACTGAGTAGCTGGGGGGGAGGGGAGGCCCTGAGGGGGAGGGGCGGGGCCTGGAGCAGGGGAGGAGGTGAGAAGGGCCGGGATGCCCAGCTTGGACTCTGAAATCTGTAGCAGGTCCTTGTGATGCTGAGGGAGCCTGGGGTCCGGCATGCACTTTGGTAATCTAATAGGCACCATAGACGGCCATTTGTCCCTTCTGCCCGTGACAGGAGAATTGGCTCCTTTGGTAGAGGGAAAGGGCTTCAGGAGTTGCTGAGGAGTGCTGGCTTTTGTCTTACAGCCAGAATTTGGACCTGACCCGAAGGAAGTGGAGAGGGAAGGGTGGGGAGAGGGAGGGAGGGAAGTGGGGGAGGGGCAGAGGGATGGAGGAGGCAAGCTCCCCAGGACCCCTCCTCTGCTCCCCGCACAGCTACAGCAGCTCAGGTGGTTCCTAAGCTTGGTATGCACAGGTGTCCTTGAATGCTCCTGGTCTGCTCCTGGGTACCAGTGCCTCAAGGAGGGCCCATGCGACACCCACAAGAATGTGATATCAGCACAAATTGTAATAGCCAAAAACTCCAAATCTTGAAACGATTGAAATCCCCAGTCAGGAAAATGTATTCACAAATAGAATTCCTTTCTCGCTGTGGGCATGGCTGTGCGGCCCTGGGCATGGGGCCCCCAGTAAACTTGGTCTTGAGTGAAATGCAGAGGCCTGCCCTGCCTCGGGAGCAGTTCTGGGAAACAAAGCTAATTTCCCAGCTGGTGCTGGGAGTGTGGGGCAGTGCTGGTCAAAAGTCGGTTCCCATCCAGGCAGAGGGATTTGCATGTAGAAATAAGGCCGCCAATGGATTTTGCATACAGAAATGAGGCCTGGCTCCTCTGTGACCTCAGAGCAAAGAGCTTAATGGCAGCATGATGGCCTTCCAGGGCCACATCCATTTCCTGGAATCCTCAGATTCAAGGTCTAGCTCTCACTGGGCTCTCTAAGCCACCTACCTTCAGCATCCAATGTCCCCCTGCCCTCGGCAAGGGGAGCCAAGGGCAGAGACTGCACACTCCTGCCCAGAGTTGTCCTCAGAGTGAATGCCCCTCCTGCCCTGAAGTGCACTGTCTCCCAGTTCCCTGCCAGGTCCCCTTGTCACCAGCCTTCCCCTCCCCTGCTGCAGGGGCTTCCAGAATTCCCTTCCCTCGGCTGGTTGTGGGTATCTGGCCTTTGGCAAGCTGGGCAGAGCCACACTGTGACCCAGACATTCACCTCCAGGGGACCCACTGGGACCAATGACAGGTGTGTCAGTCAGGCCTGTGACTCAAGCCTTTCCATCCATGAACGTTTCGTTTTGGATTTGGGGTTTTTGTTTTATTTTATTGAGACAGGGTTTCTCTGTGAAACAGCCCTGGCTGTCCTGGAACTCACTCTGTAGACCAGGTCAGCCTCAAATTCACAGAGATTTACCTGCCTCTGCTCCCAAGTTCTGGGACTGAGGGACATGTGCCACCACTGCCCAGCTTTGTATTTAATTTTTTTTTTAATTTTTGAGACAGTGTCTCTCAATGCAGCCATGGCTGGCCTGGAACTTGCTATATTGACCAGGCTGACTTTGAACTCGCAGACACCCTCCCGTCTCTGCTTCCAACTGCAGAGTGTAAAGGAGTGTGTAGCTCAGTGGGGAAGAACTGTTTTTCCAGAGGCCCCAGCTCCCATGAGGCAGCCCGCAACTGTCTGTAACTTCTGTTCCAGGTTATCTGACACTCTGTCTCTCACACACACAGGCAGGCAAAACAGCAATGCACGTAAAGTACAAATAAATCCGTTATTAAAAAATAAAGGGAGAGTGACCCCACGGGTGATCATGATTGTCAAGAGTTTCTGTGGAAGAGAACCCTGGTGGATCAGGACCTAAGAAAACCACAGAAATCACACAGAAGAGATTTGC